ACTGATGGCCAGCTCCTTGTAGCTGGTCTTCAAATACCTGATGCGGCTTTGGCGAGGCCACAAAGCAACGGCTACTATGTTGCAAACAAACCCATGCCCATCATCAGGCTGCCCATCACATCCCTGTTTGTCACATTTGGCTTTTCCTCCTACCCTCTGACAACTGACTGGCAAACACCGCATCTGCAATTCAAGGAGTCAGGGAGTCTCAGAGTCTCGTCTTCCCGCTGCACTTCCCACAAAGTTTAAAGTCTTCCTCACGCAAACGCAACCCAAGCCGGCAGGCAGCCGCAGCCAAGCTGCGAAGACTTCAACGGCTTCGGCTTCGGCAGGGGCTTCTGCCTTTCCCGGCGACCACGTCCAAGCGCTACTGGCGGCCGCACCGGCCCCATCGGCACTCCAACGGCGACACCATAGCCAGGGTCGTCACTGCCAGCATGAGCAGCGTGCAGGGCTGGGACGGCCAACCTACGTCAAGTCAGTGTCATCGTAAAATCGTGGTGTGAAAACTGGCGGTGACGGTGACGGTGACAGTGACGGACGGTGCAAAAAGGTGGGCATGCGGCATGTGGCATGTGACATGTGCCATGCTGAGTGCTGAGCTGTATTCAACGGTTCCACGGTCCACGGGCCACGGGCAAACATGTTTTCAGATATCATAAAATTGACTAAGACTACGCCAAGATACGGTGGAGTCGGAGCCAGCCGAGCCATCGCAGCCACTCTGGAACTGCCGCCTCCGTCTGCCGCAGCCGCATGGCCGCCATCTTCTGAATACCTGGGTGGGTCAACATGGGTTGGATTAGGATTCAGGATTGGTGATTGTATTGGATTGGATTAGAATGTTGAATCGAAAATTGTCTTCCGCCCAAAACTGGGGCTGAGGCTTAGTGCTGCTTAGGGCTTAGTAGTCTATCTTAGTTCAGTTAGATCATCTTGCTTGCTTGCTTGCTTAACCAATTTGGTTTATCGCAGTCGTCGTAACGCAGTATTGGATGACCACAATCATGGCGGCATGATGATCCGCATGATCATGTTGTGGTTATGATAATTGTAAATTGTAAAGTATAAAATTGAATTTGATGAATGCCCTGACGCCTGCCATGCCCATGCCTCGGCTCAACCCACTCCTACGTCTGCATAAGCCACACACGGCATGCCCGATGCCCTGCCAAGATACGCCGGCAGCGCCGGCACCGCCGGCGCCGATCCATCGCTCTCGCGGCGCTCCCTTGCAGCAAAAGCATGAGCAGCAGCAGCAGCAGCAGCATGATCATGATGACCCGGCCGCGCATACCTGGGTCGGTGGGATAGCGAAGGAAAGCAGGGAATGACCGGGACCGGTGCCCCGGGGCAGGGACGTGTACCAAACCAAAACCGCCAAAGTCTCAAAGCAAGTAAATAAATAAGGATAAGTAAAAAGTAAAATGGGCAAGCGGCAAGCTTGTAGCTTGTCATGTCTGACTTAACCGCCATGCTGCATCGGCTCGGAGAACCCGTCGAAGAACCGCCGGTAGAACTCCCGCTCAGCAGCAGTGGAAAACAAACCGCCGCCGCCGCTCGCCATTGATGATTCGTCCCGGCGCGACACGGGCGAATCTTCGAAACCTAAAAACCCCTGACAGTCGGCGGACATGCGGCATGCGTGTCCTTTCCTAACCCGCGGATGCCCAAAGGAATTGGAAACAAATGGGTTCCGGATTCCGTCCTGGACCTGACCTTACCATGCTTGCTTTTCAATTTTCAATGTTCAATGTTCAGTTCAATCCCAAAAATCTAATCACGACCCAACTCAAGTGTCAACACTGTCAACTGTCAACACTGTCAACTGTTATTTGCCAATTGCCAATACCCGATACCCGGTGCCGGTACCGCCGGAATGGGTAAGTAAGTAAGGTCCGGTAGGGTAGGGTAGCCAGCCACCCAAAGAACTTCAAAACAAAGCCATACGCCATACGCTGGAGTCGAGCCTGACGACGGAGATTGAAAACAATCTAACTAAGTCTTACAGTCTGAGTCTGAGACTGAGTCTTAGTCTTTTTCTTAGTGTGCTTTAACCAGCCAAGTCGAGTCACAGTCTGACTGAAACAACGGACGGATTTGGGCATTTCAATTCCAGAAGTCACAAACCAAAGTTGGCTAATTTCCGTTGCCCACCTTCTCCGCTGCAACGGTCACCCCTAGTGTTTTGCAATGGACGCCAATCAGGCTTTAAACAGGCCACACACCTCGACTCACAAAGAATCATAGTAACACCACAACAGGGCCCACAGACCGGTCGACGCCCGACGACCGAGGTTTTTTTCCTTGGACCTGCATTGGGTTCGAGTTGTGCAGGCCCGGCCGGCCCGGCTCCAGATCATCGCACTGTCCTCGGCTGACACACAAACACACACACACACACACCGCAGCCGCCGCGCTGCGACTGTAGTTACTGTAGTTGTTGAAAATGATGATGATGGCAAAGTGATGGTAAACCAAAAAAGAAAAGGCACCTCCTGAGCCTCAGACTCAGACTCAGACTCAAGAGACTCAGACTCTGACTCGAGACTCAAACTCTGACTCAGACAGACTCAGACTCGGTAAATCAAACGTTCATTCATTGATAGTATTCGGGCCTGAGACTCAATACTCAATACTCAATACTGGAAATTATGTAAAACCAATGAAACTAATCCGAGCTGCGCGAATCAGCGTCGCACCGCCCGTCCTTTGCCCGGGCGGGCATTGTGCGGGCCCTTGCCCTTCGCCTTTGCCTTCGCCTTTCCCTTCGCCTTGCCCTTCTCCTTGCCCTTCTCCTGCCCCTTCTCATTGCCCTTCTCCTGCTCCTGCCCCTTCTCCTGGCCCTTCACGTGGCCTTTCTCCTCATTCTGCCGGCCCGCGCGCTCGCGCTCGAGCAGGTCAGACACGATCCGCAGCTGGAACTCCGCGTACGCGATGCGCAACCTCACTTGCCCAAATGAGCCGTGAGCCAACTTGAACTTGATCCTGAAATGAAACACCTTTGAGAATTGACACTGGGACCTTGGCCCTTGGCTACACAGAACAAAACCACTGTCTGCGTCTGCTTGGAGTCTACTGCCAGCACTACCGCCAAAATACAAGAGCGCGAAAACCCGAAACCCAAATTAACCCAAAGGTCAGGTCAAAAGTCAAAAGGTTGGCTTGACAAGGTGAGCGTCCTCAAATCGTCCAACGCATCGTGCATTTGCTCGAACCGCTCAAAAAAGATCCGGTTGATGGCGGCAGATGTCGCGGACGCAAGATCCATGGTCGATCCAAACAAACCCGCTGCTGTCACTTGCTGCTACATTCACATTCTTCACATTTAGGTAATTTAGACATTTAGCCATTTAGCCTCATCCAACTTGACCTCAAGTATGCGGGTGCATGATGCTGGTGCATGTGTGTTATCTGTTCCTTGCCTTGCTTAGCTGCTTAGCTTGAGCCTTTGCAGTGTTTCATGTCGTCCATAGACGCGGCATGTTCCCGTCAATCAAGAGCCTGTGCCCCCGTCAATCAAGAAAGCCACGCCGCCCTGGGGTTCCAAAGGCGGTTTATTGTGCGTGTCATCACATCTGTGAAAAGTGAAAGGTGTTTTTTGCCAAAGGAGTAGTTAAAAAGCACACCTCCGCCGAGCCTCCGCCGGCCTCCGCCTCCGCCCTTCCCCGCCCCAGCCCGGATGCCCTCTATAACCGGTCCTGCACAGCAGCCAGCCGCCGCTGCGCTCGCAATCCGAATGGCTGCACACAGTCCGGAATTAATGCCTTGTGGGACCATTGTGGGACTATGTTACTGCGGGCATGTTGCCTGTGTTTGGCATGATGGGCATGATGACAGAATTTCCATCGGAGCCAAAACAGCAATAAGTGTTTTTTCCATGCCCCCAAGCCCAAGCAACATGGAACATGGCTCGAAGCGGACGACAAAAACACTTATTTTAGACTAATTCCAGCGAACATGCGAAAACCCCCCGTTAAGCAAGTTAACATCTACGCTGGTGTATTTTTTGCAGATGGCTGTGAAGGGTTCGAACTTCTAAAGATGGGAACGTGATTTGCGAGATGGACGGCTGGGTGCTAGAGGGCGTGGGTGCTGTTTGTTTGAAGTGCTGTTTCAGCTGCTCATGAAGGTGCAGGCATGTTTTGCAAGATTGACGGCCGGAGGTGACGGTGCAGGCGCAATGTTGCGATTGATGGGTGCAAAGGGGGCATGCAGTCTTGGTTGCTGCGAGATTGACAGGCGGGTGCTCTGGGAGTGCTGTGCTGTTTGGGGGGGGCTGTTCGGCGGATGCTACAAACATGCAGTTTGGGGTGCTGGTGCCAGTAGTTTTGGGGGGGGCTGGTGACGGGCGCCCATTGACGGCGGGGTGCTAGGGGTGTGCAGTTTGGGGTGCTGGTGCGGGTGCTGTTTTGGAGGGCCTGGTGACGGCCAGGTGTGTCTTCGCGAGATTGACGTCAGGGTGCTAGGGTGGGGATTCTTGTGCAGGTTCTGTTTTCGCTGTTTGGAGTGTTGGTTGAAGTGCTCTTCGGGCAGTGCTGTTAGAGGTGCTGGCATGCAATCGTTGGCATGTTTGTCACTGGGGCCTATGCTGGAATCGATCACTACCCGCCGTGGCAAGTAACCTTGGATCAATTTCCCATGTTGGTTTTCCATGTGGGAAATGCAAGGGTGACCTGCCAAAAGCCAGGTGTAGATGGATCTGGGTAACACAACATGCCAAAGAAGGCCTTCGGCGAAGTAAGGCTAGGTGCCCTTTCTCACCCCTGCAGGAAAAAGTTGGCACCCTTCCCCCTACTCCAAACACCCGTTTTTTTCAGGGTATTGTTGGGAAAATGTGGTTTTCCAAGGCCAACACCTCCTTTTTCAGTAGAGGGTCGACATGATACCCAAAAAAGAAGGGGTATTTGGAGTAGGGGTTTATTCTAACCTCTCTACTAAAAGACCTAGAAGGCCAAAGTCTTGAGGGGCTTGGGGTTGGCCCGGGGCAAGTCTTTCAGGTGGATGACTTGCACGACTTCACAGCGGAATTCATCGAGAGAGGCTACCATGCTGAGCAACTCACCCAGCAAAAAAAGCGATCTTGATTTTTCCGCGAGCCAAACGCAGCCAGACCTCCAGCGATTTGTTTCCTTCTTTTTTTGGAGGGTTTCCCTCAAAGTTGAGCTGCCAACAAAAAAGAGAGTGCCCTTTTTTCCATGGGACATCCACTGGCCGATGAAGGTTAGTAAGGGATAGTCCCAACAACCAATGAGGGCAGCCGCCTTGGTACCATATAACACAAACAGACTGGGTTTTGAGTATGACTCGGGTAGGTCTAGGGAGCCAGCTCAAAAGTGGAGGGTTGGCAGCCCCGAACAGGGAAACCAACACCTGCGAAGCCTATTTTGGGGTGGTCGCACAGGTAGCATGTGAAGTCTATCTTGGGGTGGTCCAGAATCCGACTATAAGTCTACTTTCGACCAAAAGCACAGGTAGCACGTGAAGTCTATCTTGGGGTGGTCCAGAATCTGACTATAAGTCCACTTTCGACCAAAAGCACAGGTAGCACGTGAAGTCTATCTTGGGGTGGTCCAGAATCTGACTATAAGTCCACTTTCGACCAAAAGCACAGGTAGCACGTGAAGTCTATCTTGGGGTGGTCCAGAATCTGACTATAAGTCCACTTTCGACCAAAAGCACAGGTAGCACGTGAAGTCTATCTTGGGGTGGTCCAGAATCTGACTATAAGTCCACTTTCGACCAAAAGCACAGGTAGCACGTGAAGTCTATCTTGGGGTGGTCCAGAATCTGACTATAAGTCCACTTTCGACCAAAAGCACAGGTAGCACGTGAAGTCTATCTTGGGGTGGTCCAGAATCTGACTATAAGTCCACTTTCGACCAAAAGCACAGGTAGCACGTGAAGTCTATCTTGGGGTGGTCCAGAATCTGACTATAAGTCCACTTTCGACCAAAAGCACAATTCGCATGCAAGCCTAGTGTCGCTTGTTTGATGCCGACGGCTTGGTCTACGCAAAACCCTGCGAGTCCCTCTTGAACACCGCCTCCCGGTGGGCCTCTATCGGGGGGATTCCCTTCGCGTGTCCATTCTTCAGTCCTAGCCAAGTTGCGATCACTTTTGTCCCTGTTGCTGGTTTTTCTCAGAATTAGCTCCCTTTTTTTCTTTTTTGCTTTTTTGGGGTCCCCTTTGTTTTCCACTAACCAGGCAACAAACACATTTTTTGCTGGGGTCCTAATTCCAGCCTAGTAAAGTGGATGAAAAAAAGGCGATCGCAATTGCCGGAGCATTGGACCAGCAAAACACCCACCGCGTCTTAGCTTATAAAGCGGATCCCTCGTACACATTGGTGGATTAGGGGCGTATACCGGAGCCCTGTGGTAAGGCCTACAACCTTCACAACTGCCCCAGAAAGCTCCCAATACCCACTTTCTTTTCAAGTTTTTTTGTTTTAAGAGAGCCAGGTTTTCCATACCTCAGCTTTCGCCAGGGCTTGAAGAATCATGTTTTTTCAAGAGTATTTTGAAGAATCAGGTTTTCCATGCCTCAGCTTTTCGCCAGGGCTTGAAGAACCTGGTTTTGTGAAGATTACATGTTTCTATTGGTTTTCAGTCAGGGGTTTGACATGCTACACAAACACAGGCAGGTAGTTGAAGTTGCTAGGCATCGTCGACTGAGGTACTGCAACTGGAGGGACTCCTACCTGAAGTGGAGAGCCTCGGATAAGCTTCAATTTGCTGAAATGTGTTGTTGTTATTATTGTTGCTATTATTATTATTATTATTATTATTATTATTATTATTATTATTATTATTATTATTATTATTATGTGTTGCTATTTGTCATTATCATTGTTATTATTATTATGCTTATCATTATTATTGTAATTGTTACTACTGTTGTTATTATTATTGTTATTAGTATTATGATTGTTACTATTTTAGAATTATGGTATGTGTATTTGTTTTGTAAAGCACAAGTTCGCTTTAGCAAGGAACCTTTCACTGCTGGCAGTATGTTCGTTCCCTGGCCACAAGCCGTCTGCAAACTTGAAGCTTTTTGGTGCAGTCGGTGTCTGCATCAATTTCGTGGTGGGACCATTTGCGGGCGCCAAAGAGGTGCCCAAGAAACGCACACTGGTTGGAAAAATAAACTTATGGCTTTAAACAATAATTTATCACTATATAGGTAATGATTTATTTAGAAACTTATGGCTATAAACGATATTTTCTCTCTGCAGGTAATATGTTTTTGTTTTTTTCCATGTAGTTGTGCCCATCCCTTGCCATTTGCTTCTTCTTGCGTCAAGGTGGGGAAGGACTGCCGACGGCCCGGTAGCGCGAAACAGTCTCCAAACCTGTTCTGCCAATCAGATTGCAAGAGTCAAGACCCAGTGCAGACCCTATGATTTGGTACATTCCAAGTGGTGAACCTAAATTGGCGCCCCTTGAAAACAGCCCCCGTTTTGATCCCGAAAAGAGTCTTTGGACCCTCTTAGTGATTCCATTTCCCTTGCTCCCTTGTTTGTAGGTAACCACTTGAGCTACCCAATATAGAACAAGAGGAACGTGGGTTTGTCCCAGGTGTAGGTGTACCACCCTACCTGGGTGGCTTTCCTGTTCATTTCCTGTAACGCCAACCCAAGAAGGGCAGCCTCAAAGCAAGCCGAGGCACCCAAATGGTACGAAACCGATGCGCGATCCCAGACCCGGATTCGTTCCTTTCCTTCGGGAACGGAAGCATCGAAGGCTTGGGACCTTTAAACTGGAGTGTCGCCGTTTTGAGGAATCCCACTTCCTTTTGAAAGCGACCTTTATGTCGATAGTTGGGGTTAAATGGAAATAGGGGGGCCGGCTCTGAACTAGTATTCCCCTCACTCCAACTCCACTTCTCCACCTCCACTCCAAGAAGCCCTCACCCCAACTCCAACTCCAACTCCATTCCAACTCCATTCCGCTTCCACCGAACTCCTCCCAACCCCTCACCCCAACCCCACACCACACCCCACTTCTCTACCCCAACCCCACAACCCAACTCCACACCCGACCCTAGGGGTCCGATCGGCGCTTGAACTTTGTTTGGCTGAATTCCGAGACCCGGTCGAACCGCACCCAACGAGTTGCATTTCTTTGGGGTGTCAAAAGTTGACCGTACTTGGAGTCGAAGTCCATCCAACTTCCGTCGATCGGGCCTTAGGCATGTCCCACTTCGGTTCGAATAAAATTTGTACCCGAAACCACTGACATGGCCATGGGGCATGTTCTATGGCTCCATTTTGGGGTTTTCGGTGCACCACCCATTTTAGAACCTATTTTAGTGGTTCACTGGGGGTACGGGCTTTTGACCCAAGGCCAGATGTTTTGATTCTTGTCCATGGGCTGTGGGTGTGGGTCAAAACCAATGGTACCATTTTGGGGTAGGTGCACCACCCATTTTAGTCGGGATTTTGGTGGGGATTGGGATGTTCACTGGAGGGAAGATTCGGGGGATCCCTGCAACTTCCCCAGAATTAGCTCCCTTTTCTTTTTTGGTGGGGGCGTCCCTTTGTTTTCCACCAACCAGGCAAGCAAGATAGATATATATATATATACATAAATATATATATATATATATATATATATACATATATATATATATATATTTGCTGGGGTCCGATTTTTCCAGCCCGGGTGAAGAGGAAGTCTCCATCTTCCAGGCGCCCCGCTCGACGCTGGCTGGGGCCGTTTTCGGGGGGCCCCGGAAGAGTTTTTCGGCGATGGCGGAGGGGGCCAGGAAAGCCAGAGGTTCATGGGAGGTTCTTTGAGGCGACCCGGACCCTCGAAATTCCCAACTTAAAAAAGGGCTCCCGAAATGTTTCGAGGCAAAGCCAGACTTCAATCAACTCGGAGCTCCTTGATTTAGAGAGAGCTTCCTGAACCCTCAAAATTCCCTTAAAAATGGGTTTGACCCCCAAAATGATGGTGGGCGATCTCCCAATTTTTATGGGTGGTTTGGAGGGTCCAGGTACCCTTTTTGGGGCTTGGTGGAAAGGGGCACAAGGAACCCCCACGATTTAGGGGTTCATATCCGATTTTGGCACACAGTCACCCACATCGGGACGAGCCGGCAAATGACGCATCCATCAGCCGGTCACAAAAGCGCCCGCTTGTAGCAGCTTCTTTCGAACCCAAATGGGGCAGGGGTGGAGCCCAACTCATTGGCGACTTGGCTCGTTCTCTTTTTGGAGTTGGCACCCCTCTTTTGTGTCTTTTACAAGCAAAACCACAAGGAACATGTCCTTGTAGACATCATCCTGGCCCGAATTGTCAAGCTAACCCTCCAGGGAACAAAACAGGGGGATGTATGGAATTTTGCCTGACATGCTTCGGATCGGCTCTAGAATGATTCCGAGGTCGTATACGATATTTGCGATCAAGACGCTCCCAAAGGTCTTCATCCCTTATTCTATCCTTTGTACTGGAGGACCTAGACTGGGACAGCTCGCGGATCATGGCGAATCGCGGCGTCCTTCGATCCGCTGAGGGCGTTTGTTTTTGTCGAAAAAGAAACAGAAATCCAAGGACAGGGCGACGCGAAGGGCGCGAAAGGCGAGAACGTGGAGGAGACCCACATCAAGAATAGGCCGGCTTTGGCGTGCTCAAGGAACCCACACCTTTTGGAGCTAAGCCTTGGTTTCCCCACCCGACAGCAAAACCGAGAATTCGCTCTTGGCAAGTGTCTTGGTGTTTGTTTTGTTTTTTGGTTCTGTTCATGGCTGCTCTTGGCAAGTGTCTTGGTTTTTGTTTTGTTTTTTGGTTCTGTTCATGGCTCCTCTTGGCAAGTCTCTTGGTTTTTGTCGTTTTTTGGTTCTGTTCATCGCTGCTCTTGGCAAGTCTCTTGGTTTTTGTCTTGTTTTTTGGTTCTGTTCATCGCTGCTCTTGGCAAGTGTCTTGTTTTTGTTGTTTTTTGGTTCTGTTCATTGCTGCTCTTGGCAAGTGTCTTGTTTTTGTTGTTTTTTGGTTCTGTTCATGGCTGCTCTTGGCAAGTGTCTTGGTTTTTGTTTTGTTTTTTTGGTTCTGTTCATGGCTCCTCTTGGCAAGTCTCTTGGTTTTTGTCGTTTTTTGGTTCTGTTCATCGCTGCTCTTGGCAAGTCTCTTGGTTTTTGTCTTGTTTTTTGGTTCTGTTCATGGCTGCTCTTGGCAAGTGTCTTGTTTTTGTTGTTTTTTGGTTCTGTTCATTGCTGCTCTTGGCAAGTGTCTTGTTTTTGTTGTTTTTTGGTTCTGTTCATGGCTGCTCTTGGCAAGTGTCTTGGTTTTTGTCGTTTGTTGGTTCTGTTCATCGCTGCTCTTGGCAAGTGTCTTGCTTTTGTTGTTTTTTGGTTCTGTTCATCGCTGCTCTTGGCAAGAGTCTTGTTTTTTGTTTTTGTTTTTGGTTCTGTTCATCGCTGCTCTTGGCAAGTGTCTTGCTTTTGTTGTTTTTTGGTTCTGTTCATCGCTGCTCTTGGCAAGAGTCTTGTTTTTTTTTGTTTGGTTCTGTTCATCGCTGCTCTTGGCAAGTGTCTTGCTTTTGTTGTTTTTTGGTTCTGTTCATCGCTGCTCTTGGCAAGAGTCTTGTTTTTTTTTTTTGGTTCTGTTCATCGCTGCTCTTGGCAAGTGTCTTGCTTTTGTTGTTTTTTGGTTCTGTTCATCGCTGCTCTTGGCAAGAGTCTTTTTTTTTTTTGGTTCTGTTCATCGCTGCTCTTGGCAAGTGTCTTGTTTTTGTTTTTTTTGGTTCTGTTCATCGCTGCTCTTGGCAAGTGTCTTGTTCTTGCTGTTTTTTGGTTCTGTTCATTCTTAGTAGGGGGCCGCAAAAGAGTTGAACATTGATCGAAGGTGACCTACGAGTGGCGTGCCACGGATCCCTTGGGATCCGCTGTCCCGATTCATGTCCCTGGAAGAAGCGAGCTCCAAATACCCACCTTTTTGTTTCAGGTTATCATGTCAATCGCTGACTCGAAAAGGAGGTATTTATCCTAAAACCAGGTTCTTCTAAAGCTATTCTGAACAAAATGGGTATTTTGAGTCATTTGTACTAGTGGCTCTTTCTTCTCTTTACCCTGCCGAGCAATATCAAGGACAAATCCTGAAGCAGAGTTGCCTTCTGTTCCCAAAGTCGACGGGTATGACTCGGCCCAGTGAGTGATGAGTGAAGCGAACTGCCAATTCGTTTCTCTCCTTTTGACTTCCCTTCAAAACAGCGTCAAAAAGAATACAAACTCTCAACACCAGTGAACCACTCAAACTGCAAAATCGCAAAAAAAGCACAAAGCGCCCCTCCTCCTCCTTTGTTCCCTCCAACCTCCCAAACACGGCATGAAGAAAAACAAAAAAAGGGAAAACACATGGCGAACCACCCCCAACACCGTCGCAGCTTCAATTTTGGTGTGTGTTTTCGCGCAAAGATGTTCTCACCGGAGGACACTTGAGTCCAAGACATACTCGACCCTTTGCAGCTTCGGTACGGCGCCCTTCGTTTCCCAAATCAATCAGTTTGAGAGCGACAAGTTAAACACGTTGAGTCAGCCCACAAGTTGCTCGTCATGGCACCAACACCGTTGCAGCTTCAATTTTGTGTATGTGCGTGTGTGTGTGTTTAAGTGTTTTTCTTCTGCGCAAAGTTCTTCATGGCAGGAAGAGCACCTTCGAGTATTGGTACCCAACGGTGTCTTCCTACACCTTCCGGCGCACCTGCGCCTATTGGAGCCTCGGATCCGAACGCTCGCGCTCGCGATGGGTGTCACGAGCCGAAAGCTTGGGATATGGGTTTTTCGCCGTGGAACCCACCAGAGGGTCCCACAAAAACTAGTTTTCAAGGACCTTTTCCCAGTGAGGTGCCATGGCAACGTGGATTGGAGTGACGGGAAACCAACCAGGAATTGCCACTCAAGGACCCCGGAGGTGGTTACCAAGCAGAGAAAACCGCGCTGTGGGCGGGCTTTCGAGGTGTCGATACGCTGGTCCGATCCGGGCTTGGTATGCGGAGCCCGGGACATCCGGGGCCCGCCCGGAATTTCCATCAGAACCCTCAGGGTCGGGGAAACACCAACGGAGCAATCAAAACCCGGGTAGATGAAGGATAGCAAGGGGCAATCCCAACCGTAAATAGCTGCGGCCGCCTTCTTATTTCTGTACATGGGGTAGACCATTTTAATACCGGGTTCTGGGTGTGGTGCTCAGCGACGCCAGAAGGCTCTGGGGTTAGCTGGTTGAGCGAAAATACCCACCTCACTTTCAGACCATAGTGGTAATTCATCCTGTCCTGGTGTTCTAGCGACTGTGCGCGCGGGAAACTAAAGGGAGACCATGTACTCGTTTTTCGTTTTTTTCTTTCGAAGCAGCCACCAGGTGGATGCTTTCAAGTCACCAAGTGGACACTAGGGGCTTTGCTCCGGTTGAAAACCAATGGACCTGGTGTCGCGTCCATCCACTTGGGATTATTCCAAATTCATGGTCCTTCCCCCAAGATGGGGTCAACCCCCACAAATGCAAACAAAAGAAACCTAAGCATCTTGGTACCTCAACATGGATGCCTTTTGAAGGTCCAAACACTTTCCAATCGAGGTCCGATTCGACCCCTCTAATGGGGTCTAGTCATTCTTAGGGAGCCAATCATGGAGTCATTTCTTTGTCTGCCGAAACGGGTCACTGACTGCTTCAAACCTAAACCAGACTGTTATTGGACATTGGACTTACAGGTTTTACTTGGCCAACCGAGAACGAATTTGTTGTTTCACTGGTTTCAACGTTTTTGCAGAATGATTCCACACAAACCAGCCTCTACCCATCCCTCGTTGACTTCGAGGATTGGTGTCCTCTTCGTGGCTTGCCTCGAAAAATCTCGGGGCGGTTGCGACGTTGCGGCCAAGGTTTAAGTTTGGTTCGATGTTCCTGTGGAGGGTGCATGATTTGGACGCTCCTTGACCTTTTGGTTTTCCATTTAAAACAATCAACAAAGACAATACATGTTGTTTTCGTTTACTTCGTGGCGTGGACCTCCAAAAGGTTGGTTGTCCTTTTGGTTTCCTAAAACCACAAAAAGATTGGATGCCAACCCCGTAAATTTGCTTCGGGTGACAAGGGCTGCCCTGAAAAAGTGTTCTAGCCCTACTTTGACGCCCACATGGCTTGCACAAGCAGTGTTCAGCTTGCTTCTGCGTTTGTCCGTTCTACCCAGAGGCTCACAACGGTTGATTTGAGACCCCCAAACACAGGTTTCATTAGGTGTCCAGTGGAGGGGTCTGGGTCTTCCATTGAACGCATAAGTCAGGAGCCTCGGGGCAAGCAAAATTATGACTCACCACGAAAGAGTCTAATGTTGACCCAGATCCACACCTTTGATCAATAGCAGAGGCTTGTGGGCGATCAATTGTTTGAATGTACCCCGATCAAAGTCTAGCTTGACCCTCCTTTGACTCATTTTCTCATTCTGGCGGAAGATAGCTGTTATGCATGTAGTTCCATACCACTAGAGCCCATGCCTTTCGGTCCCAAAGAGAGTCCAACGATGCTCAGAGATCGATCAACTTCCGTAAATGACAGCGACGGCGCTTGCGCTTCAGATGGGTTGGCGGCCGAAGGGTTCCTAGGTCCCCCAGGATCTGGGGAGGGTTCCCCTAGTAAAGTACCTGAACCCTCAAAATTCCAACTTAAAAATGGGTTTGACCCCCAAAATTATGGGGTGATATCCCATTTTTATGAGTAGTTTGAGGGTCCAGGTAGACGACAGAATCCTCTCCTTTAGTGAAGGACCTAGGTTCCGATTGACAGGCCTCAGCATACGTTGGATTATAGGAAGTCTGCCTTGGAAGTGGGATCCTGGACTGCCGATAAGAAACCCCCAACAAAAAAATCGAACCGAATGGGTCACAAGTTGGCAACTTGTTGCACCCTAAGAATCTTAGTGTCTCAGAATGGATGCCATGTTGAGGTCCAAAGCAAAACCAGTGTCCTGACCCCATCCAATGGAGGCTCCTTTGTGATGCTTGGGGGGCTGTTGTACTGAACATATCCCATGCAAAAGCTTGGACGGAGATTCCATTTGCTGATAATTGTGACATGTGAAACAGATTTGGGTTCCAACTCTGCTGTGATTGACAGGTTTGTCTGCAGGGCAGTACCCTGTTTCTACCAACCCCTTCCAAATTCTTGCGGTGTATGGTGACAAAATCCACCGCACCAGTTGGGATGCATGAACGGGTCGCAATGGGGTCAACCACCCACCACAAACACAAGCTGGGCTTGTCTCACATTTTGAGCCTATTGTTTCCTTTATTTACAACAACTCCGAAGAGGGTACTCATCGAAATAAGACATACCCAACTGGTGCAACTGATTTGTTTTTTCGTGACAAGATAGAAAGCGGCAAAGAACTTAAGCACATGGAAAGGCTGATATCATGTAAAATAAGTTCAACAGACTTCGAGAGCCGGATTCTCGGATTCGTTTTCGCCCATTTTTATTTTTATTTTTCGGCCGCTCTCGCCTTCGTATTCTTTTTGTGGTTTCCCCAAGAATCCGAGGATATCCCAAACTGGCGCCGCCTTTTTGACTTCCAATGGAGAGCTCTAAACCCCAAAGGATCCTTTCTGATGCGAAACGGGCGAGGCTTTTTCTCTCGATGTCCAGTCACGCGTTCGCCATTTCAAGTCGGACCCAGTAGTGATTCCATTTACCTGGACCCTCAAACTACCCATAAAAATGGGATATCACCCCATAATTTTGGGGGTCAAACCCATTTTTAAGGGAATTTTGAGGGTTCAGGTACCCATATAGGTCGCCAAGGGGGTTCCCGGATGAACATCCGAAACGGATCAGGGCGAAGGGTTGCCCATGCGAAACGCTCGAACGGGATTCAAAAGCAAACCCTTGGTTTATGGGTTCTTACTTTAAGGCAAAGAACCCATTCTCCACAGTAGGTAACCAACACAAATCCATGTCCCTTTTCTATGGATGGAAAACCCTCTTCAAAGTTACCTGCCTTTACCAGGTAAATACAAGATTGTCATTTGGCCAAGAGGTTTGGTATTGTCCGAAAGTAGGGACCCTGGAGGTGTTGGAAGACAGCAAAGGTTCTCAGGCAGATATCAGAGGGTTGGGGCAATTTCGTGATTTCAGGGTACCGGCCTGTTGCTTGGATTGAAAGGGACACCAAAAGGAAACCAGCTTCTTTTTTGTTTGGGAGTGTTTCCCCTTTGTCAGATGCACACTTTATGTTTGCAACGATGTCAACCTGAAAAGGGTAATTACCCTCAACAACCACGAGTTGCAGCCAACATTGTTGAAACCAGCGTTCCTTTGGCGTCATGGGCCTGGGGCTTTCAACTTAAGATTCGCCACTGAAACAGGTCCAAGAGGGCTTGCCCAACAAGGGAACCTCTGTAGATTAAACCATTGGTGTGAATTGCTTGCACAAGAGGAACAAACCGCATCGTTTTTGGTGGTAGTGGTGATTTTGGCCCTAGAATACGTTTGGGCCTGTTCAACATGCATCATGTGTTGTGAATTGCTTGCAAAAGAGGAAGAAACCGCACCCGATGACTGCTATGGGTGTTTTGGTGGTACCGGTGGTGGTTTCAATGGGAAACCTCAAGGAAAGCCACCAGCCACCCATCCGTGGCGTGCCGGAAAAAAGAAAACATTCGCGCCGGCGAGGTGGAGGGGTGCATCTTCTTCGCCTGGCAGACGATGTTTCTGGCCTACTGGCCGGACCCCCCTCCGCGCATCGAGCGGCTTGGAGGGCTCTGGGGGATGGCTCGAGAGACTGCTCGATGCGCAGACTGAATGACATGCGATCGCTGCGATGGGTGGGGAATGTAGTTGAAGGAACCCAGTTGGCGCCCCTTAAAGGAAACCACCAGTTGGATGGTTCAGGGTCATTCCAATTCTCATTCCCTTGCTCCCTGCTCTCGCACCAGCAAGATGAGTGAGTGCCCAGGGCTGGGGCGGAGGTGGAATCCCCTTAGCCGGGGGGTGCACGGGGTGGGTGGGTAGTTGAGAGCCCCGTTTCACGGGTTCCTTCCTTCTGGAAGCGACCATCTGAGGGACCCCACAAATAAGGGGCATGGTTCATGAACCCAAAGTGGTTGAAACAAATGGGTATGGCTCAAAATGAAAGAGCTGGGCAAACCGCAGGTTTTAGTCTTTGGTTGATTACCAGGTGCCATTTTGGTACCACTTTTTAGAACCACAGCCAAATAGGAATCTGCCTGGATTGCCAAGTGCCCATAGTTTGGCTTTTTTTCCAGGCACGAAATCAGCGTTTTTAGATTGGGGTTCATCAATTGGGAGAAACCCAGAAAAACATCATTGCAAGAATGATGCCAAACTACCCCCACACCCAGGAAATATGGGCAATGCTTTTGTAGAACCCCTGCAGCCCGCTTTTCTTCGGGGGGTGGCCTACTCTCGTAGCCCTGGAAGGTTGAGAGCGACCTGTTTGGGAGTATGTTGGAGGTATTTACCATGGAAAAAGCCAGGTTGCTCTAAAAATGAACAACTTAGAAGGAATAGGGCTTTGATGCATTTTGCCAAGGGATGTTAGGACTTTAACTTTTTGCCAACTAATGGGTTTTCCATCAAACCACTAAAAGTTAAACTTTTAGCAGGGAAGCAGAAAGCAACCGAGAGGGGGTGGAGACACTGGGTATTTTGACCACCCTTGTATTGCACAACCAGGGCCTGCTTGTAGAAAGCCGAGTTCGCACGGATGGGAAATCTGATCTGAGCAGCGACCTTTGGGTGTTTTTTTTTGGGGACCCCCCTCCCCTTTGGGTTTCCGTGTAAACAACCCTTCAAAACGGGTCCCCTCAAAAGACGGACCCATGGCCCATTTTTTTCACATTCGCTTCGGCTCCTACATGGATGAGTTGCATAGAAAGGGATCTTCGTTGAATCCATGAATGCAGGAATTCGCGCGGTGCTTGAGACGGGGTGTAGCGCCTAGATCTTTAATTGCACCAGTGGATTTCAGTTGCCAGTATAAGTAACCCTTCGACATTTCCCTTCTTTGTTTTCAAGTTGCTGGTTCCCTTTACCTACAAAACAAGGGACATGGAATCACGTGCGCCAAACGTAAGCCGTTGCTGGGTCCGTGTTTTTTTTTTGCGCCACCAGCTGAGGTTCTGGATCTCCAAGATGCCGGTTTTGTTTGGGACCACCATCTTCGGTACCGGGATCTACATGGGATATCTGGAGCTCATCAACATGGACACAGACACCAACTTGACTCGCACCTCGATCAAGAGAACCCGAACACAAGTTGGCGGTTTGGATTAGTAGGATTTGAACTTGGTGAATGGGGTTTCCGCCCAAACCTTCACACCTCGCTTCGATCAGGTGGGTTTGGGGATTTGAATCCAACCTTCACACCTTAAAATCTTCGAGGTCACCCACAAATTAGTTTGGAATTAGTTTGGGGATTCGAACTGGTGGGTAAATAGGGTTTCCGACCCAAGCTTCACGCCTCCAACCGCCTAAACAATTTGAGGCAAGCTGATTGGCCTTTCTGAGAGGGGCCCAAAGGGAAAGGATTGAGGGTTGGGGTAAAAGGAGCTCAAGGGCGTGTCTTCAATGGGTCGCCCCGAGGCGAATCGGCCTGAAATAACTTTTTGGGTTTCTCTCTTTTGGCAACCACGTTTAGTAAAGGTCCCAAAAGGTTAACCTTTTGTTCCTGGGTTCTTTGGGCAACTGAGAGAATGTTAAAGGGTTTCCCTTTGTTTAGCAACTCCAACAGCTCAAAAAAGCAACTTACTGTACCCAGGGTTGGTTTTTGGCTTTCTCTTTCGAAAGCTCCATTTTCCGTGGGTGCGTCTTGAATTGGAGACCAACATGCTGGTTTCGATCTTGGTTTCCCTTTGACACCCCCTAAACCCCAAACCCCTCCCCCCCCCCCCCCGAAAAGGTGTATAATTCCCATCAAAAGAAGACGCACACACACACACACACACACACACACACACACACACACACACACACACACACACACACACACACACACACACACACACACACACACACACACACACACACACACACACACACACACACACACACACACACACACACACACACACACACACACACACACACACACACACACACACACACACACACACACACACACACACACACACACACACACACACACACACACACACACACACACACACACACACACACACACACACACACACACACACACACACACACACACACACACACACACACACACACACACACACACACACACACACACACACACACACACACACACACACCACAGCACACACCCAGCTAATATCTCACGCACTGTTGCGCCCCTGGCACCGATCATCTATTTCCCCAGCAGGGTTGTGGGATCAAGGGGTGTATGCGCCACTTCTGTGTTACAAGGGAAACCCCTGTACATGGGGGGGGAAGCTCGTTCTGTTGTATCATAGAAGTGGATTCCATTTCCTCCCAGACTTGGAGTTGGTTTGTCGTCTTTTGGGATTTGGACCCCTTCAAAATTGCCGTTCAACAATTTATCCTTTTCTCCTTTGAAACTCAAGGTACGCACCCAAGTCATTTCTCACACTGAAATGTCGTCCCTGTGGATGGCTGCGAAATGGATTTGAAATTATGATGAGCGATGATGGCTTGTTGGCATTTACATTGGAAATCATTCTTCCAGCGTTCTAGCATTTCCTCCATCCTCAGTAGGATACCGCTTGCGGATTAAATTATCCAACTCCTTGTAACGCGGATGGTTTTTGGATGCATCCTTCTACTGGTGTTTTTGTTCAGTTTGTCGGACTGGCATTTGCTTAAAACCCTGAACTGTTTCCCACAATTTCCAAGGTGAGCGATCAAAACCGGCACTCCAAACCATACCCAATGATTCCATTTTCCTGGTAAAGGCAGGCAACCAAGGGGTGATGAAAATGGCTGGAAGGCTTACCTACGAAAAAGGTGGTTTGCCAAGGATTCCTGGGCTCTGGGATAAAAAAACTCGTCCCGGAGATCCACTTTGATTGTTCCGGGTGAAGCGAGTAGCTCCCTTGAAAGTGTGCTGATGGGACTCCTTGCGGGTCGAGACGCACGCCCTTGGCGTGCTATAGGTTAGTTGCCCGGGGTAAATGGAGTTCGTTGGCTTCTCATGGTTCTAACCCACTTACTAAATCGGTTGAACATCCCCGTCCCAGGATAGACAAAATATGGGAAGAGTCAGAACTCGAAGTACCCTCTTATCCACATCCTCAAACTCACAGCAAAGTCCTGGAAGACCAAATCTTCCCTTTGGTGCATTTTGCTTTTTGCCAACTAATGGGTTTTCCACTAAACCACTAAAAGTTAAACTTTTAGCAGGGGAGCAGAACGCAACCGAGTTCCGTGAAACGGGGCCATTTCGCACGTTCCATGTCAGTGGGACCGTTTCCAATTTTTTGTGGTTGCCTACTTGGGTCTGCGATTCGAGGTAGTAAGTGGAAATCCTAATAACAAGGTTACCCCCCCCATACTGAGGGTGCTTTATTACTTGGCTACAAAGTATAGGTTCCCCGTTGCAACTTACCAAGTTCGCGAATGGAGCATCCACGCACTTGGTCAACACTTGGCTCAAAAGCAACAACAAAGACATGCGTCAAACAAAGAAAAGGACAAAACGAGGTTAAACACACAAATTCAAGGCAGAAAACCACTAAACAAAAGAATGCAGACCACAACAAACCCAAGAAAACAAGCCACAAACTACAAAAAGTGAAGCCCAAGCCCCATTCTCCAGGCCCCAACTTCCTTTGGTGCGACTGGCGAGCGCTCTATCGCCTGCTACAGCAGAAGGAGGAAGGCACGTGGCTCTGGGGCAACGCGGGGTGGCAAAATCGAGGGAGGGACCACTTGTCCTATGGTTGTCAAGGGCACTCTATAGGGGCCTCCCAATACCAATAGGGGCTGATAGCGACATATAGGGTCTAGTAGGGGCAAACTAATAGGGTCTATTAATTAGGAGGTTGTGGGACCATGAACTTGGGCTTGGGAGGATCACCCCCATGCCCAGGCCAATCTCACCATGGTAGCAACCCGAAGCTGGTTGAGCACCCAAGAAGGGACCTTCTCGGCATTGGGTCTTTGGGTTTCACCAGCTACCTGGAGCTCCTGGCGACTCATTTTTCAGCGGGATCTGTCACATTTGGCCGTGGGTCGACATCTACCATGTTGGGTCCATTTTAGTGGTTGGATTGGGATGTGCACTGGGGGCTAACCGGGGTTTTGACCCATAGCCATTTTACTGCACAAATTCACCTGGAACCCTTGGAAAACTGGAACCTCCTCTTGGGAAAGCGCTTCCCCTTCCTGAGTTCCTTGTAAAGTTTGGGGAGTACTTTTTCTTTGGTGCATTTTGCTTGGATGTTAGGACTTTAACCTTTTCCAACTAATGGGTTTTCCACTAAACCACTAAAAGTTAAGCTGTTAGCAGGGGAGCAGAAAGCAACCGAGTCTTGGTGAAGTTACTTCCCGAACCTGCTTAGAAGTTGTCAAGATTGAGCCACCCCGCTTTACTTGCAAGGATTCCAACGCGACAGAACGATGGAGGGCTGAAGGGGCCCGCCCCGTCTATGGGAGCCATAAGCCACACAGCAGTTCTGAGGGCTCATTTTCGAGGTTGCCTCCGCCGCGTAAAAAAAGGATTGCCATGTGTTGTCCTTGACTAAATGCTGGTAGACAAGATGCAACAGCAACTCTGTGTACCTGGACCCTCAAACTTCCCGGGAAAATTGGGTCATTGTCCTATGGGAGGAAGTCCATTTTTTAAGGGTGGTTTGAGAGTCCAGGCACTTTCACAGATTGATATGGCAAACCAGAACACCCATTCGTAGAGGCGTTCTCTACTTGGGAGACCCCAAGTACATGAGGTTTGGTCAAAATGTCCAGCTGGTCCATTTGGGGTTCGGGAGCACAGATAAGGGACTCAGTCATTTCCCATGTCCTCTCGGGAATGTTTTCATAATGTTGGCGCCACCCCGTTTGAAGACAACATCATTCCCTCTGAAGGGCCAAAGCCCGTCACTGTGCAGCCCAAAGTGACATCAACGGAATTTGCCCTGCGTGGGGTTAAGGGGTTTTGCCATCTGGCTGTGGGTCAAATCAAATGTACCAAGATGGCACCTGGGCAAATAGCACCAAAAACGAATACCTGCGGTTTGCCCCAGTTTTTTTTGTGTTTACTGGGTCCCCCAGGATCGTGCCCTTTTACCGTTTCTTTTTTGGGGGAGGGTTCCCCTACTAAAATAGACTACAGAAAAAAAATGGTACCCATATTCTAACCTCTCTACTGGAGGACCTAGTTAATTTTGAGCCGCACCCACCTCAAAAAGGGTCTCTGAAATGCCAGCCCGCTTGAACGGGCCGAGGTGCACCAACGCCATACTTCGTTGGGAGGGTACTGTGTCACGGTTGAGCAAGGTGCGGTTTTACTCTCAGCCGGACAATCCATAGGATCACTTCGGGTGCTCCAGAGTCAGACCCAAAAAAGGAGACATGCATACATCAATACATACATATATATATATATATACATATATATGTGGGTTATGGGTCAAAATTAAACCGCCAGAGAACCTCAGGTTTTGATCCATGCTTCCAATTACCAGGGTTCCATTTTGGGTGTCCATGCCCATTTTTGACCCACAACCATATATCTACTGTGGATGGACGAACTCCTGCACCACTTTGGAACGATGAAAATACATTGTGTGTTGGCATTCACAGGGAAATCATCATTCTAGGGTTTCTTAGGTGGTGCAGGATTCCGTCCATCCGCAGCATGTATATGTATATGTATATACATATATATATATATAGATACATACTTTTCTGGCCTTCCCATATCCCGAACACTGTGATCCGGACAATTCGGTTTCCCCACCGTTTCTGGTTTCGGGTTCCGTGGTTTCTCCCGAGCGAAAGCGCGGCAAGGGGAGAGCGAGTCGGACTACGATGATGCGGATGATGCCAGCAGCCAGGGCCCCAAACCGGCGGAAAAGGGCAAGTTACCAAGACCAACAGCTGGAATCTGCTTCCTTTCTCCGTTTCCTTTGGGCACCATCAGTTTTTCCTGGGGACGTATGCGCAGATGGAGGATCTTGGGTTCATGGTTGATGGTTGCCACGCTATCACCGAGCGGCGCGATGGTCGGGGACCCTTGGACTCCATGAGGGGTTCTCAAACCTGCCGGTCAACCCGACATGAACCGATTTGGAGCGGCAGAGAGACTTTCTGCGGCTCGAGTTTCTCCCTTGCTTCTGGTTCAGGGGGCTGCAGCCGAAATTGGCGAGAAATTCGACCTCCACTTTTTTGGGGGGCTGAGTGCCCTGGTTTGGGGGGTGAAGCCAAAATTGGAGAGAATTCGAGCGTCTCCAAGTCCGAAAGACCACCGACACGCGCCCAAACACGGTCAGAACGTCACCCCCGACCTACGGGTCTCTACGGGTTTTCTACGCGGGCGCGAGCGAGTCGCCTTCGCCCGAGCGCAAGGTATGTCCGAGTTGTACTGGTACCAACCAGTGTCTTCCATCGCGGGTCAGAAGCTCGGGTCGAGTCGGGTCATGGATGCGTCGAAATGTGTCGTTGTTCTTGAGGCGGCCCTTTTCGGCAAAACCAATCGGGGTTGGTTTTCAAGGGAAGCCAACAGAACCAACAGGAAACACGCCATTTGGCTACTTTTTGGCTCATACTCAATGAGGGATTCGGACTCCCAATTTGTGGTTTCCCTGGCCCGCTGGCCCTCGTTGGTGTTTTTGGTTGGAGGTAGATGCCCTTTTGGGGTTGGCTTTAAAGGGACATCAACCGGAAATCCAGCATTTTGAGGGCCAACTTAGACCTGGACGAAGGGCTTCCTTTTGGTTTCCCTTTACGCCTCAAGACGAGCGAGCCTCGACGGTGGAACTCTGGGCCAGTCATCCAGGAATTGGGCGCAGAATTCTGCGTGAAAGCTCCATTTCTTGCCCAGGCATCCAACAGAAAACCCCAGAACCCGGATCCGGAACCGGAACTAGAGCTGATTTTGGCAGAGGCCCTGCATTTATGAAAACGTTTCTAGCGGTTTCTGGGGGTAAAAGATACAAAAACAACAACTAGAGATACAGTGGATGGACAAAATCCTGCACCACTTTAATACCATGGGAAACCAGTATTTGCTGGTATTTGCAGGGGAATGAACATTCCAGGGTCTCTTAGGTGGTGCAGGATTTCGTCCATCCACAGTAGGGCCTACATCTTTCAGCCGGGTAAGAATCGGGGCCATTTTTTTGAGGGGCGATCAACACCTGGGGCGACCATCTTTCTCGCCGATATGGTGAGCTTTCGGCTGGGGGTTCCAGGGTCGGGCAGGCTCTATTCCACCAGAAATAGGCTCAAGCCCTTCTGACACGTAGCAAGAGCCTCCTTTTTGATGGGCAGAGGGTTTGTTGTCCAACAAAGATTCAAAACCCTCCTGTCCACCAAACTGGAACGCACCAGAGGGTCCCTCTCAAAGGAATACACGTGACGTCAGGTTTCATGAAAGGTGGACGGGGGACTAAACCAAAAACCGGGGAAGAAAACCCCTCTCCCATCCGATTCGCTTTAGCTCCAACGCCTGTCGGGCCCGGGCGGCCATTTTTCACGCTTTTGACTGGAATGCCTTAAGCCGCCATTTGGGTGTCTCGTCCAACTTGAAGCAGGAAAAACGGCCGGACCCCCCCAAAACGGCGCAAGGAAAGTTTCGTTCCTGTTGCTTTCCCTTTAAGCCAACCCAGAAAGGGGCATCCTCAACAGAAAGACTCGGTCATGTTCCGGGTCCCACTTCGAAGTCGACGTCCGACTTCGATGTTTTCCGCCGATATCTTGGATGGTTCCCAGACCCCCAAAACCGCCCAGGGCTTTAATGGGAGACACTGTAAAAGGGTCCTTTCTTTGGGCTGCGTTTCTTGGGGCAGGGGGAAACCAAAAGGACCACCGATTTTATTTTATTTTTTTCTCCGGGGGTACTTGGATGCTGGGTTAGAACCTCCGAACGACTTAAGCTTAGCTCCTAGGCTTCATGATCGTTGGGTTATAACCGAACGGTTACTGGTACAACTTTGGGGAGTCGGAGACCCAGACACAGCCACCGGCTGTGGGCTGGAAGCACTTCAGCTTGCCCCATTTTTCGGTGGTTTGGACTCCGGTGGTTTGGTGGTGAACCGGAGGGCTTTCCCATTCACCCTCAACAAGAACCAGGGCTTCAAATCCCCAAAATCAGCCATGAAGCTATGAAGCTAATAAGCCCAGAGGGTCCCTTGGTACCTCATGAGGATGGCTTTTGGGGGGTAGAAAGGGGTCGTTCAGTACCTCCTTAGAAGGTACCCGAGGCTCCAATTCGATTGATTTAGGGCCTTCAACCTGGTTTTGAGACCGGGTCCCAACGACCGGTTAGCGGGGTTGGGGTCGGGTCTTCCATTGAAAGCCGAAGCCGATTGGAGCCTTTGGGAGGGGAACATCTGAAAGCTGAGGTTGGGTCATCTACCTCACGGGTGCGGTGATTTACCAAGTGGCCAATACCGCGGAGATGTTCGAATTGGACAAGGAGAGATTCGCAAGGAAATGAACCACCAAAAAAAAAATGAAACGTAAAATACAAGTCGTGTTTGTTTGCTTTAAAAAAAAAAAAAACAATCTCCAGGCTGGTCGGATGTTTTGGCGGGCACCATTTTTTAAAATAGGGCTCCCGAAATGTTTCGAGGCAAAGCCAGACATCAATCAACTCGGAGCTCCTTGATTTAGAGAGAGCTTCCTGAACCCTCAAAATTCCCTTAAAATGGGTTTGACCCCCCAAATTCTGGGGTGATATCTCATTTTTATGGGTAGTCTGAGGGTCCAGGGAGCTTCTTTCTTTCAGCTGGGCGCGGGGTTCACCATCTCGGAGCCCCTAATTCCCGATGCCCTGCCGATGCCCTATGCTTTGGGCTCGGTTTGGGGCAGCTTTCAGTGAGGGCCCCCAGCGACTTCCAGGCGAAAACTCCCGCGGCTGGGGTCAATTCGCCTGGGAATTTGTGGTGTCGTTTTTTCTTCTTCTTTTTTTCCTGTGAGTAGGGTATACGTCAAACTAGTTGGGTATGTGTGTTGTTCCTTGTTTTTTCCTGTGAGTAGGGTATACCCTCAAACTAGTTGGGTTTTGGGGTTTTGAGGGGGGTTTTCGCAGTTTGTTTCTCTCAAGATGGGCAAGCGAAAGGTGACGTTGAAACCCAAGCGGGGAACCCAATACGTCCCCAATGCCGTGGTTTGCCCGTTGGTGTTTTGGAGCTAGGGAAACATACATTTGTTTTGTTGGATGGAACCCTTTTGTCGGGTTGTTTGAAGGGGAAACCAAAACGGAAACCACCCCAAACTGGGGTTACAAACCAAATTGTGGAGTGTCTTATTGTTGATGGCGCTGGGGTGGACTAAAGTTGGGAAAACTTCAAGTTTGAGGGTCCAACACCCCGATTGGAACCCCGCAAAACCCGAGACAGCGGCGGCGGGCGCGTCTTGAAGCACCGGTAGGAGACCCACGCAATAATCTGCGAGTGGCCCTTGGTCTTCGGAGGCCTGTCGCGAATTGGCACGAGCGATGGGACGATACCCAGCGCGCCGGATTCTAGCTGACATGTTTCTTCTTCAAGCTATAGGATTTTTATGGGGCTGTGGCACAATGGCGGCGCGCCCGCCCGTAGCGGACGGGAGGTTGCAGGTCCAAGTTCTGCTATCAAACTGTTGAGACTATGATGGTTGCTTTGGAACGTACCACTGCAGAGTTTCTGGCGGGCTACTTGGATATTGTAAGAGTCGCAGGTACTTGGATGTTCAGCCTACTTGGTAAGTAGTTATAATAAATCCTGGCAATAAGCCCACTAACCCCAGGCAAACCTTACGGCACACAACTTCGGTTATTTTACTGACCTGACGTGGGCTGAACATCCTCAAGTACCCCTTGAGCCAAAGATCAAGTGGACAAACAAGCGGTAGACACGGCCAACAGGCCAGACTCAAAACGGGGTCAGTGGGGGAAGTCTTTGAGTGTGTCTTTTGTCAGAGTGCTCTTTTCTTCCCCAGAACTAGTTCCCTTTTTGCCTTTGTGCTTTTTTGGGGTTCCCTTTGTTTTCCACTCACCAGGCAAGAAAGATATATATATATATATTGTTTTGCTGGGGTCCGATTTTTCCAGCCAAGCTTTCAGGTTGTTTTACAGGGACCCGTTGGTTTTCTTCGAAACGAAGTCCGCGAAGCGAGTCAGCAAGAGGATTCTGGTCTGAGCGCATTCCTGGGGTCTTTTTGGTGAATTTTTTAGGGGTAACAATAGACACCCACATGCCGTGGATGGAAGTCCATCTGGTGGTTTCATCTTGACCCATACTCGTCCAATTCCTGGAATCCATCCCTTTTCACCAAAATGACACCACCATCAGAACATCAGAGCATTCTCTGGATGGACGAAATCCACATAACAAGTTGATCAAGTTGGTATTTACAGGAGAGGAAGCATTCCAGGCTTTCTTGGGTGGTGCAGGATTTCGTCCGTCCACAGTATGCATGTTCTGGGTACCCTTTCTTTGGCAGGGTTTGCTCCATTTCCCTTCTTGGAACCTCCATGAAGTGCCGATCGTTTCAATGGAAACGTGCACCAGTGTGGATGCACGAAATCCTGCACCATGTAAGAGACGCTGGAATGATCATTCCCCTGCAAATACCATCAAATACTGGTTTCAACCATGGTATCAAAGTGGTGCGAAATGGATTTTGGAACCATCCACAGTGTCACTGGGATCCCTGGATTTCGGAGTTGTCAAGAAGCCCGGCGAAGATTTGTTCGCGTGCTGTGTTGGTGCCGCGGGACCCGCGGTTTATCACGGCCCTAGTTTTGAGAACCTCTGGGCCATGGACGGCTTTCTGCCAAAGGCTTGCAGGAAAGAAGCAGACTGGCAGTTGTCCCTCCGTATTGTGGATGGTTGCGAAATCCGTTTCGCACCTCTTTGCAGCCATGGTTGAAACCATTGTTTGTTGCAGTATTTGCCGGGGAATCGAGCATTGTCCAGGCGTTGTTGAGCGGTTTTCGGGAGTTCGTCCATCAGCCTGGGATTCCCGGACTTGTTGATCGCACTCCCTCCAAGGTTCTTTGCTTTTGACTCTTCCTGAGAGTTTCCCAACCTCGAAGGCCCCTCAAGAGCTTTTTCGGGCCTCCGCCTTTTCAAATGTTCAGCAAGCAAGTTAGCTGCCAGGAGCCCGGGGAAGCCGCTTGAAGTCTTTTTCGGAAGAGTCCAGCTTTCCTCGAAGGGCGGACACACATGACACAGCCGAATGTGGGGGGGGGGTTGTGAGGGCACCCTTGGGGGATGTTTCAAAAGGAAGCCAACAGAACAAAAACTGCCCAGTGTGGTGGATTTCTCTCATTTTGAGACACATCCAAACAGTGATGGAGTAGCTTCTGTGGATGAACAACAAAGAGCCTGCGCTAGGAATGCTGGGATATACCACCTACCAACATGTGCCAATCGGCGTGGATCTTGTCCACTCGTACTTCCTCTCAGGAAACCTTTGTCGGTGGTCTGGATTGGTGGGAACTGGGGATTTGAACCCTGATTCTTGTACCTGGTTTTGAGACCCCCAACCACCTCCGGTGTGTCTTCCATTGAAAGCCCCAGGAGCCTCCGGGTAGGCAAATGGGAACCTCCTCCTCAACCACCAACCCACCCCAAGCAGAGGGAAGCTGATCCTCCGTCCCTGCCGCACTGCTGCGTCTTCGGGAGGCTTCTGCTTCTTCCTGGGTGGAATTGCCGAGCTCGTGCACAATCGCGTGTGGGCAAATCCTCCAGTGTCCTATGTCACTTGCCCGAGCCGGGTGAAGCAGGGCCCCCCACTGCATCTAATCATATGGTAAAGGGGATGGCACTTGACATCCGAAATCCACTGTCACATGTGTGTTTTTGGAAACCCCAGAAATCCGGTGGGGTTTCCCAGTTTCCAACTTGTCGTGGGGTCATTTTTTGTTGTTGCTAGAATTGGCTTGCAGGTTTTTCCTTGCCAGAACTTGGCTTGTACGTTTCTCCATGGCCGGTCTTTGGCGTCACCAAGTGGGCCCGTTTTGGACCCTTTGGAGTCAAATCTGCGAAGCGCCATTGAACCTTCAGGTGTGATCGGCCCTTTGCTCGAGGGCGGCTTGGAGCAACCCAGTTTTCCACTTGTGGGGTGCGTGCCCCTTAAATGTTGGGTCGATGTTATTTGGCTTGTGGTTCCCAGTGGATCCATTTTATGCCTGTATAGGAAACCAAGGGAACTCAAAACAAAAACAAGGCAGCTTGTGGATCTGTGGCAATCCATTGACCTGTATAGATAACCAGGCGGACAAAAGTGGATCCACGGGTTACACGCAGAATCGCGTCGCAACGGATTCCCTGTGTTCCACTGGGTGCCTTTATCAGGGGAACTCGCCTGGGATCCCATGTGGTGCGCGGAACCCGGTGGATCCCAATTGAGCAAACAAATGGACTTGTATTCCAGAGCTATTGCAGCACTGGGGCGGGTTTTTCCCTCTAGGTTTGGTGGGCGGCCGTCATGAACTTTGTGGGCGGCATCGGGTTTTGGCTTTGCGCCTGCCGGGCTCTCAAAAAGCTGCGGATCAGAGACTCGAGGGGACCAAGATATCCGTTTGTTTTGGATATGTTCAGAAAAAAACATGGTTTTCAACCTGGTTTTCCATGGTAAATACCTCCTTCTTGAGTCAGGGATTGACATGATGCTCTTAAAAGAAGGTATTTGGAGGGGGTAGGTCCACGTAAAAGGTGGGTGTCGGGTCCTTGAGATACTTGCCTGCAGGGGGTGCCTAACAAGTTGCCTAAGACACATCTGACGAAAAGAGTTGGTACCCCTTTTACAGGCTGTGGAATCCACCAGACGGGTCCTTCTTCCCAATCCAACTTGGGTTTGTTCTCGCCTTCACACATTCAATCAGGGCCGTTTTTTTTTTCCTCCGAAGGGAAGCCGTTTCGCCCGTTTGGTCCCGTTTGGTCCATCAGGCTCACCTCGCCCGTGTCCGGAGAGGGACTTCTTGGATTTGGTTTCTTGGGCACAGCGCAGGGACTGGCCATGTGGATGGACGCGAAATCCCATTTCTTAGGCAGCGCTTTGGAACAATGGTTGCAACCATACCGGTTGTTGGCTTTCACAGGAAAATCGTATCTGCAAAAATAAGGGTTTCTGAACGCTGGTGCGAAATGGATTCCGCCCATCCGCAGTATTTGGTTCATGGTGAGAAAGCCGCAGCAGGACGAAGCGGTGTTTGTTGTGGTTTCCTCGTTGAAACAGATTTTGCCAACAATGCTGCCTGCCGAAAATTCAACTGGCCGGTGCAGTAGGGGTAAGGCCCATATGTACGATCCTCGAAATCCCAAAAGGACCATGGAGTAGGTAGTTCCGCTACCTTGTTGTATGGGGTTTACAATAGTAAACTATATGACCATGTTAACTTGGCCGGGGTTGCTAGCCATCCGGTTCCTTACGTTTTTTGTTAATTGGCTTAGTGGTTGGGTTTCCGTATTTAACCAATTTGTTCTTCATTTTGAGCGGAGGATCAGAAATCAGACCGCCCAGACGATACAGGTCCCCCAGTAGTGCCCTTTCTCACCCCTTTTTTGGTTTGGAGGAATTCCCTACTAAAATAGACGACAGAAAAAAGTTGGTACCCTTATTCTAACCTTTCTACTGGAGGACAGTATAGAAATCACTACTGTGGATGGACGAAATCCTGCACCACCTGAGAAATCCTGGAATGCTGGTTCCCCTGCAAATACCAGCAAACAATGGTTTCCCATGGTTTCAAAGCGGTGTGAATTTCGTTCATCCACAGTATGACCCTTTTTTGCGTTTTTGGGGGAGGGTTCCCCTACTAAAATAGACTACAGGAAAAAAATCGGGTACCCTTACGCTATCCTCTCTACTGGACGCACGGGTTATCTACGTCATCGCGGCGAAACGGATTCCCGGGTTCCACCAAGCCGATCCTTTTTCAGCCGGACTATAGAAACCGCTACGACCTTAGAACGCAGCGTCAGCTCGGGGTTGGGCGCTACATTGGGCTCTTCACTCCCAGCTGGCGGGGTTTGCTTCCAGCCGAAACAAATCCCGGGCGGAGGGTCGGCGCCTTCCCTGTTTTTGTTTTCGTGCGCTCGGGGCAGACGTGGCGGATCTTTCAAGCGTGAATTTTGGGTGTGCGCTCAAAAATCGATGAACAAGAAAGTAGTTGCTGTGTTTGGAGCGAGAAAAAGGGAGGCCAAAAGGTGGTTTTCGGAGAACTCGGGTCTGTATTTAGGGGTTATCAAAGGGTTTTTTACTTTTCCTTTACCCTCCCATTGAACGGGGGTGACTTTGATAATGGTAAAATCACAGGGCCAGTAAGAACTGGTGGCAAGAGGTTTAGTTGCGTGTGACCTGCGCTCGGCTTAGTCACATCGACCTGCGCGTAAGCACTATCTCCACGCCCGCAAGGTGGCGCAAGCAGGTGTACACAAGAGCTCCACGCACGCAAGGTGGCGATCATGACACACGTAGGACATGGATCACCCCTTTGTTGGTGGTTTGGGGGATTTGAACCCCGTTGTGCTTATTGGATGGTAGATGGGCAACCACCCCTCACCTCTAAACCAACAATCAAAACCACCAATCGTGGCGGGTTCCTGCTGTCCCCTTTGGCATGTTGTTGTTGTTTAAGATTTAGTGGAGGAATTTGCATTTCAGCCCAGAACAGGAAATCATATTTGTGTCGAGGTCCGGTGATGATGGAAGACTGGGTCACCCCCATCGGATTCACAGGCGGGGCAAACAAAAGGAGACAAACAATCCCCAGAGTGACCAGTGGAGCGTTGCTGGCCGTGTCTCATGACGTGCTTTTTGTTCTGTTGTGTGTGTTTTTTTCGCCCGAAACTACCTTGGGTTACAGGAGGTCCTCCGATGCATGTTGCTTGTCCCAGACAGCCTTCAGGCTATTTGGCTATGTGTCAAACCTGGGGGGCAAACATGGGTGGTTTTCTTTTTGCTTTCCCTTCAAGCCCAGACAAGCAGAATCGTGTGTCCTATATAACAAAACTCACGCCATCTAAAGCTCGTCTTTGCCGTAAGCTTCCAGTTGTGCAAATGGGAGGGATGTGGGTGGTCCTTTTGGGGTCCGCCTACATTGACACAAAGCTGTGTGTTAGTCTTCCCCCTTTTGATGTAATTACCTTCAAGCACCAAGCAAACAGGGTTAAACAAATTGATGAAGGAAAGTCAGAGTTGTTGAGAACGGCCTAAACTGGTTGATGGGGCACCCTAGTAAATAAAGCCTTGTGGGGCTTTCCTTGGCTTATACAAGGATACGTATGATCACACACCGCGCCTGGGCATATTCTGCAGGCATTCTGTTCCAGTGGCCTTGGGGCCGCGACTGGAGTCGGGTGTTGCGTACCCCAAACGGGTTTGTCTCCCCACAAAATCTGAGCGGTTCCCAGCCGTCCGGTTACTTAGGTTGCTAGTTGTTTCTAGTTGCTCACTTCCTAAGTTCATGAGCTTTAAACTTTTTGGGATCATTTTGGTGGTACATTTAAGGTTTGGATATTTTTTTGGCGCCATCCACTCAGCCGTCGAGGTTGGCTTAGTGAAGATGTCCAGTGAACCCACGAGTTTAACTTTTGGCGGGGGATCGGAGGACAGCCCGGCAAAATGGTTGGCTTCCCTTTCATGCCCCTTTTACACCAACAAAAATAGAAAAGGAATACCAGCTCCAAGAGCAACACGCACACAAACAAATTGCACATATCCCACCTATACTAGGTCTTCCAGTAGTGCCCTTTGACCAACTTTTTTGGTTGGGAGGCTTCCCCTGCTAAAATAGACTACAGAAAAATGTTCTGTACCCTTATTCTAGCCTCTCTGCTCACAGACCTAGCACCTATATGCCTTGGATCGTTGTGCATAACCCAGTTATTACCTCTTGAAACTTGGGGTACCCTTTGGGTTAGGACGCTAAGGTCCCCGCATCACCAGCACCACCAGGCACCAGGCACCACCACCACCGGCATTTGCTCATCCAGCATGGGACCTGAGCAGTTCCTCAAGGAATCTTCCGTTTGCTCAAGATTGGTTTTTTCCCTTGTTGCCTTGAAAGGGAATCTATCACTACTTTTTTTTTCCGCAGGGGGCTTAAGCAAATGGAAGAAAAACACGCTGATCTTAGTGGACAGGAGGGTAAGAGGCAAAATCAGTACTAGTGTACTCCTGCATTCATGGCGGAATTTGATTCCAATGTAATCCGTTCCCCCTATTAATAAAGGTCTCCCTAATAATAAATATTTGTTTCGGAAGTCCCAAATCCGGGAATACTACTTTTAGAATAGCCAATACTAAACCAATTCTAAAGTAGGTATTTTCTTGCCCGTACTCAAATCCAGCCCCATTAGGGGGACCCCGGGGGCGCGTTTCCTTTAATTACTACGGCTGTACTACAAAGTTGCGACTTTCAAGCCAGAGCTCCGGGAGCACGTTTCCTTTACTACGGCTGTACTACAAAGTTGCGACTTTCGAGCCAGAGCTCCGGGAGCACGTTCCTTTACTACGGCTGTACTACAAAGTTGCGACTTTCGAGCCAGAGCTCCGGGAGCACGTTTCCTTTACTACGGCTGTACTACAAAGTTGCGATTTTCAAGCCAGAGCTCCGGGAGCACGTTTCCTTTACTACGGCTGTACTACAAAGTTGCGACTTTCGAGCCTGAGCTCTGGGAGCACGTTTCCTTTACTACGGCTGTACTACAAAGTTGCGACTTTCAAGCCAGAGCTCCGGGAGCACGTTTCCTTTACTACGGCTGCACTACAAAGTTGCGACTTTCGAGCCTGAGCTCTGGGAGCACGTTTCCTTTACTATGCTTTCATGCTTCACGGCTGCAAGCACAGCAGGCACCAGCTAAATGGTGGCCCTGCTTGCCTGAGCGACTGAAGCCACTGCTGCCTCCGGACCTTTGCCCGCTCACTGGCTGTCTCAGCCTGCGCCACGTGACGCGAAGCGTCACTACTCAGGTTGCACAGCGTGTCCTTGGATATGGAAGATTGAGTTGGGTTCGGGGGCTCTGGTTGTCTCACTGTGCCTGTCTCTCTCCGATCGCTTTCTCTCTCTCTCTCTCTCTCTCTCTCTCTCTCTCTCTATCTTTCTCCAATGTGGCTGTCTCCAGCTGCCAAGCTGCATTGCGCCACTCCATGCAGGTCAGCTTCTGCGCAATGCAGCTGCACTCCTCCTTGACTACCTCGGCTGCGCCGAAATCCCGCGGATTCCCTTTCTGACTGACTCCAAAAAAAAACATGCCACGACCTCAATCGGCACTTGCTTGTGTCTACCGTCTGATCCCCCATGCTGTCCTAACTACTAGATGCACCCCCCCCCGCCCCGAAACTCTTGCGTCTGTCGAACCCTTGTGCTATAATTATATGTATATAAATATATAAGTACATGTAATTACTCCCCCATATACTCCCCCCCCGAAACGCCTAATTATCTCGGAGCCACCTGACTCGCGCAACCTGGCACAAGCACACCTGCCTGGCAAGCCCATTTTTATAATTAGGGTCCACGCAGACCTCTCGGTCCTCCAGCAGCCACCCAGCCCGGCACAAGCACACCTGCTTGGCTGGCAAGCCCAGTTTTATAATTAGGGTCCTTGCGCTCCTGCTTGGTCCTCCAGCACCCACCCAGCCCGGTGCAAGCACACCTGCTTGGCAAGCCCATTTTTATAATTAGGGTCCTTGCGCTCCTGCTTGGTCCAGCAGCCACCCAGCCCGGCACAAGCACACCTGCTTGGCAAGCCCATTTTTGTAATTAGGCTTCTCCTGGCTGGTCCAGCTAGTTATATTCGGTCCGTCTCTATGTATCTAACTAGTCAAGCTGCTGCTCCTCTGTCTGCCTGCAGCCCCTGTGGGCCCATCTCAGGGCCTTTGTAGGATTGCAGTCCTTGCACCCCGCCCTCGACCCTCTGCACTTGCTGCAGCCAAAGGCTTCTTGCGCTGCCTGTGGCACGTGCGGGACTGGCGGGGGGTCCGGTGCCTTGTCTGGCCTCTCTGGTGGCTGGCTAGGAGGTGGCAGAGGAGGTAGGGCGTCGCCAGCCGCCTTGAGCAGCTTGGCTGCCTGCACCCTCAGCAGCGCCAGCCATTTGTTCAGCTTGGCTGCCATCTCTGCTGGCTTGTGCTCGAACCCTCCCAAGCCCTGGCCACGCCAGGCCCTGACTGCTCGAGCAGCAAACTGCAAGCAACCAAGGCTGCCTGTGGGGGGTTTGGCAAGCTGTCGTAGTACTCTGTCTGCCACTCTTCTCCTCCTGTCTGCACCGCCAGCAGGCTCCAGTGCTCCGGCGGCTTCTCTCCGGCGACCACCGCTGCTGGCTCCCACCAGTGCACGTCTAGTGGCTCAACCGAGGCTGACTCCTGCCTGCACGGTCTCCACTGGCTCCGAGCCCATGATCTCTGCTGCTCGGATGGCCATCTTGTTGCGGACTGTCAGGCTGCGGGTCCAGTCCTGCCTGGCTGCCTTGCACTCAACATCCAAGTCTGCCTTCTGCACCCAGGCCTGCTATCCCTGCCACTCTACCAGCACCTCGAGCTCTCTCTCTCTCTCTCTCTCTCTCTCTCTCTCTCTCTCTCTCTCTCTCTCTCTCTCTCTCTCTCTCTCTCTCTCTCTCTCTCTCTCTCTCTCTCTCTCTCTCTCTCTCTCTCTCTCTCTCTCTCTCTCTCCCTGCACCACGGCGCTGCCTCCCCCACCACGGCCACTGACTTGCCGCAGAGCGGGCCGGTTTTCTCGCTCTCTACCACCTCCGCTGCGGCTGCGTTCTTGGCTGCCTGCTTCTTGGCCGACTTCTTCTTCTTCTTCTCCTTTGCGCTGGCTTTCTGCTTCAGGCTGGGCTTGTGCTTGGCGCTTGCCTTGTTCTTGAGGGAGGCTTTCTTCTTCTTCTTCTTGACTACTGGCACAACGCTCTTCAGCGCTTTCTCAGCTGTCTTATTCTGGTGAGCTGCTCTCCACTCCCTCAGGAGGTCTCCGGCACTGAGGAACTGTCCGTTAGCCTCCTCGAGCTGTGCCCACACTGCTGTCTGCAGCCACACTGGGCGGCACAAGTCCTTCCTGCCCAAGGCCTGGCCTGCTTTGGCTATCCTCTTTCCTTCGCTCCTGCTGCCTAGCTTGAACAGTGCCAAGTGGCTGCCTGCCCGCCTGCGAGCTGTCAGCCCTACCTGCCTGTGGCTCAAGAACTCCGCCAGTCTCGTCTCCACACCTTCCTTCTCCAGGTTCCTCACGGCTGTCTCGCTCAGGGCGTACCTGTTCTGCAGCTCTCTCCTGGCTGTGGTCTTGCTGTAGGCGGGGCTGTCTTTCAAGGCTTTCAGCTCTCGCACTAGCCTGAGCTTGCCGGCTGCTGTGGCTGGCGTCTGCCCTGCTCTTCCTCACTCCTGCCACTGCGGCTCCTGTCTTGAAGCTGCCTGGCGGCCTGCCTCTCTTCCCTCTCCCCTTCTGGCTGCGGCTAGCTGCAACCAAGTCGAGGCCACAGTCTTTCACCGCCTGCTCTGCCTCCTGCTCCAGCCTGGCTAGGGCTTGCTGCTGCTTCGGGCTAGGTGTTGTCTGGCTAGGGGTTGCCACTGCTTGTGGGCTGCGGCCAAACAAGTAGTCCAGTCTGTAGAACACTGGGGGGCTGCCTGGCTTGAGCTTGCTGCTGAGGGCTTGGAGCGCTCGCTTCGTTTTGCTATCTGCAGCTGGCTGGGGGGGTCTGGAAGTCTTCCGACCGTGCTCTGCTTATGCCTGGCTGTCCGCCTGGCTCTGGCCTGGGCTGGTCCTGCGGTGCCAGCTGGCTGCACTCAAGCACTGGCTTACAAACACTGGCTGCACTCACTCACAAACACTGGCTGCACCCAAACACTGGCTTATAAACACTGGCTGCGCCCAAGCACTGGCTTACAAGCACTGGCTGCAAACATCTGCTGCACCCAAACACTGGCTTATAAACACTGGCTGCGCCCAAGCACTGGCTTACAAGCACTGGCTGCAAACATCTGCTGCACCTAAACAATGCTCTCGACCCTTGAAAAAACGTTTCCTCTTGCCAGGGGGGGGGCTAATTACCCTGTCTCTCTCTCTCGCCAAAGGCGCACGCAGCTCTGCCTGCACTGCCTGCAGCTCCCACTGCATGGTCTGGCTGAGCTCTCTGACCGCCTCCACCACTGGCTGGTCAGCCTCGGATTGCTTCAGTTCGAACTCTGTCTGTCTGCCTATCTCCCTGGCGCCAATGCCGCCAAGCGGCCATGTCGCTGCCTGTCTTGCTCTGGCTAGCTGTCTGACTTTCTGAGCCGCACGAGACGGCTGCCGTGGAGGCGTGCCGTGGCTTCAAACGTCTCTCTCTCTCTCTCTCTCCCTCTCTCTCTCTCTCTCTCTCTCTCTCTCTCTCTCTCTCTCTCTCTCTCTCTCTCTCTCTCTCTCTCTCTCTCTCTCTCTCTCTCTCCCTCAATCCAAAAAGGTTCCTTTGAGTGACCCAAAGCCCACAACCAAAAACAACAAAACGTGACCTCAACTCCCGCTACTTAAATTCCTTACTCAGAAATGTGCGTTTGAAGCGATTTTACGGAACGGAACAGGGGGACCACAGTTGCAAACAAGCCTACACAGAACAAGAAGTACCTCCAAAACCTGCCCTCCAGAACCAGGGGACCCCTAATAATAAAAATTGTTTTGCTGGCCGGGTATTTTTTTTATTAGGGGGGGGGGGGGCGTCGTTTATTATTAGGGGGAAAGGATTATATGCCTCACAAACCCTTTCTGGTCAATGAGGATCCATATTGCCCTTTTTGCCCCTTTGCGTGGCGACTTGGCAAGTTGCTGTTCGCTTCTTTGGTTCTGCAACCAGCTGTTTGCTTCTGGGGGGGTCGCAAAGAGCACACTCCTGATGACATACAGTGGATGGACAAAATCCTGCACCTGGCCGGAAGGGACTTTGTTCATCCGCAGTATCAGCAGGTTGTGGGGTTTTTTCTTTGTTTTTTGGCGCACGCAGGTACCATACTGTACCTCATCGCTGCTATCCTGGGGCTTTGCATGTGGTGCTTTGGAAGAGAGGAAGTTGTGGTTGGGGCACTCATGAGCAGCGCCCAGAGCCCACAGTGGCCATTTTATAGGTGGTTCTACTGGTTCTACCACCTATACTTCTAGGGGACACTTCCATTTCCATTCTAAACCCAGGGATCCGAATCTTTTCAGCGATCGGTTTTTGAAAAGAACGATGGTTGAAAAGAATGGACAAGGAATCAACCCCTAGAATACCAACCTTCATACCCATCTCAGTAGAACCAGAAGTCAATGGGTTTGGGACCGCTGCACACTCTGTAGCTGATGGGTAAAATTTAGGTTCGGGACACCGCGCCCCAAATTTAACCTCCAAAACCCAGCGGCTAACCGAGTGTCACGTGTCCTTTTTTGACCCACAAGGCATGGCATAGTTTCCTACACCCTCCGTGGCTTACGCGGCTTGGCCAGCTTTTGGCTCACCTTGCCTCTGCCAAATTGACTGCTTCGCATAGCAAGAACTGCTTCTCTTGGGAAACCTGGGTAATGTTGACCGGGGCTCAAATCCTCATTCAAGTTGGCATGTTCAGTTGGGCTGCCTGGGGAGGTGAATTGTTTGCGACTTCTCGAATAGAGTTTCTCAAAAAGTGATCCTGTGATCTTTTCGAAACTTGGTGGTTCCCAGGCATCCCCTCAGCTTTTTAGCCTTTAGTGTTTACTGGAGATTTGCATTTAAGCCACTACAAGTTAAACTTTTAGCGCGGGATCTGAGGACAGCCCAGTAAACTGGCTGGCACCTTCGATTCAACACACATCCTGGGGGTCCCATTAGTTCGATCCGCCACAAAGAGGTACTGTTTGGTTTTTGTCGGTAGCTTGCCACGTATCCTTGTTTGGAGCTTACACCCCCCCCCCGTGGCTGACTGAGTGTCTAAGCGCATATGGCGAGCTTATAGTGGCTTGCCTGGGATCTTCTGGGCTTTGATTAGTTTTTGTTGCGTGTTTTGTTCTGTTTTCCCGAGATATTTCTGAGATCCTCCAGTGCTACTTGTGGCACTTGGGAACTCTCCCTATATCTCTTAAGCACTTGTTCCTTAAGCATCAGATGTTCGGAGGGCTGAACAAAAGCAAGAGTTTGAACCCAAAGAATCTTGGTACCTCATCTTGAGGTGCCAAGATGCTTAGGGTTCAAACCACCCAACTCTTGCCAACTGTCTGGCAGAACACGATCTCGGCACTATTGTTGTGTGTCTAGTAGGTGTTTCTTTGGTTTTGTTCTTTTCTATGGGGCTGCCAAAAAGAAAGCCACCGCTGTTTTCTTTGGTTTTTTCCTTAAACACAAGTCCTTAGGTTTGAGGGGCATGCTTGACTTCTATTAGCTTGGATCTTTAGACTTTAACCTTTTGGGAATTCAAGGGGTTTTCCACTAAACCCACAAAAAGTTAAACTTTTGGCAAAGGGATCAGCAGCAACCAAGCATGTTCATGTTTAGGGCGGCTGCCAAAAAGAAAGCCACCGCTCTTTTCTTTGTTTTTTTCTTTAAACACACGTCTTTCAGGTTTTAGGTTTGCATGTGCCTAGGTCTTTGAGTGGTTGTTTTTCTTTAAAAAAAATCACGTCTTTAGGTTTTAGGGGCATGTTTCTTTCCTTTTTCTGAGTAGGGTCGCGTTTTGAGGTCTTTGGTTCCGTTTAACGCTTGGACATTGGATCTGAGGCGAGGAGAGCAGTTCGGGCTCAGCCTGATCTCCAATCTGAACCGCCGCGCGGCCGTGGATTTCGTTTTTTTTTGGGGGGGCCGGGGGGTGACTCGTTTTTCTTGTTTTTCTCTTCTTCTTTTTCTCGTTTTTCTCGTTTGTCTCGTTTTTCTTGTTTCTCATTTTTCTCGTTTTTCTTGTGTTTCTCGTGTTTCTCATGTTTCTTGTTTTTCTCGTTTTTCTCGTTTCTCTCGTTTCTCTCGTTTCTCTCGTTTCTCCCGTTTCTCCCGTTTTTCTCGTTTTTTTTTTTGTTTTTGCATGGGGGGGAGTGCAACTTATTTTTCTCGGTTTTTGGTGGTGCGCAGCATGTTGTTTGGAGGCCTTGTGACTTCGTGGACCCTCAAACTTCCAACTTAAAGATGGGGTTATTGTACTGAGAGTCCAGGTTGCTTTTTTGTTGCTAGGCCCAACACGTGTTTCCGTGGGTTTGTTAAAACAAAGAAAAACACCCGATTTTTGGTGGCCTAAAGTATGTAGGGGGTCCCTATGCACGCCTTTCACTTCATCGCCTTTTGGGTTGCCAGAAGCGAGTTTCATTTTGGGGCCTCCTGTGATGTGTGGGAAAATATACGGAACCCTGTTTCGTTCGGGGGGGGAGCAATGGCCCAATTGCGCGCAACTCGGGTAAGTTTCATCCATTTTTTTTTTCCCACCGTTCCGTTCTCTAAAAAACAAGGATCCAAGATGGGGGAAGTGCATCTATGGTGGGTTTCCATGGGACGCTTGACTTTCAGAAGATGCAACTTTCCACTCTTCTCTTTGTTGGACCCCTCACAAATGGTTTTCCTTGTGTCTTCCCTTTACCACTAAAGGGGAACTAGCTCCAAAGGACCCACACTCGTTTGGCAGATTGGTCCATACGCCAGTGAAAAGACCTGCCTGGATCGATCAGTCGCGATCTCGCACTTGAAAAACCAACTGCGGTTCTGTTGTTTGGGTACTTTTTTGTCTGGGAAGAAGGCAGCAACTTGGCGATCCAGGTGGTTTCGAGCCCGGTGGTTTGGTGGTTTGGTGGTGGGTAGTTTCCCGTTTACCCTCTCCCAGGAAGCTCACAACCCCATTTCACCCAGCTACAAAAGGACAGCTAAAACCTAAGGGTACAGCAGGGTTTGTCCATCAACCACCCAGTTTGATCAGGTCTTTGGAAGGTTTGGGTCTGCAAGAACCACTGCTTCAAATCCATATCCACACCACCAACCCAAACCACCAATCAAGGGGAAACTATTTGACGGACAACTGATTCAAAACCCTGGGCCCGAATACAAAACCAGAATTCACGACAAGCTGTGGTTTTCTGGCTGGTTTTGGTAGGGTTTCCTGCATTTCCTTTTTTGGAACCTCCAACAGTGGCGATCGTTTCAATGGATCAACTTACGAAGGGGGAAATCCAGTGACCGCCTGTTTGGGGTCGGATCGCAAAGCAGGAATCGGTTAAAAAATCTTACCGCAAGCGGATCGGACAAGAGCAAACGTCAGGTGTCCATGCACTGCAGAAAACACGTCTATATTCAAGTGTTGTTTGTTCTTTTGCGCACACATAGACACCAAGGACTGGAAAGAAAAAGAAGGGTTTTGAATGGAATCATCTGGTTTCGATACCCGGTCTTAGATGCTTTGGGAGGGATCGCCAAATGCAGAAAGCCCTATGTTATAATGGAATTATTGGGGATGATCTTGGGGTCTCTATACGTCTATATTGTTTGCATGTAGGAGCAGCAGCAGCAGCAGCAGCAGCAGCAGCAGCAGCAGCAGCAGCAGCAGCAGCAGCAGCAGCAGCAGCAGCAGCAGCAGCAGCCGTGTGTGGCAACACGGGGAATTGGAACCTCTAACAATGGTGGTGTTCCTTTGGTTTCGTTTGTTTGAAACCAAGGTGCAAGGGTATCCTCAAAAGACACAATGTTGGTGTCCTTGGTTTAGGGGACCCCTTCGCACGCAAAAAAACTCACTCTCACAAAGTTGGCCTTCTGGTTTCCGTTTAAACCAACCCAAACTGGGGTACCACCAAAGAAAGGACCCACAGCCATTTCTTCGCGGAATCGCTGCGAGGTGTGCACAGACACAGCGGCACCCAGATCGCAGTACGGACAGATCATAACACCGGCGTGGCTCGGCCGGAGACTGGGGCGCAGACTGGGGCAGAGCTGGTGCTTCCTCTAGCTCCCCCAGCGGAAGGGTGCCCGACCTCTCACCGTTTCTTTTTTGGTTGGGAGGGTTCGGGACCCTACTAAAATAGACAAAACTGAAGAAAGAAACGGTACCCTTATTCTATCCTCTCTACTGGAGGACCTAGTCAAGAGAGCTTCGCTGTTGTTGGATCATGTTTTGAGGTTGTTTTAGGTATTTTGTGGGTCCGTGTTTGTTTTTTGTAGTATTTGTTGATCCTGAGTTTGTTTTGAGGTATTGTTGGTTCTGAGGTGTCTTTTTAGGTACTTGTTGGTCCTGAGGTGTTTAGGTATTTGTTGGTCATGTTCATCGTTAGTATCGGGATTTAAACAACAAAGTTTGTTGCTACCATACCCAGAGTTGGAAAGGTAGGTAACCCTTGGGACCCGTCTTTTACGACAGGTTTTGCTGCACATGGAAGTACCCTGGTGCTTACCAAATAGACAAGCCAAGAGGAATATTGGTGGTTACCACTTGGATGTTCAGCCTGCTTAGTAAGTAGGTTACAAGTATGGTTTTAAGCCATCTCCAGGCAAACCCCAGGCAAATAACCACCTGACGTAGGTTGAAGGCTTGAACATCCAAGTACCTGTTTGGGTTCGCTGGGATCTGGCCATAGTTTTCCGGCTGGAACCGGAAGCACCCGCTGGTGCCCGGAGATCGGGGACCCGCTGGAGTCGGCAAGCCTTTTTAGGGAAACCAATCACTTGACTTCCCTGAGCTCTCAACAAAATTTACGAGGTCACCCCAGCTAGGTGCCAACTTGTACCGTGTCTTTTTTTGGCTGGGAGGCTTCGGGACCCTACTAAAATAGACTACAGAAAAAGTTGGTACCCTTATTCTAGCCTCTCTACTGGAGGACCTAGTAGTAGAAGAAGAAGAAGAAGAAGAAGAAGAAGAGACATGCCTAAAGAGATGAACTGCTGTACATCCGCTCAGATGATGTAGTTCGCCCAATGCGCTGGAAACAATCCTGGCGGCACTGTTGGTGGGTTCGAATCCGACAGCCAATTGCTCTAGGCTTTTGATTTACCCGTGCGTGTGTGTGTGTGTGTGTCCTTTTTGCGGGACAGAACTTAAAGCAACAAATGGTTGCGGTTTTGGGTCTGTAGGGGCACCCCTCAAATCCCCCGGCGGTTTCCACTTTAGTTTCTTAAATGAACCCTAAGGAGGGTGTGATGACGAATGCGGGGTGAAGCTTTGAGGCACTTTCTAAAGCAACTAGAAGGACATTGTTGATAGGTTGACTTAAATGGAAGCTACAAGGAAGTACCAAATCCATTTTATTGTGGCTCCTCCTATTTTGACACACACCCATTTGGTACCTTTGGAGGTCCTACACCTTATGGAGGTCCCTTTCCTTTGCGCTCCAGGTAGGCCGGAAGCCTTTCGCCGCCAGTTTGGGGGGTCCCACACGTTTGTCGCTGAAACGATCGGATTCAATCCGAGTGGTTTCTTGGGGGTTGGGCCAAAAAACTGTCTGGTCACCCTGCCACCAAAGGAACATGGGTCAGTGCCAAGCTCACTTGTCCAAAGCCGTCCTTTTGACCTTTTCGCTTTCCCATTTCGGTCCATTTTTAGTCCAGGTCTCAAAAGGTTAGCATTTATTTCCAGGTCCTTTGGGTAAGTGAGCACTATAGGTGTACTGTTTTTCTTTTCAGAACCACCCTCAGACTCTCGGTACCTCAAAATGGTTGCCTTGAGGTCCTAAACCTTCCAATAGAGGTCTCTACACCCTCGAATGGAGGGTCCTGTGTTGTTGGTGGTCCACCCCAAGACTCTTGGTACCTGGTCGCCACCTTCCAATAGGGGTCCCTACGTCCCTATCTCCAATGTCCTCATGTTGGCGTCCCTACACCCTCGAATGGAGTCCTGTCTGAGGGCAGCGCCAAGTCCTCATGTTGGTCACTGGACTGTGAGGTGCAGCAGGTGGTTCCCATCACGCCCTCCGCGCCCAGCCAACAGGCCCCGAGTCGAGTCGAGGCATCTGGTCGGGTGCTGACCTTTCTCACCCACTTTTTTTGGGGGAGGGTTCGGGACCCTACTAAAATAGACACAACTGAAACAAATGGTACCCTTATTCTAACCTCTCTACTGGAGACCTAGCTTCTTTGTTGCCGAATCCTGTGGTTGTCAAGGGCCAAAGAAGGCCTAATAGCGGCCAGGCTAACTGTGTTGGCTTTTGGGGGGGGTCCCCTCTTTGGGGGTCCCGGTCGGAGGCCCCTGACAAGCATGACAATCCTAAGGTCCAAGCTTTTCTCAGTCCAAAGCCAGAGATGTCCAGAGATGAACCCAGAGGTTTCTTGGTACAGCGCTTGTCAATTGCTCCATAGCTTCATCGCTTCCTTCCCCAACCCCCCCGGCCGTGGTAAGACAAGCTAAGGGGAGGGGCACCAGTCTCGATGGCGCGCCAAGCTCCCAAGGAACGCTTGGCGAGTCGGAAGCTTGACCTAGAGAAGTCGCTGACCTTCCGTTGCGGCGGTGGCACGGTTTGGGGCCATCTGAGGCCAACATTACCCTGGTGGTTCCCAGCCATCCGGTTCCTTAGCTTTTTAGCCTTTGAGTGTTTAGTGGGGGTGTCCATTTCACCCACCAAAAGTTAAACTTTTAGCGGGGGATCTGAAAACGGACAGCCCAGGTAAGGCTTGCAAACAAGTTTGAAATTGCGCTAAGGTCTTCGGAAGAATGTGAACTGCATGTGGTTTTGGGTCTGGTAGCTTTTAGCCCTAAGGGTCCCATTCGACTGTTTATGGGCCCTCCAAATGGGTTCCTGCAGCTTCAAACGACTAGAAAAAAGTAGGTGTTTTGGTCATTGTATTGCTTTTGCCTGTTTCGTATCGTTTTTACCGCAAAACGACTAAGACGCCTAGAAATTTGAATTATTGGGTGTTTCCTTCTTGCACAGGGCTTTCTCTCTCATTCAGCTTGATATTGCCCACTACACCAGATGTTCGAATCTTCAGAAACTTCTAAACACTTCGAACCCTTCCCTCCATCAACACCCTTCAATCCTAGCTGCGCAGGGGAGTGGTGCGCAAATCGGAGCAAGTTTAGTCTAAACATGCGTCGAGTGAGAAACGCACTTTGTTCGTACCACTTTTGGCCGCAAAACGAGCGCAAAAACCCGCAAAACGCCCGCAAAAACCCGCAAACGAGCGCAAGTCCCAAAAAGTGGGTCAATTGGGGTTGTTTCATGCACTGCCCGCTCAAAAGCATGCCCTGATTGGGCACCGATGTAGGGTCATGCTTGCAACGGGAAATGCAAGCACCGAGAAACTATATTGATAAGGTCAGATCTTGTTGGCTCAAATATCCTGCCAATCGGCCAGCAGCAAGTTAGACGCCGGCCTTCGTACTAGTTTTCCAGCGGTTCGTACTAGAACCCCCAGTTTTCCTCCAATCGTACCCATTACCCAAAACGCCCAGAAATTTCTGGGTGTTTGAATCTCCAGGTTGTTGTGTTTTGGGCCCTTGAGCAATTGGTCGGGGTTCTCCATTGGAGGGTCCGTTATGGGGTCTGCATTGGCGGGGTCATGACCCTTAGGGAGTATTGTTTTGGCTTTGAGTAGTTTCTTTTCTTTTCGTTGTATGGGCTGCCAGCTCCAACGTAGTGAAAGATCTCGAACGCAAGCTGGACACGTCGTCAACACCTGGTGACAACATCTGGGCAAAATATGTGTACCCCAGTGGATCCATTTTACTGTATAAAGGGCTTTCCCCACCCACTAGAAAAACCAAAGCACATTTTTCTTGGTCACCTACTCCACTGGCTGGGATCCACTAAAATATTGGGTGTGCCTCAAATTAATATACCAAAATCGCGCCTTGGTAAATGGAACCAAAGACTAAAACCTGCGGTAACTCTAGCTCTTTAAATCTGAGCCACAGCCATATATAGTACTTCGCCAACCCAAAACAAGAAAGGGACCCCCGAGAGAGGAACCGTCAACGTGACGTCGCAAGCCCCCTTCCGCGGTGACGTCACCAGAAAGTTTCCGCTGCCACTTGGAGGGAAGTTAAATAGGACGGATTCTATCTAATTACTTAGATCGATCCGGGGTCAACAGTACCTGAACACTCAAACTACGCACCCAAACAAGGGAAAATACACCAATGTTGGTCTGCAGCCATACCGGTTGCAACCTCAGAACATCAAGCTGGACAATGTGGACAACGTGCTGCAGGCGAAGCTTTCTTGGCGAGGCACGGCTCCGGGTCAGGGCTCCTCGTATGGCTGTGAACCCCTTTGAGTCAGCAAATGTTTCAAAACGGCGCTTCAACCAGCCGTCCCCTTAGGTGCTTAGGTGTTTAGTTGTTCTTTGGTTTAGTGGTTGGGTTTCCATGTGTTGATTAAGAGTACTTAGGTCTTGTATGTTTTTTTCCACTTTTGGTTCAGGGAACCAGCACCCAACAGCAAGAGAAGCATGGCGAAGGGTTACCTACATTGTGATAACTGGGATCAACTGGAATCTATCTCGACGCGGTATGTGTTCTTATCCAACTCAAGCAAATGGAAGGGTGCCTTTTTGGGGTTGGTCTACAAGGAAATCCAAAGAAAAGCAATCTGTTGCTTTGGTAGGGTCCCCTATTTTGTTAATTTTAAGACACGCCCATCTGGCGAGCTGAAGTTGAAGAGTTGGAACATGTTGGAGCCAGCAAACTCAGCTGATTTTTACGGACATGGTTTCATGGAATCTTTGGGGGGGTATGGGGGGGGACTATCCCTGGATAAGCCCAGGATAACCCAAGGATAAGGCCTTAAGGGCCTAATAGGGGATAGCCCCCCCTCCCCATAGCCCCCCTTGGGGGTCCATGATGGTTCTTCCCGGCGAATGTTGATGTCCATCAGCTCACAAACTCACACCCATATTTCCCCTTCTAAGGGTGGCTTTAAACATCACCTTTGCTAAGTACCTTCGACCTGGATCGCCGGTTGCGATCGCTTTCTCAACCGGCAACTGTGACTCTTGCAGTAACAAAGTCTTGACACACATGAAAACGAACGCAACTTGGGGATGGCACATACTCCACCGTCAAGCCAACGGGCTTGTCTACTGAGCCCCCATAAACCTGAACATCGGTTTCCTCCTCTGTTGCCGGACCCCGTGGTTTCGTGCGGGTTTCATATAGGTGATACCACATATTTGAACATGGTTTGCCTTCAGCGGATCTTCGGGGCTTGTTTGAGCGGAGCATCGTTAATGATCTCCTTGCCGGGTTTGACGTGCACAGGGCTGTCAAAAATGGTCGATTTGAGAGAGACGTGCACGCCCTTCCACGTGTGGCGGCTTTCTCCTTCGCCGAAGCCGGCTGCCCGAGGATCGGTTTGCCGGCAATTGTTTGGTGCCTTTTTGGTCCTTCCTGGTCCTTCCTTGGTTTGAGAACGGGCGAAGAAGGGCGCGAAAGATCTTCATGTCAACATGGGCCGATGTTATGAGGTCACTCCTGGTTTAGCGGGGGTTCCCAGGATTGGTGACTTTTGAAGACTGGAAGCCCGAGCCTGGGAGATCTCCCCAAATGGGTTTTGGAGGGCCTTTCCCTTGAACAAAAAAACCAAGCGGATTGGTTTATCGGTGTTTTTGGGCGGTTTGGGCCAAACTCACTCTGGGGACGGGGTTTGAGATGAGCAGACGCCAATTCGGCGATTTTCCTCATGAAACAGAAGGTGATCGACCGAAAAGCACCTCGTTCTGGTGAAGTAGTGAAATGAACTCGTGCAAGGACCTGCAGCACACACACATATATATATATGTATATATACATACATATATATATATATGTATATATATATTATATATATATATATCCGGTTGCCGTTTAAACTTAACCCACCAAAATGAGGGTAACCAACCAAACAACGAACCAACCCACCCACCCACCCAACCAACCAACCAACCAGCCAGCCAGCCAGCCAGCCAACCAACCAACCAACTCAAAACAATTACACCAATAGCAATCAACCAAAACAAGGCTCACAGAAATGAGAGGACGGTGCTCAGGCCTCTCTTTCGTTGTGGTGTGTCCTGGCTGCAAGGGCGGGTTCGAGGTCCAGGCGAAACTTTTGAGTCAGGAAGCCCGGGTGAAGTGATGGTTAGCTTTATTGGGTTGGATGGGTTGTGTTTCAACCAGAGTTCTAACTGGATCCCCCTGTTATATTGCTCTGTGGCAGTTTGGTAGCGGATCTTTGGACTTTAGCTTTTTGGTTGAACCAGCTGGGAGTTTCCGAATTTGGGCCCACAAAAAGTTAGACTTTTTGCAGAGGGGTTAACAGCAAACCAAGTTAGTACGGGACAGTCCCAGCCATAATAGTTGGTTCGGTTATCCGCCCTATCCACTTTTTTCTTTACATGGTTTTGGGCACAGGCCTTTCAGTACCAGGATTCTTGGTCATGGCTCCAACACATCTGGCTGTGGCTCAAAAACATGTACCAAAATTGCACCTGGGAACCAAAGACTAAAACCCGCGGAAGTGCCCCTAGCTGCGATTTTTTGGTCGCCACAGCCATCTTGGAACATCCACAGCTCGAACATCTGGTCCGCTCGGCGCATAGACGTAGGTCTTGCGCCACCTACGGTTCCCCGAGCACAAGCTTCTGGATCGGATCTGGTTTGGGTCTCTAGGCGAAAGGATGCCCAATTTGTCACCGTTTCTTTTTTGGTTGGAATCGACAAAATCCGATTCGCATCAGTTGGTGGTTTATCCATGTTTATCCCACTATGTATAGGGTTTTATCTATCCTAGGTCCCCCAGTAGTGCCCTTTTGCCCTTTTTTGGTTGGGAGGGTGAGGGTTCCCCCTAGTAAAATAGACAAATCTGAAAAAAGAAACGGTACCAACTTCTGACCTCTCAAATCTGGAGGACCTAGGTTCCTTTGAGCAGAAAAGCCCCCCACCCCGTGGAGTGGGTTTTGGGGGCCTTGCAAAGTTTGGGACCTCCAGAGGCCATTTTTTTTTGAGGTACCAAGATTGGGACAACGTGTTTTTGTGCTTAAGAATGTCTTGTTATGTCTTTTAACTTGGTGTTCAAGCGACCTACCACTGGACATGTTTTTCTTTTCTATTATCATTTTTGTCCAGGGCAAGAACGCAGAACGCAAATGGATTACATTTCCCCCTTGGAAAACATCTCTTGCCTTTCATTACGTTGGTCATGTCTTTCTTTCGGGGTCCCCAATTGACCATTTCATTCAGTCGGTTGGGTCCGAGTCTTTTTCGTTTCTGGGTACCCTTTTTAGCCTTAAAGGGAACACAACAGTGGTCTGTTTTTGGGGAGTGCCCGGAACAGAAAAACGAAGGCAACTTGGCAAAGGCAACCATTCTTGGGTTCTCTTTTGGACACAAACAGACATCTCGGCAACAGTACTCTTTCGCCAGTCACGGAACCCAGGACGCCGTGTGATTTGTTTAAGGTCCCAAACTGTCCGATGCGAGTAAGCCATGCGCCCTCCAAACCAAGGTTTGTGTTTCACCTTATCACAAGATACCTTTGCCGTCTTGGGAATCCTTTCAAAGTCTACCAAGAAGGCTGAAATCCAACGAGTACGGGACATCGACTGGATTACATCCAAAGACCCAGGCACTTGAGGGGAGTTTCCATTCCAAGGAGTTGTCTATGATGGCCCGAGGATTTGAGCCACGTCTTGTGTCGCTTCCAAAACAATATTTATGCTTTGGGGGCGGCTACATATTTGAGACAGAATCAGACAAATGTGTGTTTGTCGTTTGGCGTCCTGAAAATTCTCGACCAAGGGGGTATCCTCAAAAGAAGCGACATGGTCAAAACTTTGTTTTTGGACCACCATAGTTCGCTTCATAGGAATCATCATAGTGTTTTTTTGGATCAGGGCGGTGGGAAAGGACCACTTCTGTGATGCAACAAAATGGGCTTCCATAAAAAGGGGAGATTCCTTGTATCACAGAAGTGGGGATCAAGCCCTCGATCCCCCAACCCTGTCAAGGATCCTTACCAGGACCAGGTGGAGCCATCCCTTGCAAGCCTGAGCAGTCTTTCGACCATGCCACATATGGGTGTGTTATATGGCTATTTCTAGTTGCTAGCCTACATGGCTTTCCTTTGAGCCCACCATCTTCAGGCATATAAGGGGGTGTCTTTTTGCATGATACCCCTTTCTTTGTGATTCTAGAGTGAAACCAGAAGGAACACCGACACAAGTTTTGGGGGGTCCAAGTCCTTAAAACGAGAAACACCCGGAGAGGAGTTTTGACAGTGATGGCTAGTGTGGATGGACGGAATCCTTCATGAAACACCATTGATTGCCGGGTTTCTGAACGGTGGCCCGAAATGGATTTCGCAACCATCCAGATGAAGTAGGTAATAACCATGGTTTTAAGCCAACTAGCCCCAGCTACCGCAGGCAAATAACCTTGGTTATAGCGTACTTAACCTGACGCAGGTTAAACATCCAAGTATTGGTCCAAGCGCCTCTCCTGGTGCAAGATTTTAAAGGATCTCCCCAAAATGGTTGGCTTCCTTTTTGTTTCCCTTTCAAACCAAAAACATGGGGTACCCTCCAACATCAGGACAGACCCATATACGTTCCTCAGGGTTCCTTGAGAAAGCCTTAGAACACCCCCCCTGCCCCCCGCCCCCCGCCTTTTTTGCTTGGACCCCCCCCGCGAGTAATCCCGGATAAACCCTTCCCCCCCCCGCTCTTCCCCCCCCAAACAAAAAACAAGTTCCCCGACCCTTTTTGGTTCCTTAGGGTTCCTTGTCGGAGCCTTAGGGAACTCCCCCCCCTTTTTGCTTGGAGCACCTCTCCGAATAGGAATTTCCCCCACGCGGACCTCTTGAGGTGTACCTTGTGAGGGGTTCCCTTAGAACTTAGAACCCCCCCCCCCCCCATTAAAATTCCCCACATGGATCTCTCCAGGTGCACCTTCCAAATGCATGGGCTACCTACTGTTTCCCATCGTGGCGAACTCCCCTCCCCCCCCCCCAAAAAAAAAAAAAAGCAACAAGTCCCTCCCCCCCAAAAACCAAACAAGAACCAACAAGTTCCCCCTGCGGAGCTCAGGTGCACCTTGTGGGGCGCCTCCTCCTTGCTCAGCGTCTGCACCGTGCCCGCGGCGCCCTGGGAGTACGAGTCCACCTCCGCCACGCGGCGCAGGCGACAGACCGGGGCACGAGAACCGGCGCGCGCTCACCAAGGGGTTGGCGGTGGGGTGTGCCGGAAGACGTCTTGTTGCTTTCTTTATGTTTTCTTCTTCTTCTTTTTTTTTGGGGGGGGGATAACTTTTTTTTTTGTTGGGTTGGGGGGGGGTGACTTGTTGTTTTCTTTTTTGGGGGATCCCTGGAAAAAAATCTAATGTTTGATTTGCTGCAGAATACCTTTTATTCACCGCTCTTAATTTAGAGGGAATCTATCACTATCTGAATTATGCTTCTTTTTCCAGGGGACTGAAGCAACTTCTAGGGCTTGATTCCTTTTCCATTCTTTTTTAACCATTACTCTTTCCAAAAACCGGATCCGCGTTCAACCTCAGTTTCCGGAGGTTTTCTAGAAAGATGGATCCCTGGAAAGAATGGGGAAGGTACCCTTGAAATGGCGGTTGGGTCAAAAATAGGGTAACCCCTAAAATGAACTACCCGCTCGGCAAATGGAAACATTGGAGTAAAGTCTGTGGTTGTTTGATTTTGACCCATACCCAAAGGGTGGTTGAAACTCTCTTGGATCCCGGATGAATGTGAAAATATGTCCTTGTTTGCTGGGACCCCCTTTGTTTGGTGGTTTTAAACGCAAGCCAACAGGAAAACCGAGATTTGTTTTCTGTGGGTACCCTTTCCGAGAAAAAAACACATGTGGCGGTTGGTATGGCTGGTAATGTTAACCCAGGACTACGCAGAAAAAACTGATTGATTTTGATTCGGGGTGTCCATGTCCTTCCCCCTAATCGGATAGATCCTTTAATCTGGATCAGCACAAAAGTCAGTTGTGAATTTGGGGACGAGGAGATGGGGGGCCTACCCCCTGAGCATCAGATTAGGGACCCTCCATTGCAGGGTTTTGCACCGTGCCTTTCTGAGGACCACAGAGGCGAGCCGATGTCCAATATGCTTTCTTTTGCTTACCTCTTAAAAACACAACTTTTCAACTTTTTGGGTAACATGGGCTATTTGTCTGTAAAATATTAACTTCCCCGGGGCTTGGAGTTTTAAGGGGCTAAGTTTGTGTTAATCACAAGACCTGGGGACGACTTGAACCAACTGCAAGCAAAAAAACGTCCGTGGCTCATATGGATATCAGTGATATCAGCTCCGTAGATATAGTATATGACCCCTGTTTTGAGCGGAGGTGGACCGTCGATCGGTTTTTGCTACTCGCAAAGAAGGTACCCAATTCATTGCGTTAGCATGGTTGTTGTTGGGAAACATTTTACATGTTTGCTTATTGTGGTTTAGTGGAACATCCCCACTCAACTGCTGAAATTTGTTTTTTTTGCCCCCCTTCCAACGTCAACCAAGTTAGATGGGTCAACATGGCGTTAGATGGGTGCAGTCTTTTTGTTGAGGGTATCCCTTTCAGGGTTGGTTTTCTATTCGCCGGCCAAAAGAAAGCCGCGCTTGGGACACATACCCATACTGGGCCTATCTGGGTTGCAAGCTCGGCGAACGAGACGAGAGAGAGCTCACCCATGTTGGGCCATTTCAGTAAACCACTTCTGGTTCTTGCGAGGCCGCTCGCTGCAGTGTCGAATTTGCAGCTTGATTTCCAAATTTGCAGATGCGCTCTGGGCTCTTTGGGCTTACCCGAACCCTCAAAATTCCAACTTAAAAATGGGTCAAAGACCCCCAAAATGATGGTTGGTGATCTCCCAAATATCAGATTCTCAGATTCTGATTCATATCCTGTTTGGGCCATCGGGGTTTGTTTGGGTGAAAGGGCCCGGCTTCCAGACCATCGTTCCTTTCTCCCAAAGTTTGTTGATTTTTGTTTGGGTCTTGGAGGCCTTAGTCTTTTTTCTGACTGGAAGGTCTCTCAAGCTGCAGGTGCCGCAGTTGCAGGGGTCCATTGTGGTCCATTGATCGCCCAAAAGGAGAGACCTGTTGGGGGCACAAATCATTTCTCACTTCCTCAGTTCAAAAACTTTAAACTTTTTGGGGTTGGACCATTTTAGTGGTAAATATGAAGTTTGAACTTTTTTTGGGCCATCCACTCAGCAAGTGAGAATTAGCGTGTCTTTTTTCAAGGGTCCCAAACAAACATCTGGATGTCCTTTTCACAAACAAAGGTATCACAAAATAGAGACCCCCAAATGGTTGATCCAATAGCCTCCAAGAATGATCGACCTTTTGCTCATTGGGGCGTGCGGCAACCCAGGGTGGGTTTCGTCATCTCTGCCTGCATCCGGGAGCCTGATGCACCTTTCACCCTTTCCCATTTTCAGCTGGGTTCGACGAGGAACCAACAGGAAAGCCGAAGGCCTTTGCGTGTTTTTTGAAAATGTTCGTGTTGAGCCATCTCCTCTCAGCCTCAGAACTTGACCCTGCAGAGAGCTTCTTAGATCAAGCTTCTTTCTGGTTTCCTTTTCATGATTTTTGTTGGGAAGCATTTTACATGTTTGCTTATTGCGGTTTAGTGGTTGAAATCCAACCACTCAACTGCTAATATTTGATTTGTTGCTCTCCTTTCAACGTCAAGTTTTGGGAAGGGCTTCAGTCGCTCTGCGGATTTTCGACCTTTTTGTGACTACAGCCCTTCCTCCAAAGTCACAATCTGTGGATTTGATTTCACTGAACGCCTCCAGCGCCGCTTTGTGGTTTTTTTTTTTTTTCCCCCGTTTTTCATGTCCAATCGCAACACGGAACCATGGAACCCGGATGGAATGAATCGGTCCTTGGGGGTTCAAGGGGTGGCAAAGGAGGGGTAACTTCCCCCAGTCGAAACTTCGAAAGATCCGGATCTGGCTAGAAAACCACGAAAAAGAACCGGGGGAAATGGTTGATTTGCGATCGGTTCTTGAAAAGCAGGATGGCTGAAAAGAAGGGAAAAGGGGAATCAAGCAGTAGAAAACTGGGCTTGTATGACAAGGGGTATGTAAGAGCTTTATCTTTTTGTTAAAAGCACGTACCTGGACCCTCAAACTACCCATAAAAATGGGAGATCACCCCATAATTTTGGGTGATCTCCCATTTTTATGGGTAGTTTGAGGGTCCAGGTACCCCTTTTTCGGCCGAAGAGCGGGCTTGGAATTTCAACCCCAAGACCAGCGGAGCCGCGGATTTTCGCCAGGCACTTGGCCTCCCAGGAGATGACGAGCCTTGTACATGCCATAGGCGCCGCTCGCGCGCGACTCGCGCTGGGCGGGCGCCGGCGAGCGGGTTTTGAGCCCATGGGGCGTGTGGATGTTGCGAAATCCATTTTAGGACCTATTTTATTGGTTCACTGGGGGTACGGGCTTTTGACCCATGGCCAGATGTGTTGATTCTTGTCCATGGGCTGTGGGTGTGGGTGAAAACCGTTTTGGGATCCCGTTTGGTTGGTAGGTGAATTCGCCACCCGTTTTAGCACCTAGTTTAGTGGGGATTGGGATGTTCACTGGGGGTACGGGACTTTGACCCATGGCCATTTGGGTGGGGCTAAAAACAAAAAAACATGGGGGGGGTACGCAGGTCTTTTGTCCATATTTCCACTTACCAGGGCCATTTTGGTACCTGTTTGTTGAGCCACAGCCATTTCGCGCCACTTTGATACCATGGTTGAAGCCATTCTTAGCTTTTTGTATTTAATCCACAGTAGGTCCCCCAGTAGTGCCCTTTTACCGTTTTCTTTTTTGTGTGAGGGTTCCCCTGCTAAAATAGACTACTCTTATTCTAACCGCTCTACTGGAGGACCTAGTAGAAATCGGAGCCTCCAAATTGGCTTTCCCGTTGCTTCCCTTTAAAGCCATCCCAAAAGGGGGGTACCTTATGTCCGTTTGGGCGAAGCACCTTAGACCAAATCTCCGCTGGCGCTTTCCCTTTTCTTGGTGTTTCCGCGGCACCTGGCCCCCCTTGTGGGAAAACGGAGTAACTGCTGAAAAGAAACCCTGTGGATCTCAGTTGCGACTTTCAGAGGCCCTTCGCCCGTTTCAAAAATCCGTGTTTTTGTCCATTGCCCTGGCCTTCCTCCAGGTAGATGGGTCCACTAAAAAAACACCAGAAAGGGGCTATACTCAATTTCCCTGCCCTGGGGGTTTTGTTAAGTTGCTGGAGGTGTTGTGTCTTAGGTGAAGAAACATTTTTGTTTGAGGTGTTCTTGTTTCTACTTTCCCCGAAAGTGAAACAGCCCGCCAAGCAACTCACGTGGTTTTTAAGGGGTGGAAACCCGCGAGTTGCGTGTTTTTGCCCAGTGTTCGGCTTGCCCATGCTTGCCCTACTTGACATGAGCAACTCATGGTCATTCTGCTCTCAGTGGATCCATTTGCCTAGGGCAGGCAACCAAGGGAACCACCCTTTAAATATCAGGAGGAAAGTGATAACTGGGTTCCACTGGGTAAGACAAACAAACAAACAACAATAACCAGGTACCCTGAAAAGCGCAACACCATGTCAACCACTGTATATTCAAAGTTGGAGAATGGGAGAAGCCGAAGTCCGCTTTGTGCGCCTCCCTTTTCGTGTCGTGAAATGCTGGTGCTCTTCTTGCTACACCAGAGTTTCCTCCATGCCCCTTTTTGGAACCTCCACAAGTGAAGATTAGGTGTCCTTTTGGTTGGTTTGGAAACAGCTGGCGCTGGTAGATGAACAAACCACCAGGTAAAGGGCCATCCATTTTACATCAAACCAACCAAAAAGGATATCGAGGCTCATGAAGATTCAATCACGAGGGAATCAGGGGACGGAATCCCTATGATTCCATTGTCCATCACAATCAAAGAGGCTTGTTGTGCCTCTCCACTTGGAGCTTTAGGGACGTCCATGGTCCAGTGGAAAGTCCAAAAAGGTGTTGCCATTTTGAGGCGCTAAGATTCCTTGCCCAAACCTTGCAAAAACCCAGTGAAACTGGGCGGTTGGTGGCAAAATCCAGGTTTACCCTTTTAGGTGTTCCTTTGCAGGTGGTGAAATGGGGTTGTGGACTTCCTGTCGGGATGTAATGTTGACCCCCGATGCCTTGATCAACCCACCATGCAGCTATGGATCAGGGCCCTCGAATTTCTTCAAGAAACTCGGAATCCCCACCAAATAGGTTATTTGCGGTCTCCAGCCATTTTCTTTTTCTTTTTTTTTCCGACCGGCTCCCTTGGTTGCAGAGCATTCAGGGATGCTTGGGTCAATTCGCCAGGTTGGTAGGCCATAAGGGTAATCGTCGGCTATAACCCACAAGTGACCCGTGATTGTGGGGTGAACAGCTTGGTAGGAGGTAAACCCAGTGGCGTTTTCCACTCGGCGAACCGAATACCCAAGTGTAAGCCCGGGGCTTCGATTTTGTTCAGTGGCTCGCAGCGATTTTTTCTCTCCAGGCGCTCACTGCATCATCCTTTTGAACTCGGTGTCCGTGCACGCCGCGACGTCCCAGACTACGGGGCAGCGGGGCCAGCCGCGATCGGAGGATCGGAGCGATTTCCTGAAACGGGGTGTCAGGGCGACCACTTTGAGGCGGTCCGAAAATTCCAGGTCCCCCAGGATCGTGGCCCTTTCTCACCCATTTCTTTTTTGGGTTGGGAGGGTTCGGGACCCTACTAAGATAGACTACTGAACAAAGAAATCGGGTACCCTTATTCTAACCTCTCAAATCTGGAGGACCTAGTTCATGTTGGAGCTTGTTTTCAGTGGCCCCCCCCTCAACAGTTAAAACAGAAAGCTCGAGGATCCTAAATTAAAGGTCTGCCAGGGAGCTTGGACGACTCAAGTGTTGGCTGCAGTATCGCCACTACTTGGTCTAGTATTGTTAGCACTTCCTGTTGGATTGCCAGAACATAGTTTAGTACTGCCACTACGTATTTGCCTAGTCTAAGCTTTGTATTGCCAGGACTTGCTCTCACCAGTGCTTAGTTTGGTATTGCCTAGTTTAAATTTAATACTGCCAGGACTTCCTTTAAGATTCCCAGTACTTGGTTTAGAATGGCCTAGTCTAAATTTAGCGTTGCCAGGACCTACTTTTAGATTCCCAGCACTTGATTCAGTATTGCCGAATCTGATTCAGTGCTTAGTTCAGTATGGCCTACCCGAACCCTCAAAATTCCAACTTAAAAATGGGTTTGATCCCCAAAATTATGGGGTGATATCCAATTTTTATGGGTAGTTTGAGGGTCCAGGTAGTTTAAATCAAGTATTGCCAGGACTTCCCTTTAGATGTCCCACGCAGCCCGGGACAGTGATGATGGAACCCACACAGTGCCCCAAGACGATCAGGGCCCACGAGGGTGGGCAGCCTTTTTTGCAAAACTGTTTTGGGAGTGTTTTTGGATGGATTTAACAGGGCTCCTTAAAAGATCTCGATTTTTTTGAAACATGTTGTTTTTCCACCAAAATAAAGGGACACCACCATTCGCAAGGCAATGTTCAGGTGTATAATGTAAGGATCCCTGTTTAAGCAAAGGAATTTGATTTTGGCCTAGGATCGATCAACCCAGGCCTAGGATCAGACTTTGGGACTGAGCCATGAAGCGAGGAGAAATCTGCTCAGGTTTTTTGGAACGGCGTTCAATGTAGCCGACGAAGTGAATGACGTAGCGATTTACCATCCATTCTGCATGTCGTACCATCCAAGGTAGTAGACAGTGCTTTGTTGGCATTGTCATGCTGTAGTTGCTGACAACTTGTGCTTTGAGGATTTTTCGGGGTTTGAACTTGACACAACTCATGGTACTGGGGTCGCGTTTAAGCCGAGAAAACCTGACATAGTTAAGGGTACCAGTAATAAACCAGGTGCGGCATCAGGGGCAAACACTGTTTTAGATTTTAATTAAGGTTGATTAACTATGAAACATAGTCAGAACATAGCTTTTTTGCTGTGTATCCCGGATGTGGGCCACGTATTGTCCATTGGGCAGGGGGGGCATGGGGCACGAGGCTCTAATTTAAAATTCCTATTGAAAATGAGGGGCTTGAACAATTGTCCTGAACAGGCCCCAACAAGTCCACTTCCACGATTCTTGGGGCAACAAGAAGTTCGGATCCATCTGGGCAGCTGTCTGAGGTGCCGTCAGAAGAGCCTTACCGCGCCCTTACCTTGGCCATGCGCCTGCTGGTCATGGCACCTAAGCAACCGAGTGGCAGGGTGCAAGAGGACAGCGTCCTGGGGTAAATGGGAGTACCGCAATCCTGGGCCCTTTTTAGTGGACTCCCCCGAAAATGTGGTTTTCCGCCCGGTGTCCCAATAAAACCACCCCAAAACAGCTAGCCTCAAAATATCCGGCGCGCCCATATGAACCTCTATATCTATAACCACTACACTATCATCTGTGTGCAGTCTAGAGCTGGTCTTCATGAAAGCAAAGCCACAATCATGACCAAGATACATGGTTTTCCCAGTTCTGCTGGGTTCGACTCGGAGAAAAGCGCAAAAAAGAAACCTGAACCCTCAAAATTCCCTTAAACATGTGTTTGACCCCCAAAATTATGGGGTGATATCCAATTTTTATGGGTAGTTTGAGGGTCCAGGAACGTCTTTGGAATCTACAGGTGCCCTGTGGATCCTCTTTGAGCACTTTGAGTCACTTGAGTGGCTGGCCAAACGGGAAAAACGACATCTCCTTCACCACATCTTTTCCCAAGACTGGGCTGTTCTCAGATTTCCAGGCAAAAGCTCGGCTTTTTGCGATGTGTTCACCCAAATCTGCCAAGATCGGGCTGTCCTCAGATGCGCTTTTTGTGGAGAGGAACCCAATGTTGGATCGGTTTCGCGGCTGAAGCTAAAACCAAAAACCCAGCGCTCATAGACTCGTAGACCGAGCTGAAGCTTGATTAGGATCTCGAAGGCGCCCAATGCCAAGCTTTTGGCTCCGAGCTCCCATGTCCTTCGGTTGGTACAGGGAATCGATCGGCTGAAGAACGAGCATCATGTTTCCATGGGACAAACAATAGCCCAAACTCAGAGTGTCCAAGTACCTTTCAGGGAGGTACCTAGACCCCTTTTTACCCCCCAAAAGCCATGCTCATGAGGTACTTGGACCCTCTGGGAAACAAAAAACAGCCTTTTTCGGTTCGCATCTTGAGTCATGGGGCCAGGGCAAGCCACGTAATTAACTGCGAGTTTGAATCGATTCATTAGATATAATATTAGATCCCAAACATCCCAACTTGGGCGTTTAACCAGCGTCAGGTGAATAGGTTACAACCCAGGTCAGGGGACGATCACCCCAGGCAAACCCCAGCTACCATGGTCGCAACCCACCGGACCTTGGTTGCATGCCCAAGAACGTGGTCGGGTTCCTTCTTTCTTGGATGTTCCACCTACTTAGTCAGTAAGTCATAGCCATGCTTATAAACCAACTATCCCCAGCCACCCCAGGCGAACAACCTTGGTTATACAGGTTGAACATCCAATTCGGGAGGGTGGGGATTTTGGAAAAGCACCAGGTTGCGAGCCTGCTCCGTTCTGTTGGATGTGCATTTGCCCGCCTTTGAGTCGACACCCAAATCAGAAGCAAGTATAGGTTGCACCTCCAATAGGTCGAACTTCCAAGTATTGATCTTGGTTATGGCGGTGAGCCCTCCGTTGTTGGAGGGCTCCTTTTTGGAGGGGTTGAACCTCCAAGTTCCTTAATGAACCTCCAAGTTCCTTCCGTTTCCGTCGAGATTTCGGATGTCCGATGCAATGGAGGGCTCCTTTTTGGAGTTGAAGCTCCAAGTTCCTTAATGAACCTCCAAGTTCCTTCCGTTTCCGTCGGGATTTCGGATATCCGATGTCTGGGGACGCCGAGGTACTTACAATCCAGTGTGCAGCTCGTTCGCCCTTAGTGAGCTCTCGCGTGAAGATCTTTCCAGCCCCCAATTCAGTTCCATCGGCGTGTTTCTCTTTTAGTTGATACTCTCTTTTTGTTGTGTTTTTGTCAAGGGAGGCCAAAAGGAAAGCTTTGGGGGGTCCCCCACAAAAGAGACATACCCCCATCAAATGGCTTCAACATGGCCCCAAGACGGTTAAGCCAAAACTGGCTTGGCGGGGGGGGGGAATTGTCGATCTTTCGAGTGGGGGAAAGGTATTTGTGTGGGACATCCTTTTGGTTGGGCGGGGGTAAGGAAATTCCATTGAGCCCTACGAAATGCGCTTAATCCGCGACAAGCATATGCCTCGGAGTATGTCCATTTCCGTTGACTATGTCTTTGCGCTTCTCTGTTGGGTTTAAAGGGACTATAATGGACATTTTTTCCAGGGGGCTTAAGACAATGGAGGGAATGATGGACGCGACAAGAGATGTGCAGCCTTCTCGTTGTTGGAACTCCCCGAGCCGAAAGCTTATCGGGTTCTGCCCAATGGTTGGTGGTTCGCAGTGGTTCGGAGAGGCTGCGGGCTTAGGGTTCCGAAAGGGTTCCGCAAGGGTTCCGGTTCCCGGTTGAATGTTGGGATCCTCGGCTGATTTGGGTATGGGTCAAAATTGAAACCAGCAGGGGGACTGCAGGTTTGAGGCGTTGGCTCAATTTACCAGGGTTCCATTTTGGGTCCTATTCTCCGGTCCTATTTCTGACCCGTAGCCATTTAGGGCTGTCCGCAAAACCGATCGCTGGTCCATCGTTTTGTGCTTCCACTGCTACCAGGGAAGCCATTCATGGTGAAGACTAGAGATCAAAGACCAAAAGGTGCCCAAGAGTGGTAGCTGAAAGCACTGCGTTTAAAGACCAGCACTCCAAAAGGAAGATGTCTGCAACATAGAGCACCTGAAAAGGCGAGAGAGACAAAAATCCACTGCGCGCCAGCTGGGATGGATCTACCCCTGTGAACTTAAAACACCACCGACCAACTGGCGTGAAGTGGATTGTGGTCATTCCCATTTTTGTCGGAGGATGCCCTTAATAAGTACTGCCTGTGTAAACTAGGCCCCCTTTTTTGGGAGAGGGTTCCCCTACAAAACTCGACTACAACAAGAAGTTGGTACCCTTCTTCTGACCTCTCAAATCTGGAGGATCTAGTAAATCAACCACAATTGGTCGAATTTACAAGTTGGGTGTCCAACTTGTTCCCTTGCAACAAAAAAGCTCGCGTCCGTGCGAGCTTGCCGCATCAGACGCTGGAAAATCGGCCTCCGGGCATCCAGTTTGAAGGGGGTGGGAAAGGAGCACCCGGCAGCCAACTTCGCCTGAAATTCGGCAAGGAGCCCTTTCCGGTTCCTTAGCTTTGTAGCCTTCTAGTGTTTGGTGGCTGGATTTCCATTTAACTCATTTAACCTAAAAGTGATTCACTTGTAGCGGGGATCTGAAAACAGACAGCCCCGAGCTATCCATTTGGAGTTCAATGGGAACTGTTGCTTGCTGAAAGGTTCTTGGAAGCCAACTTGATTTGGGTAGCGTGGGAATCCGACCACTGTTGGAGGCCCCCCCCTATTGATAGGACGGGGTCTACTTAGATATCTTAGATGCGGGGTCAACAATAGGAAACCAAAGGAATCGCCCTTTAAAATATGGAAGGAAGATGGCGACGGGTTACCTACTGCAGGGGGCTTGAGGGGTCCACAGCAACCAAGCCTTGGGGATCTTGAAGGGTGAAAATCTCCCCGAGGAATAAACATCGCCAGCGAATCCACCAGATCTGACCTTTTTAGTTCCCCCTTTTCGGGTTCCCATGCTTACATGGTTGTTGTTGTTGGCAAACATGTTTTGTGTTTTTTTTTTGTTTTTTCACATTTTTGCTTATATAGTGGTTTAGTGGTTGAAATCCAACCACTTAACTGCCAAAAGAATAATGTGTTGCTCCCCTTCCAACGTCACCCAAGACAAAGTGGGCTGGTTGCCTACTATAGTTATATGGCCTGCCTGGGATCAGGCTTTCAAAGCCAACTGTATTCAGGACATGTCGCAAGTCACCAGACAGCTTATGTGGCCTTGCTCAAAAGCGCGGCTTCGCGCATTCGCGGCTTCGCCGAGGTCATGTCCATTTGGGACTTTCTCATCGACGAGCAGCTCAGCTGGCGTAGGAGTCTTTACGACCCGTTGGGGACCCTCTGGCCGCTCCATGGTTTGGTTTTTAGGTCGTAGAAGTATTGAAGGGAGTCAGCAGATGATATTTTTTCCGGGTACGGATGTGGGCCAGTGCTCTGCAAAGTCACGTATTGAAACACATCACTCCAAAGATCGGACTCTGCTTCCTTTTTCAGGGCTCCAGTTAACTTGCAGGAGGTCATGCAGCCCCCCATGCCGGGTAGCTTCAAGGCACAGATGCATTTTGGATCTCTTGAGTCGTTGAGTCGTTGAGTCGCCAAGCGTTCTGGTCGTGAGTTGTTTGTTGGTGGATATCTGAAGATCTGAAGATGCGGTTGTGGGTTGCCACTTTCTGCGCTACCAAAGGAAATCTGTTTAAAGTGACAAAGCAGTCATAGCATGGCCCAGGCTGGTATCACGGATAAGGGTCATGCCCCCACAACCTGTCTTGACGGTTTCAGATGGCTGGTCTTTGGTGTGACCAAATCGCCCCTTTCTTGTGGAAACAAACAAACTCTCTTAAAGCTACCCAAAAGGTGACAGACCTTTTGCTCTGGGTCTTGGGAGCCACCCAGATGTGTTTGAATCACTCCAGGAAAAGGCCAACCAAGATGCTGCAGTGTCAGCTGCCTGTGTTTTCTGACATCAGGCTACCCTTTGTTGGGTGGTTTGGATTGGTTTGGCTTTGGATTTGCACCCCCGTAATTTCTGAAACCATTTTTTTTGGAAGGTTCCCCTTAAGGTCCAAACCACCGATTCGACTTGCCCAGAAATAGCTCCCTGTGGCTGTTTTGGGGGTCCCCTTTGTTTTCCACTAGGCAAAAAGACTCAGAGTTGTGATTCCTGGGGTCCTGATTCCAGCCCACCGCTTGCAGGGGACAGGGTGAACTGAGGCATGCTTGAAATGCCGAACTGATGCGCCTGGAAGCAGCTGTGACGCCGATTTCATTGGCTCAAGGGCTTATCGATTCGCGAGCCGTGTACCCCCGTGTTTTTTTTTGCGCGCAAGGCTTCAAGCGAACCCAGAACGCAGGCTGCAGGTTTTCAGCAATGGTTTCAACCACCCAACATAGGCGGGTTTGTGTGTTCTTGGAACTTTGGCCGATGGATGAGATGGCATCCCCCTCTTGTTGGCATTTGTTGTTGGGCTTGTCATGTTTTGAGGCCAAAGGTACCCTGTTCAAGGTGGGCTTGAAGGGAAGTCAAAATGCCAACCGCCAATTTGTTGGGTCCAACTCCCGAATTTTTTGGACGCGCAGGCACAGCTGTTCCCTTTCCGGTGTCCTTTGAAGCACCAGAAAAGGGTCCACCAACTTTGGACCCCTCCTCCTCCCCCATGGATACACCGTTGTGTTTTATTATTATTATTATTATTATGATTGTTTTGTTTTGTTTTTTCCCCTTTCTTTATTTTGTTTAATTTTGGACTGTTTGGGGTACACCACGGCATCGACAGCCCTTGAGTGACAGTTCCCTCGTCCGTTTCAGTTGGATTTGGCCAAGTCTAGACTTGGCGCTGGGTGCCGGAGCCACGGGGCTGGGTCCAAACGGAGGGCGCAGATGTCTTCAGACCAGGTGAGAGGGATCCAAAGGGACCCCCCGCCCCCAGTGTCTGGGACTCAGCCATCGGTGAACCAGGCCCCCCAGCAAAATGCCCGACCTGTTTGGCGAACTTTTTTTGGGTGGGAGGGTGAGGGTTACCCTGCTATAGACGGCAGAAACAAGTGGGTACCCTTATTCTAACCTCTCTTATTGGAGGGTTTTAGCGGAGTACCTGGATCGCCAAGTTGCGATCGCTGTGTTCCAGACACTTTACCCCGAAAACAGCCACGGTTGCTGGTTGAAAAGGCAGCAACTGGCGATCCAGGTATCCAATATGGAGCCCAATATAAACTCCCTTTTGGCCTGCCCACATGTTTCTCATGCTTTGGCTGGACACATCCCCGAAGTTCCGTGCATCCCGGATCTCTTGAATAGCTCTTGATTCTCTGTGATACTTTTCTCCATCGCCGTTTCAGAAGCAAAGCTTACCGCATCGGCCGTGGCTGTCCGGCGCAGGGGACAAAAAGTGCAGAGGGCTCGGCTCGAAAGCTCGCGGCTGGATGGATTTCCTGCGGCTTTGGCGGTGGGAATCCTCTGCAACAGCTTTGGAAGCAATAGCTCCCCTTCTGGTCTAAACATGCGCGTGTTGGCCCAGCCACAATCAACACTTTATTGCTAGTTGGTTGGATCTTTGGACTTTGAGTTGTTGGTGGAATCGTGGATTGTCCATTGGACCCACAAAAAGTTAAACTTGTGCGGACGGGTCTCAGCAACCAGAAAAAGAACGGGTAATTTGGAGGTAGTAAGGGACAATCCCAGCCCGAAATGGGTGCGGATATCCGCCACATGTGCCCTTTGGTAAACCACCTTACCACCAGGCTTTGAATTATGACTCCCGTGTTTCTTATGATCCAGCTTCTCATTGGCAAGATGCTATGGGAACATATATGGAACCCTACATGATCATGCAGTGGATTACGAAAACATTGCAAGTGGATCAGCGACACAGCCGGGGTAAGTTGCTATACCAGGGCAACTACATACTTAGAATAGGCTTGTGGCCCGTGGGGTACTTCAGAACCAACTTTAGTCATGATTACGGTAAACGATTAGCATTTCTTGCCGCGTTATATTAGGAGATTGGTTGTGTCCCTTGCCCTTCTGTTTTTTTTTCTGTTCTGAAGAGGGGAGAGGCAAGCCCAAGCCGGATCGACCTGCGGTGTTTTTGTTTGCCAGAACCATCAGGCAAGTGGGCCTATTTACTAAGTAGGGTGAGCAACCAAGTGGGGCTTCCAATGGAAGATTCAGAGCCCTGCATTGGAGAGTCCCCTGGCTGCTTCAGGGTGCCAATTGACTTGCCATTTACAAGATTCTGAGGTTTGTTGATTTTGTCCACCGCCACGTCCGACCTTCAGGTTGCAAGGCTTCGAAACCCTCCAAAATTCAGAAAGGTTGCACCCACCAACACCTAGGGTCTCAGCAACCGACTGGACCTCTTTTTGGTGCCACCCTTTGTTTGGTTGGTTTCAAAGGGAACCAAAGGAAAAACCCGCATTTGGGTCATAGAAATGAGACGCTCGCCTGGAGTTCCTTCGTCCTAGCTTGTGGCGTCTCAATGGTCTTCCCGTCTAGCCAGAGGGTAGGTTTGGTTTGGGCTTTCGGTCATTCATCAGTGATTCCTTTTACCAGGTAACCAAAGGAACCGCACAACAGAACACCCAAAATAGATACCTTTTTAACCCTTCACAAAGGGTTGACATCATATTCTGAACCAAAAAAGGGCGGGTATGTTGTGGATCCAAGGGTTTGGGAAAACCAAGAGGGCATGGCCCCAAACACACTCAATCAGCTGTTTTCGTGTAGATTTTTCCTGTATCCGAAACCTTTGAGCGTAGAGGATGTACATTTACCAGGTCCCAGGATCGTGCCCTTTCTCACCAACTTCTTTGGTTGGGAGGGTTCGGGACCCTACTAAAATGGACTACCGAAAAAAAACATCGGGTACCTGAACCCTCAAAATTCCCTTAAAAATGGGTTTGTTTATGCGTAGTTTGAGGGTCCAGGTACCCTTATTCCAACCTCTCAAATCTGGAGGACCTAGTTTGCTTGCTGCGATTGCCATGGCGTCATGGCCTGGGTTCTGCTCTTGGCACAGGCCTGCGTGGCGCATGTGGCGGTTTGGAATTCGAAGGAAGCGCTCACTTGGGTCCCTTAAAGGCACCCTTGTCTTAAAGGTAAGACTACTCGTATTAAAGGTTTTATGGTTTCATGAACAGCAGAATGAGTACACACATAATGGGAGCACCACATGCGAGGATAGGGTTTAAGGGGGTTAAGGTACCTTGAGGATGGTTTTTTGAGGGTTAGGGGGGTAAGTTCCTTTGCAGCCCCCAGGCTTCCACCAGTTGGAATGAAACTGGGAGGCTCCGGCCACCCTCTTCAGGGGGGGTTGGTCATGGAGAGAGAAACCCCACTGGTTTTGGGTTTGCGGCGTGGCAGTCAAGGTTCCGGGGGGGTAATTTTCAAAATGGGGGACCCAAAGGAGACTAGGTGTCCCTAGGTGCCCTCTTTGTTGGTTGGCAGGGTTCGGGACCTAGACAAAACTGAAAAAAAAGGTTGGTACCCTTATTCTACCCTCTCAGATCTGGAGGACAAGGAGAGTTGATTCAAGCGCGGCGGTGATTCCACCGGTACAGGCAGGCCACCCAGCGGCTTCCCAGCCAAAACCCAAAGCAGTGGCTGGCCTGGGATCCACTGGGTGTCAGTCGAGTCCAACAAATCCCCGCGTTGCTGGTTGGCCGACAGATCCGTTCAAGAGGGTTGCTCCCAGGAACACAACTTTGAGACAACCAACTAAACAAGCCAAGCCAACTAAGCCAAGTAAGCCAAGTAACCACGCTCAGCAAGCCTTTTTGTGGCTGCTTCGAACCACGATGTGGTTTGTTGGGTTTTGGCCCGGTCCAAAGACCCGCCAACTAAAGCGACTCTTGTCAAAGCACCGTTTTGCTTGGGGTGACTAGTGACTAGGGTTGGTCATGGACTCTGAATATGTCCAATGCAAAGTGTTTTGGCCTCAGGAGCCATGAGAATGCCTGACATCTGGTTCGACTAGTCGTCTATAGGTGTCCTTTTTAGGTTAGTTTGGTCAAGAATAGAAAGCACTGGTTTAGATGGGTTTGATTCCATTTACCAAGGCCATCTATTTGTTTCCAAAAGGACTTCTAGTGTCCATCTGGGAAGAACGCTAAATTCCCCACAAGCCCCGGGGACTCGTAAATTTGAACGCGACGTTCAGGAGGTTCGACTGTGGATGGTTGCGAAATCCAATTCGTCCCACCTAAGACACCCTAGAATGATACGATTCGCCTGTGAAATACCCGCAACTAATGGCTTCAACCACGGTCCCAAGTTTGGTGCGAAAAGGATTTCGCATCCAGCAGGTTTCGCCATGGTTCTGTCTCGTGTTTCGAGCTGGTAGCCTGGAACTTGTTAGAAAAAACGGGGCTGGTTTTTTCAGGGTCGGACCAAAGGGAAAGCAGTAACTTCCATATCCCATTTTGAAACTCATGCGCCGGCGCTCAGGATCTGACATTTCGGCTCCCTTGTTTGGCAGGGCTCCTTAAAAGATAATTACATGTTGCAACCATTTGAAACATCGTTTTTTTCACCAAAATAAAGGTTGAAACCCCTGAAATCCGCTTTGAGGATGAGATGTTTCTGGGGGACAACCCCCTGGTTTGGAGTTGCTGGACGATTGATCGGGGACAGCCCCTTTTTAGCTCAAGAAGGAAAACGAGCGCCTGCTTAGGAGTCAGTGGGTTATGAGCCCAAACCTCGACCTGTGCTGAGCCATGGAGGCTGTTTCGTCCTCTTCGGCAAGGACTGCTGCGGAGGCGGCCCAGGAGCCGGAGGACCAAGGACCGGGAGGACCGCCGACGGCGTATGGCCCCTTGAGGAGCAGCGACTTGGCGGCGCCGGTGGTGAACCCTTTTTGGTCGGAGAAGGGTGCGTGGTGAGGAGGTGCTCCAGAGGCGTTTGGTTGGCGCGGCTGGGCAGGATATGTTGGACCTTATGCGGATGGCCTTTTTCCAGGACGTAGAGGCGAGCGTGGTGCTGATGACCGAGATCTTGGCATCGCGGCCGCAGGGGGTGCGAGATGAGTGGATGGACGTGCCTCTGCCAGTCGGCATTGTGTTCGGCGCGCAGGCGCACAGGAGGGAGAGGCGGAAGCTCTTCGACATGGAGCGTCAGGGCTTCCATGAGACGAAGAGGACTGAGGCATGGTCTGCCGCTGGAGGAGGAAAATGGGTCGATCGATCCATCAGGCGCGGGCGCAAGGAGAAGTACGAGATCACGCCGTGGGTCGGGTACACGATCTTCGTGCGGGAGAAGGGGGCTTGAGCGCGGGCAGTTCTTTTGGCGGGCAAACCCTAAAAAGAGGGGGAGCCCTGAAATCGGCTTTGAGGATGAGATGTTTCTGGGGGACAACCCCCTGGTTTGGAGTTGCTGGACGATTGATCGGGGACAGCCCCTTTTTAGCTCAAGAAGGAAAACGCGCGCCTGCTTAGGAGTCAGTGGAAACCACCATTTACAAGTTGCAACGTTCAGGTGCATAATGTAAGGACCCCTGTTCGGGTTGCCGTTTGCTCCTGGCGCAAGGCTCTTTGCGCCCTTGCCCCCGCCCACCCGAATTGGGAAGCGGAAAACCCACGTCGCTCAGTTCCCCTTTCGGGACCCATGAAAGGTGAACCCTAGGGTACCCCCATCGACAGACTGGACGCCAAATTTTGAGGGGATTACCGAGACTCTTAAGGGGAACCGACTTGGGTGTACCGACTTGGTCTGTAGGTTGTAAGCCTGGGGTTATAAGGGTCACGACTAATCCGAGCTACCCAAAAGTTATACTCAATAGTTTGCTGAGTCAACCATATGGCAGTTTTTTACGTACTCAACGTCCCCCTGCAGGTGGATTTCCTCCAGTGAAGCATGAGGCGAAGAGCGTCGATCGAATCGATCGAATGTCTCTTCCCAGAGGCTCCTGGCTTCGGCTTTCAATGGAAGACCCGACCCCTCCATTAGACACCCCGCTACCCGGTGGTTGGGACCCGGTCTCAAAACCAGGTTAAGTTTGAAGGCCTTAAATCAATCGAATTGGAGCCTCTGGCATACATGAAAATATATGGTCACCCCCCCAGGGCCTACCTTTCCTCTCTTCTAGTTGAAGGTGTCAACTCTACTCTGTGTGCCTCGTTCTTGCAGATGCCTGAAAACACTGTAAAAGACAGTGTTTTTGCCATCAGGGCTCCTTAAGAGATCTGCATGTTGCCACCATTTGAAACATGTTTGTTGTTTTTCCCCAGCAAAATAAAGGTTGAAACCACCATTTACAAGTTGCAACGTTCAGGTGTCTTTCATGCATCCGGATTGGCCTCCTTGAGGCCTTGGAGATCTCGGGGGCGGCCCAGCTGTGTGTCGTGAAGGAGCACGTGCCAGGCAGCTGTGTGGAGGCGGGTGCCCACTTTCGGGCTGCTTTCCGAAGGGTTCCGATCCATCCCTAAGCCTTCTTTGGGGGCCCAAGTTGCCCAAAAGGTCAACATCCCGTACTAGAATTTTAGTGAATATCACAATCCCCACTAGAATAATTAGACTAAAATGGGTGGTGCAACGGTGAACTCTGCTATGGATGGTTGCAAAATCCATTTCGCACCACTTTGATGCCATGGTTGAAACCATGATTTGCTGGTATTTGCAGGGGAATGATCATTCCAGGGTCTCTTAGGTGGTGCGAAATGGATTTCGTCCATCCACAGTATGGAACCTGACAGAGGGTCCCGCCTGAAAGGAAAAGGATCTTCCAGAACCCCTGTCAGGTTCCATGTTGATTCGTGGGAGAAAAACAGTTGTGACGGAAACCTGGATCACCAAAGGACCGATTGCTTGTTCCGCCTTGGTACCACTTCTTTTTGGGTCAAGAGCAGACAAAAGGAGTCCATTGGGGGTCCAGGTAGGTTGTTACCATTTATTACCCACGGATAAGTCACCCGTTCAGCGGGGTCCAACCTCTTTTCTATGTTCCTAGTGGATCCCAGTTACCACTATAGTAGGAAACCAACAATTGTCCTCTTGGTGTTTAAAGGGTGGTTTCCTTGGTTACCTATTTTACAGGGAAATGGATCCATTGGGATTAGGTTATAACCGTAGTGGCGATTTCCACTTACCATCTTGGCGAATCGAAGATCCTGGAGTGTGACTTTGGGTAGGGCCAGCCAACCAGTGTTTCCGTGTCCATCTTAGGACTACTTTCGGTGAATCCCAGACGGTCCCCCAAAGAGTCACGATACGAATCCCTCCTTGGTATCGGGCGTACAAGTAGTCGTCATGATGCGAATCCCTCTTTGGTATCACACCCAACTCATTTGAAGGAACCAAGGTCTGGTTGTTCAAGCGACTTTCACCTAACCCTTTGGGAGTTGGCGCCCTGCTACCGGCAAACATGCGATGCACAGAACCCCTTTCTGTTGGAAAAGGTTCCCGTTCCACGTTTTCTTGGTGGGCGGGCACGTTCGATTTGTTTGTTGATGTGTTTCGCATCTTCTTTGCAGGGGTGCTTTTTCTCTTACTTGCCCAAAGCCAGCCTTGAAACTTTTGAAACTTATCCCAGACCAGCACCCGGATCCCAAGCGCTGCATTTGGGTTGGCGTACTTTTGACTTTGGACCAGGGCGCGGGCATGACTTGTATTTTTGGGGAAGGTGCGACACTTTTTCGCCGGAAAGACGGCGGCTGCTCATTTTGAAGGCTTGCCCCGGTAGGTTTGTAGCTTTTGTGCTGGTTTTATCATTTTTTCTCCATGGCTGAAAGGGTCTCGCGGGTCTCTGCCTAGATAGGCTATGGGGTTTGGGGCGGAGATTCGGTTCCGGAGGGTTTCTTGGGCTGTGGGGATACCCCCTGAGCTCATTGGCTCGGCACACCGTTTGAAATTTGCAACTTCCGACCGAAGGTTGCCTTTCTTCCCTGCCACGCACCTTCTTTTCCACCTTTGTGCCGTGGGTTGATGCTCACTTGATTTTGGCAAGGACGCCCCCTTTGGGCGTGTCTAAAGGAATCCGAGAGAAAACCAACCACTTCTGTGCCAACATAGGGCCCACCCCCCCCAGTTTCGTTGGTGCATGTTGCTTGGATGTTGGGACATTTTTTTTTTTTTCGGCCAACTAATGGGGTTTCCATTAAACCACTAAAAGTTAAGCTTTTAGCAGGGGAGCAGAAAGCAACCGAGGTTTCCTTTTAGTTTTTCTGCCTGAGCCTCAGCACCAGATTTGGGACCCTTCCTTGCAGGGGTCGAAATCGAACGGAAACCGATTGGAAGGATCAGGGGACCTCAAATCGGCATCGCCATTTTGAGGCACCGTTGGATTCTTAGGGTGCTACCTCAAAATAGTCCGGGTTTGGCAATTTTGTTTACATCACTTCCTAAAAAGCCAAGATGAGGTGTTTAGACAAGAGTAGGTACCACGACTTAGTTTGTTTTTTTCCCGGGACCAAAAAAAGGGTACCATCTTCTTTTCTTGGGTCCCGCTACCCAGTGGATCTTGGATTTTTGGGGGTGTTGCATGGATTCCCCATACGGAAGCTGGGACCACTGGAATTCATTCCAGCATCTTCCTTTGGGTTTTTTTTCGAAGAAAAAAAGAGAGACATCAGCGGCCAGGGTATGACGGTTTTTTGTAAAACATGGCTAACCCTCAACGGAGAGCCAATATTCTTTAGATATTTTTTGCTGGGGTCCGATTTTTCCAACCAAGTATTGTCTATCCCGGGTAGTCCCCTTGGTTTGCTCACGGAGAACCCGAACCCCCCCCCCTCCATGTCTTTTAGGGATGCGAAGCCACCTGGACTCTCAAACTAGACCCATGAAAAAGGGAATTCACCCCAACAATTTGGGGCAATAACCCATTTTTCAGTTGGATTTCGAGGGTCCAGGAGGTAACCCTCTTTTTTCACCGAGAGGACAATCACCTTCATTCTTGGGGTCCGCCTATTTGTGAGACACCTGGACCCTCAAACTACCCACCAAAGCGCCACCATCTTGGGCAGTATCCAACTTGTTCATGTCTACTTTGAGGGTCCAGGTATCTTCTGTGGGTGGTTTGCCTTTGTTTGGATTTGAACCTCTGGCTTCCCTAAAATAGGGAGGCCCCAACATAGCTTGTCCATGGTTGCTGTTGGGAAACATTTTACATGTTTGCCTCTTGTGGTTTAGTGGTTGAAATCCGAATCCACTTAACTGCCAAAGTTAAAACGCCTTGAACTCCGAATCCACTCAGCTGCTAAAGCTAAAACAATTGAACTCCGACTCCACTTCACCGCCAAGATCCACAAATGTTTGCTCCCCTTCCCTCCAAACCAAGCCGCCCCAAACGCGGGGGCCCCGCCCCGCCTCCGCCCCCGCCGATTCGATCGATGCCGCAGAGGGCTCCGCCGCGGCCTTCGCGGCCCCGGGGCCCGGGGCCCGGCTGCGCGGCGGCTTGCGCTGGGCCGGCCACGGCTGCGAGTCAGGCGGTCCGAGATCCGGCGGTCCGAGCCGGGCCGAGCCGATGGCGGCCGATGCGGGCGAGGGGGGCGAGCGTTTGAGGGGAGAGTTTGAGGGGGGGGGTTTGAGGTGGTTTCCTTGCGGGGCGAAGGAGGCTGTGGGCGTTGGAGGGGCAAATGATGAGCCCAAGAAAAAAGGAAGGAGCAAACTCGTCAACCAAGCAGTTTGTGAATGGATGGGGTGCTTCTCTCTGGGTGAAATGCGGGGAATCGGAGCACCTTTGGAGGGGCCAAACCCCTGTTAATGTCAACATTCATGAAAACTGGCAAAAGGCCCTTGGAATTGTTACGCTGAGCTTTGTGGGGCGCTTTGGGGAGGTGAGTGGCGCGACTCAGGAGGCATGCAGGCAAAAAGTGATCGAGCCGCTTGCTCAAAACCCAGGTGGATGAAAATTGGAAAGCAAGGAATCGGTGCAGCCGGCTCTTTAATTCTTTACAATGGTTCTGGGTAGACCATTGTTGCAACATCATTTGACGGTGATTCAAGTGGCAGCGAATTGATTTTGAGCTGAAACGACCTTACAGCTTTGGACACCCATCTTTACTCATGTCCCTAAAAGGTGATCACCTTTATTTCTGGGTCCAAACGTGGCAAGTGCAAAAATCGGCGCCATGTTCTTTCCCATGGTCACTGGAGGTCACGCCATTCCACCAAAAGGCGTGCCAGGTGGCTGGGCTGATCAGAGTCTCCTTCTAGGTCCCCCGGCTTTTTGGGTTGGGAGGGTTCCCCTAGCAAAACAGACGACAGAGAAAGAAGGTGGTACCTGAACCCTCAAAATTCCAACTTAAAAATGAGTTTCACCCCCAAAATTATGGGGTGATCTCCCATTTTTATGGGTAGTTTGAGGGTCCAGGTAGCCTTATACTACAAGAGGTGACCACCTTCTACTTCCAAGGTCCAAGCTGGACAAGTGAGACAAAGGAGAGGGCGGCACCTTGACTGACTTCTCTGGAGGACCTAACCTTTCGTAGATGTCCACAGGGAGTCGGGATGGGGAGTGGCCAACCCTGGTTTCTAGGTCTCATCCATGCCAATTGCGGAAAGTTCTCCATTCACAGTGCGGGGCCAAGCAAGCGAACAAGCAACTACCCAAGCAACCAATCAATCAAGAAAGCCAACCCAACCCAACCCAACCCAACCCAACCCAACCCAACCCCCACCTTCAACCCTTTGAGAATTCATCCCTCCCGCGCCGATCCAACCCGCAAGATCTGCCCTCGCTCTCGGAGCACCGCGCCGCGGAGATCTTGCTGCTGCGCCGGGGCCGCTGCAGCCTCTCGGCGCGAAAACTGAGCCAGCCATCGCCAGCCACCCGAGCAGGCAGAACCCCAACTTGCTCCAAGTACTTTTTGTCTGATATACGTTTTTTTTTGTTTAGGGAAAATGGATTTTGTCCATGCAGAGGCCCGCCTGTTCAAAACAAACAGCCCAACTAACTGGGAATTCTCGCCAGAAATGCGATAACCCCCTACTCGAAATGCCCTTTTTACGGGCATGTTTAGAAAAAGAACGGTTTTCCACGGTAAATACCTCCCTTTTGTGGTCAGGGAGTTACACGACACCCTTAACACCACAGGATATTTGGAGCTTTCGGGGGTATGTCCAAACCCTGTGCTGTCCAAAAGGCAGATGGGGCCTGCTGGCTTGGGTTGGTTTTCCGCTTTTGCTTGGAGTGGGAACCCCACACGCCTTTCGAATCAATCGAAAGGCTTTTGGCACACCTCCTGTCGAAAAGCAGTGATTCGACCACTGGATTCCACCCGTTTTTCACTCAAGAATTTGCCCCCAAAAGGCATCAGATTTCGTTTCCCCAAGAATCTTGCCCCAGAAATGGGCTAGGTCCCCCAGTAGTGCCCTTCTACCCTTTTGTGGGGGAGGGTTCCCCTACTCAAATAGACTACAGGAAAAAGAAACGGTACCCTTATTCTAACCTCTCAAATCTGGAGGACCTGGGCGTCAGACTGTTGTTTTTGACCCTGAATTGGTGGGCGTAGCTTCATTGGAAGGTGGCCAGGACCGCAAGCCGCTTGCCCCTTTTGTTTCTTTGAGCCACGATGTCAAAAGGCAAGATATCTTCAATAGGCTTTCTCTTTCAAGATCAGATCTTCCGGTGTCTTTCTTCGGTGAAAACCGATGTCTTTCTTTCGATGTGTTGCTTGAATAGGCAAGATCTTCAAGAAGGAAGGGAGGGGAAAAAGGAAGACCAACGAAAGCAAAGCCTTCCTTTTCTTGTTTAACAACAAATATATATATATATATATATATATATATATAAATCCCTCTAAAGCAAGAACAGGACGGCTTTTGTCAAAGGCTGGCCATCCCCGAGGCTTCGCGCAGAAGGCCTCCGTGGCGGCAAGGCGCGGGGCGCTGGCGGCGGCGGTGCTGGACTTTGAGGGGGCGGCGACGGGCCAGGCGGAGGCGTTGGGACGCTTTGGGCGTCGGAGAACGGCGAGGGCTGGTTGGTCCATTGGTGGCGTTTGGGGGGGTCATGTTCTAGGGCCCTCTAAGGGGTTGACGCATGGTTCTGGGTCCTTTCGACCAGTTCAACACCTTCCATTTGCTTGATATACTCTTCCTCTGGTTCATTTGAGCCACGTGCTGAGATGCATCTTGCTTAAACTAAATCAACTCTGTCGGCGAGGTGAGGTGGGCTTGCGGGGTGCACTTGCTGAAATCTGCTTAAACCAAACAACAAAGCTGTTGGTTTTAAACGGGATCTAGCGCAATACTTTTTTTTCAGGCCTACGCAAGTGGGAGGGGTGTCTGGTTGTGGTTTTCCCCTTCTATTTTTTTTGGGGGGGGCGGGTGATACTTGGATGTTCAACCTACCCAGGAAGTAGGTTAGAACCAAGGTTAGCACTGTGGTAACTGGGGTTGGTTGGCAGAAATGGCCGTGGGTACTTGGATGTTCGATCCGCCAAGTGAGTGCTTATCGACCTGGGTCATAACCTGATGACAAGGTGAACTCCACTTAAGTTTACCTGAACCCTCAAAGTTCCCTTAAAAAATGGGTTTGACCCCCAAAATTATGGGGTGATATCCAATTTTTATGGGTAGTTTGAGGGTCCAGGTATGACCTAGGTTACCATTAAATACTTACTAACTTGGCGAAGCGAACACCCAAGTCGGGGTTGTTGATTTCTGACCAGGTACTTGGCCTGGATTTCTTCTTTTGTTTTTCGGGGGATTGGGGTTGTTGGATTTTAAGTGAGTCAGCCAGTTTCTTGGGGAGGATTGTTCGAAGTAAAGTTGCTGTTTGTTTTTTGGTTGGCGGGGGGATAGGCTCTGTCGCCCAGCGGGCCCCTTTTTTGCTTTTTTTGGGGTAAGGGTTCCCACTTAACCTCAACCGAGAAAAACAGGTGCCTTTTTTCCCATGGCCACTGGGCATCGGAGAAGGGGATGCGTTGTTTTTAGGTCTGTTTTTTTTTGGTCTGGGTTAGTTGGCTGGGGCAGGTAGTTTGCGCGGACACTGAGAGTCTATTTTCGCAACCTTCCTGTTTAGGGATGTATTCTTAATCAGAGGGTCCAAGTACCACTTATAGACCCCTTTTTACTCCCAAAAGCCATCCTCATGAGGTACTCGGACCGCAGAATTCCAGGGGTCGAGTCCGACAATTTTTCTCAACTCCCGCGAGAAGGATTCCGAACAGCAACTTCAAACACACACCACTATGGCTGTTCCAAGATGTTCAAAACAAAACGCTGTCCAAATAAAGGTACCAACTCAAACACACGCTATACAATTGTAGTGGACGCTTTCAAGAACAAAAGGGGGTTTGCAACTTGGCTTCCCTCCACAATCTCAAACAGGGGCACCCAAAGAAAGGCGCAGAGTGAACTCACACACACACAAGAAAAAGAAGAAGAAGCAAAGTCAACGATGGCGTTTCCTTGTGGTTAGCCTCTAAAGCAACCAAGCAAAATGGGTGTGCTCTGTCACAAAGCGAGACGCCAGCTTGCGCACAGGCTCCCAACGCTATGTGAATTTCTTGACATGCTTGATCTTCTGACTGGTTCCTCGAGATGTTGAAAAATCGGTCACTGGTCTGCCCTTTTTCGGATTGGTGGTAGAAGGGAACCTCCCTCTCAGAGAAAGGGCGAAAGCTGACTTGCGAGGCAAGAAAGGTGTTTTGTATGTTCCCAGGCATCCCAGGCACGCCGCTTTGACAGGTAAGCACCAATGTTCCTCTTGGTCTTTCAAGGGTGGTTCCCTTGGTTACTTGCTATGCTTAACCCCCCCTCGTAAAGAAGAGAAGTCTGGAACGCGTCCCAAAAAAAGATCCCTCTACGAGTTAGTGGTTTGCATGTTCATCAGCAAGGAAGTACGTGTCCGGAAACCAGACATGTTCGGGGCAACCCAGAGAAAATTGTCCTTTTTTATTTGGGGAGGGGCAAGGGTTTTCTTTCAAAGCCGAAACAACTATGATTCATATCTTGGTGGTTCCCAGCCATCCGGTTCCTTAGCTTTTTAGATCCTTTTCGTGTTTTTGGTGGTGGGATTTCCGTATTTAACCCACAAAATGTGAAAAACTTTTAGCGGGGGAACTGAGGACAGCGCAGGTCCAGGGCATTCACCCCATGTGGCCATGGGTCAAAATCCAATCGGTTGGCTCCCGGTGAACATCCCAATCCAACCACTAAAATAGGATCTGATGTATATTTGGCTGTGGGTCAAAACCAATAGGATCCCATTTTGGGGTAGGTGAATTCACCACCCATTATAGAACCTATTTTAGTGGTTGGATTGAATCGGATGTTCACTGGGGGCTAACCGATTTGGCTGAAAAGCCCATGGCCATTTGGTTTATGAACACGACACAACCTGAACCCTCAAAATTCCAACTTAAAAATGGGTTTCACCCCCAAAATTATGGGGTGATATCCCATTTTTATGGGTAGTTTGAGGGTCCAGGAAGATCCTTTGGGCAGAGCTCGCTACTTCATTTTCCCCAATCCCCTGTCGCAGGTGCAAATGGAACTGGTCGCAGGCACTCAAGGTGGGGGCCTCAGAAAGAAAATTGTGAGGCGGAGAAACGTGCGTTTTTTGTTGGGCCAAACCAAAAATGGTATGTGGGGAGAAGGGGATTTTCTAAAGCCAAAGTAAGTCCTGGTCATATCTGATCATAAGAGAAATACTAGCTGGTTGGGAGGGAGTCAATGTGGGGTATTCAAGTTTGCCTTTCAGGAGGGAGCGAAGGAGCTAGGATGTAGGATAGCGTGTCGTCAAGCAAAAAGATCACTTGGTACCTCGAGATTTGTTTTTGCCTCTTTAGGTCCCCGAAAGCTTGCAATGGGTTAGATGTCCAATTCGACATCTCCACTGGAGAATGATGCTTAGGGTGGATTTGTTTTGAAACAGGCTCTGAACATATTGGGTCCTCGCAAAAGGGTACCCTAAAATGCGGGAACTTGGATGTGTCGTGTTTTCGGGGACCCCAAAGGGGTTGGTTTTCTGGCTTCCTTTTAACCACCAACTCTCTATTTTGAGACAGACCCACATATCGGGTGCCTGGGTTTGATTACTACACTGCGTTCCCTCCAAGAAATGAACACCCCTTGCTTGGATGTTCGACCTACTTGGTCATAACGATGGTTACAATCCAATGAATCCCAGCTACCATCTTGTACCTTTGGTTATCTTTGGCGCATTTTGCTTGGATGTTAGGACTTTAACTTGTTGCCAAGGAATGGGTTTCAATTCAACCACTAAAAGTTAAACTTTTAGCAGGGGAGCAGAAAGCCACCGAGTTATAACCTACCTGCCAAGTTTTGAGGCGCTTTCTGTGAGCTTGCTGTTGAAACCCTGTGCTTCTCCTTCGGACCAGGGCTGCAGGGCTGCAGAGGCGGTTGAGGCGCTTGAGTCATAGGTGTCCTTGTTGGTTGCGTTGCTCGAAAAATAGATGGGTTTCCCTGGTGTACCTGTTGGTTTAATCATCTACAAGTGCCAATTTTTTTTATCTGAAAGGACACCTATGCGCTTTTTTGCGCGTGAACGGCGAGAGACCGACGCAGATGGATGAGACTCCAAGTTCGAAGATGAAACAGAACCGGTGTTCCCAGCAGGCAGTGGAGGCAACTCGACTTACTTCGAGCTTCCCAGCCTGCGTGTTCATGCACTCCGCCATTGGGAACTGGGCCTTGGAGCTTCAAGGCTTCGACCTTGGTCTTGGCCGCGGCGAATTGGAGGTCTGAGGGGTTTTGTATTACACCCTGGGATTACCTGAACCCTCAAAATTCCCTTAAAAATGGGTTTGACCCCCAAAATTATGCCTGGGATTACACCCTTAAACGACCCATGGTTCAAAGTAGCACGGTTTTATCCGGAAAAGTACCTACATGGGGTCAGTCAATACCCAGTGGGTGTGTTCCCAGGGTGTGATACAAGAACCCTTTGTTGTCGACATCTTCGGCAGTGAGAAGTAACTCAAGAGCCTTAGAAGAGGATTGCAGCAGAAGAACACGAAGAGATCGAAGATGTTTCCGTAGACCAGGAGTTGCTCACAAAGTTTGTCCGCTTGAAAGGAATTTGGTGTACCCAATGTCATTGACAGTGACATATAGACCCCCAAAATTGGTTTCGGGTTCCCTTGCCTTTGGTTTCCCTTTACTATCCCAGAAAGCGTAAAGAGCCTCAAAAAAGCTGAAAAGGGTTTTCCTGTTAGTCTCCCTTTAAACCAAGCTGAAAAGTGCACAATCAGACAAACACACACACACACACATGAAGATAACTGATGCCAAGGGTGCCAAACAACATGACTTGCTTTCCCTTGTAGGTACTTCTCTTTGTGGGTATGAATTTCGATGGGGATCCACCAACCACAAGTGACCTAAAAGCCATTCCTGTGACTGGACCGTTGCTCTCTAGAGTTGCGTATGGGTCAAACTTATGCCACCGAGAGACCGCAGGTATTAGTTTTTGGTTCCAAGTACCATGGCAACCCATTTTGGGGTTACCCAATTTTTGACCGCCACAGCCAGTTGAGCTTGAGTCTTACCCATCAGCGACCTCCGGTGCTACGACTGTTCAGTCAGCTTTTTTGGGGGGGTTTTACACCCTTTGCAGTCAACGAGCAGTGGCTAGGGGGAGACAGCAAGGGAAGCTTATCTTATCTTTTGAGTGTTTACTGCTTTTCAGGTTTTTGGGAGAGGGGGTTCCCTTTAAAGTCAGCTACGCCAAAGAAGGGCTTACATTTCTCCCTGGAGCTGGGGTCTCAGGACTTGTTTGGTAATCACACGGACACATGTTGTGTGCGTGTTTGCTTGCTTGCTTGCTTGCTTGCTTGCTTGCTTGCTTGCTTGCTTGCTTGCTTGCTTGCTTGCTTGCTTGCTTGCTTGTTTGTTTGTTTGTGTTTGTTTGTTTGTCAGCTCCACTCAGGAAGTTTCTCAGTGAAAGCACAAGGGGTTCCTAGCAGAGGAACCTTGTTGGCATGTTTTTAGGTATTTTGGCTCCAGTTTTTCTGCATTCAGTCAAATGTAAGCCCATATACCGTTTGGGCCCACCTGAGCTTCTGAACCTTCAAACTATACAAAACTTGGCTCCCAGCCATCCAGTGCCTTAACTTTTTTTTAGTTTTTTGCTGTTTCGTGGTGGGCTTTCTCACCATTTCGCCCACTGAAAGTGAAGAGCTTTGAGCGGATCTGAGGACAGCGCGGAGATTGGCACCCCGCGTTGTGGCAAAGACCCCCGGAGGTCAGCGGCATCTTGTGCCTTTGCTGCTGCTTCCCGCTGCAGCTTCCGCCCTGCTGGAGGCCGCAGGCGTGGTTGGGGGGTTGGGGGGTTGGGGGGTGGGGGGGTTGGGGGGTTGGGGGGTTGGGGGGGTGGGGGGGGTGGGGGGGGTTGGGGGTGGAGAGTGGTTTGGGTGGTTTGGGTGGTTTGGGTGGTTTGGGTGGTTTGGGGTGTGGTTTGGGTGGTTTGGGTGGTTTGGGTGGTTTGGGTGGTTTAGGGTTTTGGGGGGTTTGGGGGTTGTCTCCTTGACTGCTATTGGGTTGGATCTTTAGACTTCAACTTTTTGGTTGAAATCAGGGGTTTTGCATTAAACCCCCAAAAAGTTAAACTTTTTGCAGGGGGTATCAGCAGCGACCCGATTTTCTGTCTTTTCTGTTTGTGCGGGGTGGTGTTTTCCGCAGACACTGGCTTTGTGTGTACATTCACAACTTGGCCCAGACCAAGCCGTTCCAGTTCTTGCTTCACGTGTTCATCTTTCTGAGGGTAGATTCCCCATTCTTTCCAACCATCGTTCTTCTCGAAAACCGGCCGTTTCTCCGGGTTTCAGGAGGTTTCTAGAAAGATTCGGACCCCTGGGTTCAGAATGGAAATGGAAGGTAGCACTCGATTTTTACTTGTTGCTTGTTCCTTCTTGGCCTTGGAGCAAAGGCCAAGATCCTTTTTGCTTCAGCCTCCACTCGGGGGATTCTGTCTCTTCAGGTTCAAGCAGCCGAAAACAGGAGTGAGCAACCTTTTCCGAAGCTTTTTGGGAGCTACAGGCGCGTTTTGTTGGTTGAAGCTAGCTACCTGAACCCTCAAAATTCCAACTTAAAAATGAGTTTGACCCCCAAAATTATGGGGTGATATCCAATTTTTATGGGTAGTTTGAGGGTCCAGGTAGCCACCCGGAAGCTACATTAGACAGTGGATATGGCAACCCACAAGTATTGTGTGGTTGCCGGGTATCATGAGGGTCCAGGTACGCTCATAAACCTCTTTTTTGTTCTTGGGCCGCGCATAAACGCGCACAGCCATTTGAGTAGGTGCTTCTTGGTCTTGTTGGTTCTAGCAAGGCCTATCAGGGCGTGTCTTTTAGAGAGTGGTTTTAAATGGGACAACCAGGAACAAGCGATCCTAAAGTTACTGGGAACCAACAGCAACCCAAACGCGAGTCCTGAATTTGGAGAAACACTCAGCCCTTACAATGTCGACAGGTGTCGGGTGCCCACTGCCACTTGCTCAAAACCTGGGTAGACGAAGGTCATAGGAATAATCCCCTTGCCGTATGCGTTCCTTCGCCGCCTCAAGTCCCGAAGTGGTTCTGGGCTTGGACTATTTTAATACCTAGGTCCCGCAGTAGTGCCCTTTCTCACCCTTGTTTGGCGGAGGGTTCCCCGACTAAAGTAGACTACAGAAAAAGGGTACCCTTATTCTAACTTCTCTACTGGAGGACCTAGAATACCCAATGAGGTTTGATTCCACTCCAACACTCTCGACTCGGCTCCAACTCGACTCAACTCTACTCTAACCCGCTCCACACCCCACCTCCTCCACTTCCACCCCAGCTGCACCCTAACTCCATTCTGACTGAGTGACAATCAAAACCCGGGTAGATGAAGGTTAGCAATAGTCCCAACCATAAACGGGGGCGGCTATCCGCCTTGTGAATGTTTGAAGCATGGTTCTGAGTCCTTTCGACCATTTCAATACCTTCCATTTGCTTAAGAATACTTTCTATTCCCCCCTGTTAATTTAGTGGGATTTTTTTGCTATTTGACTTATGTTTCTTTTTCCAGGGGACTTAGGCAAATTCTAGGGGTGATTCCCCATTCTTTTCAACCATCGTTCTTTCCAAAAACCGGATCCGTGTTCAGCCTGGGTTTCCGGAGGTTTTCTAGAAAGAAGGATCCCTGGAAAGAATGGAAATGGAAGGTACCCCTAGAAACACCCCCGTACTAAAACTTGGGTGTTCCACCAACTTGAGTCATAACCATGGGAAATCATGGGAAGGTGCTGCTTGGGAAATCAATATTTGGAAATCATGATCATGATTTCGAAATCATGGGAAGTCATGGGGACTTGAGCAAATGGAATAATTTTCCAATGGGTGCTGGGCCTCGCGTCCGGAAGGTGATCTCGAGGTGGAGCTCTCCTGGGGCCAACCAGCTGCGGCTGCCACGCTGGACGCGGGATGCCCAGCGCTGGGGCGAGCCGACGTTTCTAGCCGTGCCCCAGTGCCCTTCTCTGAGAATCTGCAACCGTTTTTTGGTGGGGAGGGTGAGGGTGCCCTGCTAAAATCGACAAAACTGAAAAAGTGGGTATACCTTTATTCTAACCTCTCAACTGGAGGACCTAGTAGCTGTACCCTCTCTAGTCTCTTCAGGGATACTTCTTTCTTTTTTTTTGGCAATGGGCCAAAACCGTAGAGAGACCTTGGTGCATCCACAATCTTGCAAGGCTGACGCCTGAGACACTGCGTCCACCCAGTAGGCACAAGTTAAGCAGAGTTGCGCTGAAGCAAAGAATTCCTCTGTTGCCCAGGGGTGCTTTTTTTCTCTTTTTTGGGTAAGGGTTACCTTTTAAACTCAACCAACAAAAAACAGGATGCCCTTTTTCCCATGGAAATCCACTGGGCATCTGAGATTCAAATCCACAGCGATTGAGTGGTCCGGCGCGAAATTCGGAATTCGGACTGACGCAGTGCCCAGCTAGTGGACGTTCCGTTGGAAAGCTTCGCGAATCTTATTCCTTACCCAGAGGCTCCAATTCGATTTTAGGGCCTTCAAACTTGACCTGGTGTTGAGACCGGGTCCCAACCGGGTAGCGGGGTGTCTAATGGACGGGTCGGGTCTTCCTTTGAAAGCCCCAGAAGCCTCTGGGTAGAGGAAGGAGGAGTGGGTGGTTTGAAAAGACAATCGTGGGTGAAGCCAATGGGAATCAAGCCTTAGAATGTTTTCGACCACCCAAATCTAACGGTACCTCAAACTGGCAAAGCCTTTTTGAGGATCGAAACCTTCCAAATGGAGGGTCGCTGATCAGATGCTTAGAGCACAGGGAAACCCTCCAAGGTGTTTTGCAACCATGCCCTTGACCCGTCAAGTAGTTTTCATGCTTGCCCTCGCCTAGGGCAGGAATGGAAAGAACATCCTTGCCCAGTGGATCGCAGGCAAGCCACTATAGTAGGCGACCAGCGATTTTCCTCTTGGATTTTTAGGGTGGTTCCCTTGGTTGCCTGCCTTAAGCCAAATCGATCCACTGGGCTTGTCCTTCCCCCAACTGCAGCCTATTTGAGTGAACATGTTCGGGGCTTCTCAAAAGGACTTTGCGGGTGAGAAGGTCCCTTAGCACGATGTACAGGATCCTTTGAGTCTCAAAAGATACTGTGGGTGGACCAAATCCTGCACCACTTTGATACCACGAAGAACCATTATTTGTCGGTATTTGCAGGGGAATTATCACAGGATTTCGTCCATCCACAGTAGGGGCCCCAAAACAGGCTAACGGTTTAAAGGGTACCAACGAAAAAGAACGCACACCCTTGCAATGCCAGGAAGTCCATTGTTTGCTTTGCATATTCAACCATAAAAGTTATCCTGGACATAACCTCCGACCTAAATGATGTCCAAAGCGTCCCTTGAACGTTATGCCCGTAAACACAAGGAGGTCCGTTCTTTGGTTGACTTGACTTCAACGTCTTTGAGGTCCAAAACCTTTCAATGGAGGCCCCTTAAACCGACTTCGATGGGTTTGGGTCCCCAATCAGATGCTTATGGCAAGAGTCTGAGGGATGAACCACACAGTATTTGTGCCATTCTGTCTGTTGCCTTCTTTTTTTTTGCAACTTGCTTTCCTTGCAGTAAAGAGGCACAGCTAAGACGGGGATACACCACCTACCATACATGGATGTTCGTTGCCAAGTTAGTCCCAATCAGAAGGTTAAATTCACCTGGGGTGACTTAGTGGATTTTAACCTAGGTCCCCGAGTAGTGCCCTTTTACAATTTTTTGGGGGGAGAATTCTCCTACAAAAATTGACTACAGACAAAAGGGTACCCTTTTTCTAACCTCTCTACTGGAGGACCTAGCAACCGAACGGTTACCGTTAATCAATGCTGACCCCTTGATGACTAAACTCCGCCCGCTTGGTATTAAGTGGGGTCCCTGTTTAGTGGGGAATCCTTTCTTCCGGTACAACCCCCCCGATCGCCAACTGGGAGGGGAGGTGGGTTATTATTCAGGGGTCAACATTAAAACTTAGCGAATTGAACACCCAAGTATATAGGGGACCTCATAAAATGGTAGTGTTCCATTTGGTGTCCCTTTAATCCAAGCCCAAAATGGGTACCGAGCCTCAAACGAAAACCTAACTAAATTGGCAATCACCCCCCCCCACCGGGACCCCTGATTAATAACTGGGTTTATGAATCAGGGGTCAACATTTCAACTTGCTATTTTGGCGAATCGGACCCCCACCTATCCTTTGGGGTCCAAATTGTCCAGAGATCACCTCCCGAAAACCGAAGGTAGTCCACTTTGGGGTTGTAAGCGAAGCGTTCCCATCCCCCGGCCCCGCATGGCCCATGGCCGCTCGCCCAGCTCTGGCTGCCCTTCTCCGCTGGCGCTGCGGCGCTCTTGAAGGAGCTGGCGCCCGCCGCAGGCGCGGGCGAAGTCGAAGTCGCGAAGTCGAAGTCAACCCATGCTCACTTCCTAAGTTCATGAACTTTAAACTTTTTGGGAAGACAATTTTAGTGGTAAATGTAAAGTTTGGACTGTTTTTGGGCCATCCACTCAGCCAGTGAGCATTTGGAGGGCCCAAAAACAGTCGGGAATCCACCCTCAGGACGCGCTTTGGGGTCACGATCGAGGCGGTGGTTTCGCAGGCCTGCACTTGTGCACACCCATGATGGTTCACGCAGGCGACAGCCGATGTTGAACTATGCCCACAGATGTTGAGTTTGGAAGAAGAAGAACACATAAAACAAGAAGACGAAGAAGAAGAATAACAAGGAGCAATGGGTAACACCCGCAAACATGTTGGTAGACATAAGCCCGCATTCAATTGGTGTCCACCAAAGGGCCCCCAATCAACATGTCTAGGGCCCCCTATGCCCGCATTGCTTAGAAGATTTGGAGTGTTTTGCGGTTTGTTATTAGACATGTTACCTATGGTTCGGCTTCTAACGACTTGTTCGGTCGGCCCCTTTCAATGTGAGTGAGTTTCCTTGGTGATGAAAGGTCTATGCCTGCGAGTAGTGTTTTGGGGATAGTGGATACCATCTTAGATGTAAGGGCATTTTGAGGTGAACCAAGATGTGTTTCTCACTTGCCCAAAGCGATTCGACCTGATCCGACCAGGGTTGGTCTTCTTCCAGAAACAAGGTCCCAAACAGGTAAAGAATCAACAGACATGGGTATGGGTCCAAATTAAGCCACCAGGGGACCGCAGGTTTTAGTCCGTGTGTCCATTTACCAGGGTTCTATTTTGGGTGCCTATGTTTGACCCACAGCGAAATGATGAATCAATGTCATTTTAGGATTTATCTCATAATCCACACACGAGTCACGATGCCCGGGGAAAGTGAGCCACAATCAAAACCCGGGTAGATGAAGGTTAGCAAGGGGCAGTCCCAGCCGAAAATAGCTGCGGCCGCCTTTCTAATTCTTTACATGGTTCTTGGTCGACCATTTTAATAGGTTTTGATTGTGACTCAAGTGAGGAATTGTTTCGGCCCGGGAAGTCGCTGAGGCCAACTTGGGGACGCCCTTCAGGTCCGCCCCCACTGGCGAGTTGTGGCGCTCGATCCGGCCAGGCGCCTCAGAGCACTTTCAGCCGGTGGCATGAAAGACGCCGCTATAGCAAAAGCAGGAAAGAACACCTCAACCGGATACAACTCGAGGGGTACCTTCCATGTCCATTCTTTCCAGGGATTTGAATCTTTTCGGGAAACCATCAAAAACAACCCAGGGGAAACAGATTCGGTTCTTGAAAAGAACGATGGTTGAAAAGAATGGACACAGAATCAACCCCTAGACCAACCCGCTATTTTTTCTGTCACCCTTTTGGTGGGCTTCACTTTTTTATTCCCTTTCTGGATCCCAGCTATGTCGTAGGTAAACATCGTTGTCCTGTTGGTTCTTAAAGCGTGCTGGATTTTCGGTCACCTACCTAGGTCCCCCAGCTAGGTGCCCTTTCTCACCCCTTTTTTGGGAGAGGGTTTCCCTACTAAAATAGACAAGACTGAAAAAAGAAACGGCACCCTTCTTCTAACCTCTCTAGAGGACCTACCTGGACCCTCAAACTACCCATAAAAATGGGATATCACCCCATAATTTTGGGGGTCAACCCCATTTTTAATGGAATTTTGAGGGTTCAGGCAGCTACTATAAAGGGAACTGGATCCATTGGGCTTAGGTTGTAAACCCAGTGGCCCACCCGCCAAGTGACTAACTTGGCGAATCGATCACCCAAGTAGCCAGAGGCCGCTGTTTGGCACGGGCAAGCCACCCAAGCACCTGAACAAAACGAAGAACAAAAGGTTTTGGCGCATAGGTGCCCTTTTTGGTTGTTTTGATAGAAAAATAGATGGCCCTGGTTTACCTGGTGGTTTAATCATCGTTTAGCGCGTTGGGGGGGATTGGGGGGTAGTTGGAAGTCGAAGGAACAGCCTATGACATCCTGTGACTAGATTGTTGTTTGCCTGACCCGGAGGTCATTTGATGCATTTTCACAGGGAATCCCCTCAAGACATGGTTGTTGCTGGGAAACATTTTACATTTTTGCTTATTGTGGTTTAGTGGTTGAAATCCAACCACTCAACTGCTAAAATTTGAGAATTGTTGCTCCCCTTCCAACGTCAACCAAGAAGAGTGCAGCGTCCTTTTGGGGAAGCCCAAAAGGGTTATCTCCAAAACTGCAGATGTCAATCTACCCGCAATCTACCCAAACATACCCCTGCCCATACATGGTTGTTGTTGGGACACATTTTACATGTTTGCTTATTGTGGTGTAGTGGTTGAAATCCCCACTTCACTGCTAAAATCTAAACACATGTTCCTCCCCTTCCAATGTCAATCAAGTCCTGCCAAACAAAAAGTGGGGTTTGTCTCCACACTGATTCGCACCTTTCAGAAACCCTGGCATGCATGAATACCAAGGTTCCCATGGTTCCCATGGTTTCAAATGTGGTTCAGGAATTTGTCCAGCCACAGTAAGAGGGGAACCTGCAAAACTTGGGGCAACAGCTTCCCGTCTCCAAGCATAGCCCCAAAGCACCCCACACCCATCTTCCCAGAGGGTCCCTTGGTACCTCATGAGGATGGTTTTTTGGGAAACATTGGTCCTTCAGTACCTCCTGAAAAAATACCAAGGGACCCTCTGGGGCGATCAATCATGGTTTTCCTTTGAAAGCTTCGGGATTTCCCTTTAAGCCACGGCTCAGCAAAAAAAAAGAAGGTTGCAACACCAACACCAAAGGCCTCCCTGGGCTTTTGGGGATGCGGGGACGCCCCACGCGCGCGGAGCGGCCGAGGCCGAGACGGCCGGCGCCGGCGCCGCAAGGCGCTGCGCCCGGGGCCTCTCGGAGCTCTGCGCGGATTCGGAGACGGGCACGGCCGAGGACTTGGAGCAGGCGCCAGGGGCGGGAGGGCTGGGGGCGGGGAGCGCGGGGGGGAAGGGGGGGGGGGATGGTAGGGGCGTTTTTTGCGGCAGGGAAAGCACAAATTTGCTGCTGACTAGTGACTAGGGTTGGTCATGCACTCTAAATATGTTCAACAATGCAAGTATGTTTGCCTCAGGAGCCATGAGTATGCCTGACATTTGGTTCGACTAGTCGTCATAGGTGTTTTGTTTTTTTTTGAGTTAGTTTGCTTAAGAATAGAAGGCGCTGGTTTAGATGCGTTTGATGCCCCATTTAGGTGTGGAGGGGTATAGAAGCTGAAAGGAATTCCACCTTGAAGAGCAGGCTGGTTTTAGGATTATTGCCAGACTTGACCAATCAGTTTCCCCTTTTGCTCCCTGTTTTATTTGATTTCGTGGTATCATGAACAAGTTGTCACTTTTGTTAGAGGGTCGAGTTCTTGCGAAGTAGTTTTCTCTTAAACGGCTTGTCTTCATTTTAACTGCAAGGTACCTTTAAGCCGGCCTTCTTGGTTTGGGGTCTCCAAAGGATGTTATATTTTGGCTATGGCTATGTTTTGTGGTGGACAAACCTTGAAGCAGGATCTGATCAAAATTGCTGTACCACAGAGCTGAAATGAACATGTTTACTCGCAAATTTCGTCTTTGGGGTGGTGGTAGGGGGGCGGGGGGTGGCGGGTGTGGTGGTAGGGGGGCGGGGGGTGGCTGGGGAGACTGGTTTCAGAAGCAAACTAAGGACAACACATTTAGGTGTTCAAACAACACATAAGAGACTTACGTAAGTTCGTATGTGGGGCGGGCTTCCTTGCCGTTGTCAAAGATCCCTGCTTGGGATTGGTAGTTGTGCTAGTGAAAGAAAAGAATTGCGGGCCGCAATGCATGCGGAACCCTTACCATGATGGCTCTCTAAACTCCCTAAGGGGAATCCAGGATTAAGAAGAACCCCTGGTTGACTACTTGGATGCTCAATCTACGGAGTAATTAAGTAGGCTATAACCATGGTTATATAAGCCCACCAACCCAACTTAGCCCAGAAGTAACCCTTGTTTAGAACCTACTTATTAAGTAAGTTGAACATCGAAGTAGGGGTTGTTCCCTTTTAGTGGGAATCCTTCGCGTTTGTGGGTGACACCCCCCAGTTCATAGGACGGGTTATAAACACCTGGAGTTCCCATTAAAGGAGCATTATATTTTTCCGTTTTGGGGGGTCCACCTACTTCGACACCTGCCCATACCACGATACCAGTTCCCATAGAATCAAATGAGAGATCTTTGGGCGGATGTCAGGATCTCACAAAGTGTTTTTGTGCCTTATTTGAAGTTGGTGCAGCAGTACGATTCAGCAATAGACATGAAAGTGTTGACATCGCGCCCAGCAGAAACTCACTTCAAGTTGGCAAACGCACCAAAGGGGGGACATTAGATGAGGATGGTTCGGGGTTGAGAGCTTTTGGTGTTTGGCGAGACCGCTTCTGGCATAGGAGCAAACACGCAAGGTTGGCTCTGATCCTTTTGGATCCATTTGGGTCTTTTGATCTGTTGGGATGGGATCTGTATTGGCTCCATGTGGGATCCCTGGAATCAGTTTTCCTAAGAAAACGCTTAGACACGGGATATGGCAACTCAAGTTGTGTTGTTGCCCGTGCGAAGGCTAGTCTGACCGGGTGTCCTCCGTTTCGCTTTGAGCCTCTAAGAGTGGCAGTTTCAATGGACACGCCTGCCTGAAGCCTCAAAATTCCAACTTAAAAATGGGTGTGACCCCCAAAGTTATGGGGTGATTGATCAACTTTTGAGGGTCCAGGTGGACAATTGAACTTTTGATCTGGGGACATCGAGCGACCCGGGTTTGACTATCACTTCCTGAGTTTCCGGACTTCAATTTTATTCGGGACATATGAATTTTAGTGTAATTAAGCAAAACGTTCAGACCGTTTTTTTTTCAAAAAACAATAAAATCAGGAAGTGAGTTGAGGGTCCAGGTTCTTGGTGGTTCCCCGCCATCCGGTTCCTTAGCTTCTTATGTTCCATTTAGACCCACTAAACGTGAAACACTTTTAGCGGGCAATCAGAAAACGGACAGCCCAGTGTTCCTTTTTGATCTAAGGGGCAGTCCCAGCCGGAAATAGTGTCGGCCGCCTTCTTAATTATTTACATGGTTCTGGGTACCTGAACCCTCAAAATTCCCTTAAAATTGGGTTTGACCCCCAAAAAATATGGGGTGATATCCAATTTTTATGGGTAGTTTGAGGGTCCAGGTAGACCATTTTGAAACCGGGTTTTGATTGTGACTCAAGTGAGTTGAGGGTCCAGGTTCCTTTTCGACGCCGAGGGCCAAAGAACGCGGCCCTCCCTTGAGGCGGTTCGACTCCACTGCGTCGCGAGACGCCACCCAAAGCTCTGGTGGCAGTACGTGGAGTCGGAGAGCGCGGGCCCCGGCTTGGCTTTGCGAGAGGTCGGTGTGTTTCCTGTGTCAATGGTTGGAACCATCATATTCATGGTTGTTGTTGGGAAACATTCTACATTTTTGCTTATTGTGGTTCAGTGGGAAATTCCCACTTTTGCCCCTACATATCGTGACGCAGGGGACATTCAATGATATTCGGACCCTGTCCTTGAGATTGTCTGAAAGGTTTGTTAGTCTGGCCCTCACTTCCCGAGTTCATGGACTTTCTTTGTGGGAGGACCATTCTAGCGACAAGCGACAAGCAATTTGGAATTGTTTGGGACATCTACTCAGGAAGTGAGTAGATTCTAGGGGTTGATTCCCCATTCTATTCAACCATCGTTCTTTTCAAAAACCAGCTGTTTCCGCGAGGGTTCTGATGGTTTTCTGGAAAGAAGGATCCCTGGAAAGAATGGGGAAGTGTCCCCTAGATAGATGAGTGGTTTCTGAACAGATGGACAGGGGAAGTGTATGGGGCACCTTTCAACAATTATGGGAGAGGACAGGATTTGGTTTTCGACTGATGCTAGTCTTCCAACTCCCTCTACGAAGTTCCATGTGTGGACCCTCAAACTGCCTGAAACACGGGTTACTGCCCCAAACTTATGGGGTGAGTTCCCTTTTCTATGGGTAGTTTTCTTTGTTTGTGGTTCTGTTTTCATGTTGAATGGGTTTCCATTCTGCTCGTAGCTTTCAACCATACTGCACGCGCTCCCTTTTTTTCCCTTAACGCCAGCCGACAGTCGAGATATTGTTCAACATCAAAATTCAACCACCAGGAGACCGCAGGTTGTAGTCCATGTGTCCATTTCCCAGTGTTCCACTTTGGGCACCTATTTTTGACCCACACCCATATTGTTAAAAACAAATCAAAGGAACGCGGAACCAAGCTGGAAGTTGAGGTGATGCATGCTGCTGAGCAAACCACGCTCGGGGGGGCGAATGGGACCCACACAGTGTGGGGTTCAGGAGCCATGAGCAAAAAGGAGCATCTCCACACATGCTACATATATGTATAATATGTGTATATATATATATATATATGATATACTATCGCCTGAAAAGGGTTCAAAGACATAGAACATCAGATAATCCAAGGAATAGACGTTCGTAAAACAGTTGCTCAAGGAGGTTTCATAGGGGGCTCAAAGCGGGCTAAGTGGGGTTGCCTGGGGGTACTGTTCGGGTCATCCCCCTAGGTCATGTCGTGACCTCATGTGTCGTGGTTACCTATTCAATTTCCGAAAAAGGAGCTGACGTTACCTTGAGATATGCTGTTGACCTTGTGTAACATGACTGTTTTTCCTGCTGTATAGCTATCCAACTAGTTTTTGGAATTTGTGGATTCTATTGCTTGAAGGGTCAGAATTCTTGGTGTTTGGGAGGGGGTCACTTGGAACAAGCAAGGAAAGACTGTCCTCCTGTGAAATACTCAGTATATCTATATATATATATATATACATACATTTGTATACAGATAGCATAGTGTTCTTAACTATGTATATATGTATATATATATATATATGGTACCCCCCCAAAAAAAACCCACACTTTTAGCTAAAACACTGGTATTTGCCTGGAAAACGCACAAAATGGCCACGATCCCAGAAAACCAGAAAACCCTCGAGAAAACCAGAAAAACCAGAAACACCAGAAGTCTCAGAGACTTGTAGCTCAAGATCCGGAAAACCAGAAAAACCTCGAGAAAACCAGAAAAACCTCGAGAAAACCAGAAAAACCTCGAGAAAACTAGAAAAAACAGAAAAACCAGAAAAACCAGAAGTCTCAGAGACTTGTAGCTCAAGATCCAGAAAACCAGGAAAACCTCGAGAAAACCAGAAAAACCAGAAAACCAGAAAAAACAGAAGTCTCAGAGACTTCTGGGCCAAAGTGTTCAGATCTTCTGGTTTTTCTGGTTTTCTCGAGGTTTTCCTGGTTTTCTGGATCTTGAGCTACAAGTCTCTGAGACTTCTGGTTTTTCTGTTTTTTCTGGTTTTCTCGAGGTTTTGTTGGTTTTCTGGAATTATGTCCATTTTGTGTGTGTGTGTGTTTCCAGGCAAGTACTAATGTTTTAGCTAGAAATGTAGGTTTTGGTGGGGGTGCCATTCATGCATATACAGATAAGGTACAAACCTCTCACACTTTTGTTTTTCATGCATGCCTGCTGTGGCTGCCTGCCTCAAGCGCTCCCAAAGCTCTTCTGTCCCATTTGTGACTCTACACGGTCATCCTTCCCGTGAGCAAAACAATGTTCCATTTAATAATGAATATAATTATTTGTTATGAGTATTTATAATATCATTTTATTTTGCATGATGTAAAACCAATTGATGAAATCAAATATGACTTTAAGCAAAGCAAGCACGAGGTTGTCCCTAAATTGCCGATGAGAGCGATGATTGTAGGTCCGTCTGGTTCTGGAAAGAGCACGCTACTTGTATCAATGATACTTGATATTTATAAAGGAGCATTTGAAAGATTTTTTATCTGGTCCCCATCTGTAAATTTGGATAGTATTTGGTTGCCAGTGAAGAAATACGTTAAGGACGGTTTGAAAGTAGATACTGATAAAGAACCGTGTTGGTGGGATGAGTTCAATGTTGAAGATGTAGAAAGAGTTGTAGAAACTCAAAATAAAATAATTGAATACCAGAAAAAAAACAAGGAATGAAGAAGTTATTTAATATATTAGTTATATTGGATGATGTACAGCAATAACAAGAAACAACAAATTGTTAGATTCTGTATTTTGTAGAGGTCGTCATAGTGGAATATCAACGCTTGGCAGTCTTCAAAAATCATCAACCGTGCCACCAATTCTCAGAGTAAATATTAGTCGTTTGTTTTATTATAAAGTTAGAAACTTCAAAGAAATTGAAATATTGCAAGATGAATTATCAGCAATTGATAGAAGCGATGATTTACACGAAAGCAATAAACTAATTTATAAAATATATGAGACTGCCACTGATGAACCGCATAGTTTTTTATTTATTAACCTTTTAGAAAAGAACCCAGGTAAAATGTTTATGAACAACTTTTCACAATATTTGAAAATAACTAATCAATAACTTTTTTTAATGTTATTAATTTACATTAATGAAGCGTTGCATAAATTCAACACTGGTAATTTATATATTAGTTTGTCCGATGTTTGATTTTCTATTTTTTCAATCCTTGCCACACATTCTTGAATAGATTTAATTATTAAAGTATCCGCTCTTATTTTTTCATCTACTCTTAAATTCTTAATGTCTTCCATACTGTTATTTTTATCGTTTTTACTTTGACTAATACCCATTATATATTATTATTTCGATTTTCCTTTTTTCAATTCCTTAATTTCATTTTCTATTTTTTCAACTTTATCTATTACTTCCAGTAAAGCTTTATGTAATAATATAGGAACTTTTGTATATTCAATACCTAAATATTCACGTTCGGTATGAACTACATTACTAATTTCTTTTGGAACTGCGTTTTATAAATCATCGGCAATATAACCTATTTGGATTGCATCCTTATCGTCTCTATCTTTTCTCTTGAACCTTTTAGGCTTGAATTTCTTAATCATACTAATACAACTGCTTTTAAGTAAATCTAGCCATGCGTCGGGACCAAGATCGGTGGATGTTGTTAATTCCATATATATATATATATATATTCCTAATCAGTCAGAATGACAAGGCACGGAGACTGATGTCTCTTTTATGGCTGCGCAGCTATTCTCTGTAAGAATGTGGGTTAAGCCACTGCAAACCAAGATAGCAAGCTGTGACATTCACATGCAGCACAAAGTGATACAAGGGATTCCTACATTGCTCTAAGAGTCAATCAGGTACAATTCAAGTGACACCCCCCCTTCCCAAACCTCCCCCCCGCACCGATCTTGGTCCCGACGCATACCTAAATCTACATCATATTTTAATCTTGCATAAAATGTGCCGCGCGCGTCCATGAAAGCATGGTCATGTGTATGTGTAAACAACCATCTGTCTTGCTATCAAGGTCAACCATCTACCTCTGCTTAAAAGTCAACCATCTTTCCATATCAAGAGCATCCGACTTCTGATGTTGAGAATGCGGGTTTTGGGGGGGGGGGGGCTAGCATATATATATATATATATATATCCAATTAAACATATCTACAACGTATATTTGCACATACAAACAAGAATATACATTTGTTTCGTCCAAATGGGATTTACATACGCAGAACAGGTTGTTCTCGCAAGTGTTTTTCTCCACGGCTTGACTCGCCCTCCTGGGACCCAGGCGCCCTCAGCGCGGCGCAGGCGGCGTCCGTGGAGCGCTGCGTGGCCCAGGAGGCATTGAGCCTTCTGGAGGCGACTCGACTCGGGTTCGGATCCCGTCAGGCCACTCGGGGAGTCTTCCATTTGCTTAAGAATGCCCTCGGGTTCTCAATTCAAACCTGCGGTTTTGGCACACCCTGCCTTTTTTCAGGGTTTGGGTGCAGGGAGTGGATTGGCCAAAACACAGCGATCGACTTTACCCTCTACTCCAAATTCTCATGGCGATCCTCTACTAACAAAAAGGTATTTACTCTGGAAACAGATCGGTCTTCCCAAAAATACCCTGGAAAAAGCAGGTATTTTGAGTAGGGAGTATACTGCTTAAGAACAACGGTTTAAAGGGTACCAACTAAAAGGAACAGACACCCTTGCAATGCCAGGAAGTCCATGATTTGGTGGCTTTGCATAATTTCCATTTGCTGAAACAAATGTTATTTTCCCTTGTGGGTTTTAAAAGGAATGTATCACTACTGGAAGTCTGTTTTTTCCAAGGGGTCTTAAGGAGTAGTGTTAGGGAAGACTCAAATGGGGTGGCCCCAAAAGAGAACAGTGGGATAATTTCCTTTTTTGGGGGGTAGTTGCTGGGTGGCCCCCAAAGAATGGTGAGAGAATGTCCGGTTTTTTCATGGGGTAGTTTGAGGGTAGAGTTGTTCTTTCATGTTTCTATTCTGGCTGGCGCTCAGGGGACTGCCATGTGGGTGCGATTTTTTCAGGGACCTATAAACATGCATCCACCAGTTGCAACTCGTGGTTTCCTTTCTTCGGGTACCAAAGCCTGGGTACATTCCCGCATTCCCTATCGAACCAGCAAGCTAATCTTGACCCCGCAGAAATGGTTTTGTCGGAAATTCACCACAATTTGTTCTTGGGTTGACGCAACGTAAATCTGGCCTTTTTTTTTGGGAGGGTACCTGGTGGGACGGAGCCGGACTCGGAGCTGCGGGTATCCAAAGTTGCTTATGAACAGGGAGCGATTTGGAGCTATCAGCAGTTCTGTACGGACATGGTAGCATGGGTATGTGGTTGCATTGGTCGAAGTATCCTTCACCGCAGGCCCTCTCGAAGCATGAGGCTAGGTTCGAGGTCGAAGAATGGAGTTTTGTATCAAAACAGGAGGATCACCCCAATCAGTTGAACAGGAATTTCGAATTTTCAACATTATAGTGAAGATAGTTTGATCTCCGACAATTTCAAGGCGACGCCAGGGGATGGGAAGTTTGAGAGCTAAAAGGCCGGAAGTTAGGATAGGTATTCCAGGAGTCATGGGTAATGAACCTTGTGGCTTCCTTGCCTATGTATTCGGGCATAACGAGCTGGCCGGAGGGTGCAAAAAGCTCCATTGCTCGTGGGCAATGGATCTTTCAGGGCTGCTTTCTGGCATGGGGTTGGCAAACTCATGAAGCCGTAGAACCAGCAATGGGCTTAATGTTGACCCCATACAAATCAACCCCAGTTCAGTAATAAGCGTGTGTCCCTGGGTTTAGAGTAATCGGAGACTTCTTTTAGAGGGGCCCCCACCCCCCTATCAACAATCTGGGTTTTACCCCTTTTTTGTTCCCCTACTAAAATCGACTACAGAAAAAATTGGGTACCCTTATTCTAACCTCTCTACAGGAGGATCTAGCTGGGGTTGAGTAAAAACAAAATGTGACCGACTTCGAGCTTTTTTCTAAGGGTTGTTGTATTACACCCTGGGATTACACCCACTGGGAAATGACCCCATGTAGGCATATTTCCGGATAAAGCCATACGAAGCATTGTGGATCATTTCCCAAGTGTGTACTCCCAGGGTGCAATACAACAACCCTTAGACTCTTGGAAAAACCCGGCCGGAAACAAGAACGCCAGTCGAGCGAGCTTGCCCAGGGCCCCGAGGAGTCAACGGGACCCAAGCTCCAACTTAGAAATGGGTTGCAACCCACACCCAGGTCCAAGTACCTCATGAGGATGGTTTTTGGGGGGTCAAAAGGAGAAGGACCTCCTGACCCTCTGGGACAATTATGGTTGGTGAGTTCCCAAGTTTGTTTTTGGTAGGTTGAGGGTTCAATTGAAATGCAAAAGCACACCAGAGCCGGTTTTTTGTTTGGTTTCAGGCTAAGCTGTCTGGAAGGAGCCCCGCCGTTGTAAAGGATGGTGGTTGAAACTATGATGCAAATCTGTTCATACTGTTGATGGACGGAATCCTGCATCACCTAAGAGACCCTAGTTTCTGATGATTTCCCTGTGAATGCCAGCAACTAATGTTTTTTTCCTTGGTATCAAAGTGGTGCGAAATGGATTTCGCAACCATCCACAGTAGGAAGCATTCTCCTGGTCATTAAGGAACCCTTCCCAGGTGGATGTGAACGGTGGTGCCTAAGAGGATTTCGTAACAGCATCAGTCAACCCTTGTTTCGCACAGGGAAGTCATCATTCCAGGGTCTCTTAGTACGAACTGGATTTCGCAACCATAGTATCAACGCTGGCTTTCACCCGTGTTTTTTTTGCCTACGGGGAATGGGTTTGCTTGTTCTGTCGCCAGGATGACCGGGAGGCCATGTCCTGGGGCGCTTCGGATGCGGTGGCCGTGCGGATCAACGGGTGGAGGTACAGCGGGCCTGTGCAGGCGCCGGGGGGACGTGGTGGGAGACGCTTAGGCACTTGTTGGGTTACAAGTTTAGTGAAAATATGTCAAGTGTGGGAGCTTTTTTGGCCACTGCACTCTGTAAGCAAGATGGTGGGGGCGAGTTTATCATGGTTTTGTTTCTCTTTTTTTTCTTTTTGAAAAAGCAAACTTCAATTTAAACAAAGTATGATTCAGAGTCCGAACATACCCAACATTTGAGCGAAGGGGCGTTTCTGGCTTCCTGCAAAGCATGGCCTAAAACATGCTCATGTTTTGTGTTTGCTTCCTTCCGTTTAACTGGAGGTGAGCGTGTGTGTTTGCCTAAAATCAGTTTCCTCTAACACGTGTGCGTTTTGAGTGTTCCTTCCCAAGACCTGTGTTAATTGTAAACGCTTCGCGTTGCCCGCCTCGGCCCAGCCTAGTTTGAGGGAAGGGTCAGGAACACCGAAATCCAGTGTTGGGAAGGTCCGAATACCTGAAGCTGGCTCCAGACAAGTCAGACAAGCCGGCCTCGCCTGGTTGGGCTGGGCCACAGGCTAGTCTCAGACACATCAGATAAGCCTGCGCTGGGCCTGAAGCTAGTCTCGGGCAGCTTGGCTGGACCTTGCTTGCGTGGGTTGTTGGTTGAGCTGAAGCTAGTTTACGGCGGGCTGGGCAGCCGCACTGAGGGGGCTGGGCTATGGCTGGGCTGGGCCTGAGGCCAGTTTCAGACACGTCAGACAGGCCTGGCCAGCAGGCGGACTGGGCTGGGCTAGACGCTAGTTGAGCCCAGGCTGGTGAGGCCCAGTCTCGGCGCTAGATAGGCTGAGGCCTGCGAGTCTCAAACCGGGTGGGCTTGGGTGGGGTTGGCTTAGGCGGGTTGCTGGTTGGGCTGGGCCTGAAGCTAGTCTCAGCCACGAGGCTGCGAAGCCATGGGTGGTGCTGGGCAGCTGGATTATGGTGTTGGTTGCGCCTGGAACTTCGGCTGGCTGGGCTGAGCTGTGCTTGGGCGGGTCGCTGGATGGGCTGAGGCTGGGTAGCGAGTTGCTGGCTAGGCTGGGCCTGAGGCCAGTCGCAGACACGTAAGACACGCCAGCAGGCGGGCTGAGGGACTGGGCCTGAGGCTAGTCTCAGGCTGGCATACCTTCAGTCTCAGACTGCGCCGAAGGGGCCTGGTCAGCCTGGGCTGCTGAGTAGCTGGCATAGCTTGAGACCAGTCTCAGACACGTGAGACTGGTCGTTGGCCTGAGGCCAGTCTCAGACACGTTAGACAAACCTGACCTTGGCACACTGGGCTGAGCCTGCTGATTGAGGGGGCTGAAGCTAGTCTCGGCCACGAGGCATGGGTGGGTTGCTGGCTGCCGGGCGACCAGGCTGCTGGTTGTGCCTGGGCTGGGCGGGCTGGGCTGAGCTGTGCTTGGGCGGGGGCAAGGCCTGTTTCATACACACTTGGCCAGTTTTAGGCTGGCGTACTTTGAGACGGGGCTGATGACTTGGGGCCAGACGCGAGCAGGAGGTCCTGGCCAGCCTGGGCTGAGTTGCTTGGGCAGCCGGACTGAGGGGCTGGGGCACGTCAGACAGGCTTGGTGGCTGGCATAGCTTGAGA